TCGTTAGTCTTGCCAATGAGGTTGGCGATCAAAGTTTGGTGTACAAATTTATGTCTCTTGCTACAAATGCGGCTACTTGGTCTACTAGAGCAGCATTTGGTCGGTAAGTAATTGATTTTTTCATGTTTAACTTTAGATCGTTCGCTAATCTTTGATTTGTAGGTTTGGTTTAAGTAACATTCTCTCCGAGTCTGAGATTGATCCCAAGTTATACCCAAAGTTGTACCGATATCGATTTGATCCAAATCCTAATGTACAGCGGTCCATGAATGATATTTGGAGTGCACTCGTCAAAGACTCAAATGCTACTGTTAATCAATATTTTGATGAGATTATTACAGACTTATTGAAAAGTATTTTAGGAAAAGAATGGCGAACAAGAGAAGCAAGTTGTGCTGCCATTGCTGATTTAGTACAAGGTAGAGATTTCGCAAAGTATGAAAAATATCTTCATGATATTTGGCATGTGGCTTTCAAAGTTCTGGATGATATTAAGGGATCCGTAAGAAAGGCAGCTTTGTCCCTTAGGTATGTGTTGTATTTGTTTTTTGTATTCTGAGATATCTGATGATCTTTGGATGTCTTGCCTTATATATTCTGTGTTCTCTTTCTCTCTCACACATCTCTAGAGTTGGAAGCGCTGCTCTGGATACTTGCTTCTCCGGAATCCTTCCTTGATAGACATTTACTGACTTCCGATTTCTAGTATGGCTCTTACTGGTATTCTTGTCCGACAAGTAGAAGCAGGTACATCTTCAAAGCATGCACAAGCAATGTTGAAAGATGTGTTACCATTTTTACTTTCAAATCAAGGCCTAGAAAGTTCGGCCGAAGAAGTTCGAACATTCGCAACCATTACCGTGCTCAAACTTATCAAGAGTGGTGGTAAAGCACTTTTGCCATTTGTACCCAATCTCGTTGAGCGACTCTTGGGTCTTTTGAGTACTATGGAAATGGAAGGTGTTGACTATCTATACCTACGTGCCGCTCATTACAATCTCACCGAAGAGAAAATTGATAGTGCCCGCACAAATGCTGTTACTCAATCTCCCCTCATGGAAGCTATCGAGCGTTGCCTTGATATAATCGACGAACCTACCATGAAAGAATTTGTTCCTCACCTCGAGAACGTCATCAAGACCACTGTCGGTATGCCATCCAAGGTTGGTTGCGGCGGTGTTCTTGTCAGTCTCGCGACTCGTCATAGCGTTACCTTTCGCCCTCACGCCGACCACTTTCTTAAAATCCTTGAGAAATCTGTCCTTGATCGCAATAATGCTGTCAGCGCATCTTACGCCCGTGCAGCTGGCTATGTTTCTCGATTGGCATCTGATAAAGCACTTCTTAGGCTTCTCACTTATTCACAAGACCTCTACTTCAATGCCGAAGATGAAGTTCGCCGTCAAGTATCATCAGATTTGATTTATGCCATTTCCAAATTCGCCACTGATCATTTTAACTCTTTGACTTCCGATTTCCGTAAGTTTTAACAATTCTTTAATATTGGAATTTATCCGACGTTCAGCTTAGATCGAATGTTCAATACAAAACTGAATCAGACGCTGACTTCAAATATTATAGTCCCCTTTGTCTTCTTCGCTAAGCATGATTTCGACGATGCGACTAAGAAGCAATTTGAGAAAACTTGGGATGAAAATGTAGGTGGAAGCAGAGCAGTCTTATTGTATACAAGAGAAATCAACGAGTTAGTGCTCAAATATATTGATTCTCCTAAATGGACTATCAAACATACAGCTGCTCTAACTATAGCCGACGTTGTCAAATCCACAACTTCAACCACATCGCCGACAATTCCTGCCGAAACATCTGCTCTCATTTGGCCTACTCTCGAAAAGGCTCTTGCACTCAAAACTTTTGCGGGCAAGGAAATTGTACTGGCTAGTTTTGTGAAATTCGCAAAGGCATCTAATGCATTCTTAGATGCTAAATCTAGTATCGCAGCTCAGACAAAGAAGATCGCAATCAGAGAAGCTAAACGTAATAACGACATCTATCGACCATTCGCTTTTACAGAACTAGGAAAATATGCAGAAACGAGAACAGAAGTAGATATGTGGGATGAGATATATAATATCATCGCCCCTATATTAGAAGATTTGAGTAGTGAAGATCATATGGATACAAGTACAACTACTTCGACTTCTGATTCTAGGAAGAAAGATGGAGTTAGCAAGGGAGGAGAATCCACGGAATCGGAAACGATAACTGCGGGTATCGAAGCTTTGTTTCGAGGTATCAATATTAAACATCTCGATCCATCACCTCTTACTCGTCTTCCAAAGCTCATCGAAACACTGACTCCCCTTCTCAAATCACCTCTCATGACCATAACTACGCGCGCAACACTATACGAACGTATCAAAGTGTTGTTTGATGGATTGAGAAAGAGAACTCATGCACAAAAGGAAAATAACTATAAGATTTGTGTGCAATTCTTTGAGGTACTGGAATTGGCTAGTGGAGCCGGAAGCGAGGGTATTAGAATTAAGAGGGGAGAAGCGGCGGAAATGATTGTAGAGGCGTGGAAGGCGGGAGTTTTTGGTATGTGGAGTGAGGGGAGAGAGGAGGTGAGGGGTAAGCTGATGAAGGGGATGAGTGAGGCGTTGGAGGGGGAAAGAAATGAGAGTGTTAAGGTTGTTTTTGGGAGAGTGAAGAAGTTGTTGGAGGAGTAGGTTTGGGAAAGTTCATGTTGATGATTTGGTAGGAGTAGGGGTACGGATACGGGTACGGATACGGGTGATGTATGGGGGAATAAGTAGTTAGGCAAATGCATAGCGAAGTAAATATAGCTCGAGTCGATTTTTATTCCTAGCATGGTAGAAGAAATTTTGATTTATTGATTGTTATAGACGATGGAACTCGGGATATTATGAAATAGCATTATATTCTTTGTGAGTTGGATGTCTCAATTGATAAACTATACGTTGCCACTGCTTAGTTGGTCGAAACCACTGTTCCTCCTATCTGTATATTGTACTTGTGAAAGAATATCTGTACTCCAGTGGTTGGTGCATGTGCAACACATCTTTTGGTGGTGTATTGAGGGTAATGCTGTTGTTATAAGTAAGTAAAGTTTCAGCATGATTTAATGCAAGGTTTCGAATAGAATTTTTCATACATTGTATCAATAAACCGAGGATTTCAATGGCTCGGCATATATATAGAATTATAGATGCATCATCAAATGGAGTGACGACAGACAGTGTACGGAGATGAGATGAGATGGATATCCTTGGGATTTCTAAGGCTTTGGATTGATAACTGGGTGTTTGAGGGTACTTGGGAGATTTAGGGTTTTGAGTGTGAGTGTGAGTGAGAGTGAGAGTATTTACTTTTTACATGGTTTGAGATTTTGAAATGGGTGGGTGAGTGGGTGGGTTGTTGATTTTGGAAGATTTGTTTGGTTTATAGTATATATGTGTTGGTTTAATTTGGTGGTTGGTTGGTTGGTTGGATTGTTGAAGCGATGTCTTGATTCATTCTGTATTTTCTGTTCTATGATATATGGGTATTAGGTATTAGGTATTAGGTATTAGGTATTAGGTATTGGGAGAAGCTTGGGCTTTGAGAATACATGAGATGAGATGAGATGGGATGGGTTTGGATTGAGAAAGGGGGGGGGGGGTTGATGGAATAAGAAGATGAGGTTAGTTTTAGGTATGGTTGTTGACGAGATAGCTCGTTATATATAGTATTAGAAGCTATGCTATGGGGGTTGTTTGAAGTACAATTGTGCGCGAATATTTGTGAGGGGAGTTGATTTGCGGACTTTGTAATAGAAAGTTTGTGGTGGTTTGATGTATACCTACGATGTCTCGAGAACGATTGTAAAGTTCGACGAGAATTTTTTGGAAGTGAGAAGGAAGTTTGAAAATGGGTTATGTCTAGGGATCTAATGTGTGAGTTTCGTGGTTATTTCTTCTTCTCCTTACATTTCAATAATTTAGTTTTCTGCTGAATTCGTTTGTTCTGGTAGTTCTCTGGAGCAAGTGTCACTGTCCCCTTTTGTGATAATCAAGTGAGTTGTACTTGATTTCGCGTCCAGGCGTGGAGACGGGAGTGTTCGCTTACGGCATGAGTAGCAATAAAACTTCGATTGAATAATGTCAATTGAAGAAAGGGAGTTCACAGAATATTCCAGCTCGCGATGTGTGCTCTATTTAATACTACAAAACAATTGTCAATAAACTGTTGTGTTTCGCTGCGCCTAAAGTTGGTGGTTGTCGCGGCCATTTCCTAACTTGAACCGTGGAATTTTCACGCCATTAGCGCTCAAAAGGGGTCTAGGGACCAGGAGCCCCAAAAGTCAAAACCTGTGAATAGAATAATAATATCTTAGGCCTCCAAGAAGCGATTAATCGTTGCCTGTAGCATGACCCCGATGATGGCCCCAGAGGCCAACACAACGGCCACTTAAGGACATGTGTTGATTGCTTCACCATATTTCAGTCCAAGAAATGGATAATCTCCAATATAACTTGCTTCGCCATGCATCAATTCATCGAAACCAAACTCTAGGCCAGGCCATAACATATGCTTATACATGAGTGGTGTTTTTGAACATGACCCAATTGATAACCTCAACCCTGCTTCAACTACATGGTGAGTTGCCTCCGGTCTCCAAATTTCTGCTTTATGGCATGTTTGTAGTTACAGATTTCAATAGAGACCAGGTCATCACAAGTTATTTGACATCAATATTGGTTTCAACGGAAAACTTCAGTTGGAATTTATGGTTGGGATGACCGGGTGTGTATGATGAGTATGAGTATAAATGTGCTGAAGTATCTTGCATAGTTGATATTATTCCATATACAACACACTCAATACAATCATCAGCTCAATCATCATCTTGATAAACAAATTTAAAGCATCAAAGTAACAACATTATCAAGGTTGTTTTTCAAATCTTCCCTATACTGCCACAACAACATAACATCTATCACACAACCTAGTCTCCTTTATAGCAGCAAACCATCATGCCTTCTGGACTTCTTGGCTTAACTGCCGAGGTTATCGCAACTAAAGGTGATCCAAAACTCAAAAACTAAGAGACCAGAGGAAGGAACTGGAGGAGAAAGAAGCAAAAAGAAGAGAAAAATTAGAAAAGGCGAAGAAGGACAAGTCAAATAGTTTCAAGCTTACCCGAAAATCAACAATTGATAAAAACACAGGGGAAAGGAAAGATAGTATAGGGTATCTTTACAAGAATAGGAAGGGAGAAGAAGTTCGCCACGGTGATGAGGAATACGATGACGATGAGTATCGTGATTTCGATGATAGCCGGAGAGTTGAATCAAGCCATGGTGGTGGATCAAGACGAGATGATGAATCAAGCCACGGTGGTGGATCAAGACGAGATGGTGGATCAAGACGAGATGATGAATCAAGCCACGGTGGTGGATCAAGACGAGATGGTGGATCAAGACGAGATGGTGGATCAAGACGAGATGGTGGATCAAGACGAGATGGTGGATCAAGACGAGATGGTGGATCAAGGCGAGATGTGTCACCATCAGAACGGACAGAGAAAAGTTCGTGGACAGGACATCGATCAGATCTAACGTTACGGCAATCTGATGCAGGTAGAAGTAGCAGATCAGCCAAAACATCAAAGACTGAGGATAAGGAGTAAGTTATAGCCCCCCCGGTACCATTTGACAATCTATATTGGTTGCGTTGAACTTCACGAAGACTAATATTCATGTGATAGGTCTGCCGATATAGAAAGAAGAAAAGAAGAATTTAAAGAGGCCTTGAAGCGCATGGAACCTGATCCCGACCTTGAAGAATATGCGGAATCTGTACTGCCGCCGCCACCAAGTGTTACATCCAAAATCGTACTCGATCCCACAAAAGCAGGTAGAAATATCGGTATTGTCAAGGATAGACACGACTCTAAGCGGAACGGCCAAACCTCAAACAGTAGTCAACCACGTGAGGATACTGAGAAACGCAGGAGAGAAGATAGTATTAGAAGAGCTGAGCCTCCCTCGACAATCAGGGAACGTGATACTCGTTCCAAGAGACACGAGAAACGCGAGAGACACGAGAAACGCGAGAAACACAGTGAAAAGACTGGGCCTCCCTCAACAGCCAAGGAAAGTGATACTCGTTCCGAGAGACACGAGAAACGCAAGAAAGACAGAGGTGATGCTCGTTCCGAGAAAAGTAGCAAAGCAGGTTCTTCGTCAAGAAGTTCAAAGTCAGAAGCTACACATCAGAGTAGTCAGTATGATGAGGAATCTGATTCCGGAAACGAAACTGAGGTTCCAAGGCCACCTAAATCTAGTCACACACGTTCACATAGGCCTCACAGATCCGATTCCAGGACCAAGTCCCCCCGATAGAGCGAGTCAAAGAAGTAGAAGAACAGACACGAGAATGATAGAAGAAGCGCAGAGGATGATGGTAGGTTCTATTAAGAGTGATTGAGCCGTATCGCGGTCCAGAAGGAGAAAACAAAAAAATAGGTGGATTTGGTGTTTGAGGATTGTTATGGAGTTTGAGAGTTTGGCGTTTTGCTTTAAAAATTAGAAAAATAGATGGTTACTTGGGTTCAATATTGAGAATTATTGAATGTGAGATGCTCCGCTTGACATTAATTGTGATCCCTTTAAATCCGGATACGATCTTATTAGCTTTAATACAGAACCAAAAAGCGTCTTGCTTTTAAGTCATCTTATTGTTTAGTTGAATCAGAGACTTTATGCATCTATTTCTAGGATTTTCAATATACAGAACGAAAAAGCATCCTGCTTTCGAGACCATTCATTGTCTGTTCTCAATCTGATACTTCATATATCTGTTGTCAATTCCTCCATTACAAAGTATGGATGGATTTTAGACTATGATCGGATTTCGAACTATGAGTTGATTTCAGAGATTTATCTGTCATTTTATAGGAATAATACAACAGATAAGGATATTAGTCCACTCGTTTCAATCCCATCTACAAATCACCGTAAGTCCTCGAGTTATCACGAACACAGTAGAATTTGTTGTATGAATCATGTTGAACATGTAGGAGGCTATGAGGACTATTCAGTCGATACAGGCCGTAACTGAGGTATAATATACAACATCTAGAGAGATCATTGCCATCACCTATCACAATTGTATGAGAAAGACGAACAAGAGTTGAGGATACTTGCCACAAAAGCACTTCCGATGCTGCTATCGAATGTGCATTCAAACCGAGCGCGATTATTTATAAGCCGAGCAAAAGAGATATAGCAACATGTCAGTCGATATCGCTATTGAAGCTCATTGTACCGCTGCTAGTGATGGTGCCATTACTGATGCCACCGCTCCTTCTACTGCCACTCTTGAATAAGAAAAGCAATTTACCATACCCGCGCAACGGAAAAGCTATAGTCGCTCAAGACCTCACGAAATAAAGCTTGAGATTCGCTTCGAATCCGAATGCATTCTGTCAGAGACGGACAAATTTCTGCATGGGAGCTTCAAAGTCCCGATACAAACATGCGATCAGCGCCGTCGATAACGGAGCAAGGAAGACTGTTTGGTAATGTGCCGAGAAGCTTCGATCAACTCAATCGACCTCGACAGGAGCTTTTGGGTTCTGTTTGCAGGGCACTTATGAGAAGAGGAACAGCTGAAGCTTACTGTCAGAATCACGCAGCTACTTTGGCAAGAGATGGTCACTATCACCACCAAGCAGAGTAGGATTGTCCAAATTACCTATGACCAATCAAAGACTTTGCGACTGCACAAAATTATGGTCATGCACTTTGTCGCTGATGTTACATGTAATGGTATGATCTGCTTAAAGATTTGGTTTGCCTTAGGTCAATATATATGTGGAATATTGCGCTTTCCCCCCATTCCAAACTAACTGGTTGCCAACACTGCTACATGCGAAGTCTCTCTAGCATTGACGGGTGTTTTACATGGAGACAAATTTCGGTCATTGAGAATGCACTTGAATTACTGCCGCTCGTTGCTTCCTGGATGCAGATGAAAGCGTATCAGTGGAGGTTGACAAAAATGTTGTCGAAGACACATATTTGGGAGAGAGAGGCATTCAGGAGTGGAGTATGGTATGATGAAAAGGAAATAATTGCAGAGGGTGGGCGTGAAAGAGTAAGTACTTGGTGGAGAGTTCGAAAAAGAGATAGGATGAATATTGAAACCCAAATAGCATGCCAAGGAGGCTTTTGATATTGTATGTTAAGTTAAACAGAGAGGCTTTAAAAGTTTCTAGTTACAACTTGTTCTTAAGGAAGATGTATAGTTACTGGATGGAATTCTACATGAAGCTGGAGACGATGAGTGAGGACTGCCTCACTGTTATATACCTTTCCAATTCCAAAATTCAATTTTATTTCATCCGATAAAAGCATTGTGGGTTACAGAAGTACCATTGAAATTACAAAAGAGAAGTGAGAAAACTAGTAACTACCCAGGTAACCGAATCTTGGAAGGGATTTGGCGGGTAAGAAAAATGGTAAACGAAAGTGAAGTGATTGATTGTTGTTGTCGCTCTGCTTCGATCTTCGTTTCTTCTCCCATCAACAACAACACAAACCGTCAAAATATTCAAATTGACAACGAACAATCATCCAATCTTCTTCCACGAATCATAAAGATATCATCAAATCATTTCTTTCAATTATACTCATTACTTCTTCCCATCTGTTTATTTGAGAAGAAAATCAACGATGCCCACCCATCGTAGTTACAGCCAATGGCTTTTGGCAATCAAAAATCGTGTCATACGTCCAAATCCACCAGATAGCCCATTGGAAACTCGAGATGAATGGAATTCTCTCGTTGATCGGCTTATGGAAACTTTAGATTGGCCGCCATTTGTTAAGGAGATTCGTGATTATGTTTGGGTATCTGCATTATGGAACCACTACTGTAAGTAAGCTCATCATTCGGTCAGCATGATGGTACTGATAAATGTGGTTTAGTCGGGCTTGGTAAAATTCACAATGCACCTTTGTTCATTTCACGACCGAGCTACTGCGATATAGATTGGCTCATGCCGTCAATCCAAGTACTCCAGTCTGACCACGAGTCTCAAGTTCAACCACCAGTACTTCCACCACAACTTGAAGAGCAAGATCATACACCAGAAAATATGAACGCCGCTGTCGCCGCCGTCATCGCCGTCGATGAAATCTATGTCGATTGGTATCGGACTATCACGGAGAGGGCTTTAGATCCACGTCGTCCGTTGGTGACTGAGGAGGCTTTCAGAGACAATCTTGCTGTGCGTAAGTTTGAAGTGCGCAGTCACTTCAACAATCCGAGTTTGATGATACTCCAATACATTGTTGCAGCTTGCTTATGGAATGATTACTGTAAGTGCATTCCCGAAAGACTGATTTTGCGGATGCTGACTGTTTGTCCCAGTCGGGCATGGAGGAGTTGGCGATCCACCTAATTTCCTTACGCGACCACAATATGTTCCTCTTGAATGGCTGCCACTGGAGATCCAAGAGCTCCACAGAGAACTGGCTCTAATAGATAGAACGCTGGGGGAACCTGCTCGATTGGCAGAGCATCAAGAGCAACCGCAACACATACGTGGAATTCAGCAGCCGCCACTAAATATGGAGGAACGTAATGATATTCCCGGTACCGAAGCACTTATGGAGAACAATGCCAGTGAGGTAGATGAGCAGCATCTTCGCCGACCAAGAATCCAGTGCATCAACTGTGGGCGACGAAACCACGCGTTGTATGACTGCCCAGAACAATGTCAGGTCTGTGGAAATAACCAGCATTTCCCTAATTGTCGAATTCAAGCAGCTCTTAATAGACCTAGGCCTAGGTGAATGCAGTCACAAGTGGAGACGTCCATTGAACATACAGACTGCTTGGATAGAATCGACGCTTGGATGAGGAAGGATGAAGTTGCATGAAGAAGGAAGATAGAGCTGTCCCACCGTCATTAAATGCTTAGTAGAAAACTGTATATCGCCCTTGGGGTTTGATACATATCACTCTTGGAGTGTATATATAATATCTGATTGATTAACATACAGCCCTTGGGGCTTGGGGCTTGATACAGACCGCTCTTGGAGTGAATATTTCGCTCGACGTTTTGGTTTAAACTATACGTCGGTCGTGGAGGGAAATAGCATTGGTGCGGGAAAAGGAGCTGATGATGATGTTCGGGAAGCTTGAAGAGCTAAAGCAATATAATGAATGAATCGAACCCAATCACAATATCGAGTATGCCTTTTTCAGTGATATGTGACTCCAAGGCCTTATTGTTGTAGATCTTGTGACCTCAAATATCGAGAAGACTTTGAATGATATAACAACTAGAAGAGAAAAGTTGAATCAGATATTGAAAGATTTGATAAGACATAATGAGCTACCTTCAAGAAAACGTTAGAAAATATCGCAATGGTGATTGAACGGGTGTTTAAGTATCGAACTTGCCACGAATTGCTCCCAATTCGGTATGTAAACTTGGCTCAAACACACACACACACACACACACACACCACACACACACACACACACACACACACACACACACACATATATATATATATATATAACATACGTAGGGGATTGTACACTTTTACCCATACCATAACCCAGGGACATGCGAAGATAGTGAATACTGCCTAGGAAGGCATCGACATTTCCTATCATTCGACACGTGAAAAAAAAGGCTCACCTTTCGCTTGCCACTAGGTATTTTTGAAAGTTTCTCGCAACTTTCCTCCACAACCACGCAAGATCGATTCAAGCAATTCAAAAACCAACCACCAATCACAAACCACAAACCACAAATCACGAGTCACAAGTCACGAATCACATTCAACAAATTCTCAATCAAAAGAACGTTATCAAATAAGTCTTCGGTGACAAGGATTCAAGATGAATTCCGAATCAAACCATTCACAGTCAAACTCAGAGGGGGGTGCGCCTCTAACTCTTGAGAGAAGTGCAAAAATGCCTGAGGGTCAACCCGAGCCCGAACCCTCTATCAGTAAATGGTTCGAAGATTCGCATCCAGGTGATATCAATTATGAAAATAATCGCAGAGGTCCGACAGCTCGTTTCACACATCGAACACCTCCATATAGAGGTGGAAACTTAGACCGTGGCCGTGGTCGTGGCAGTCCTTGGCAACAGCGAAATTTCAACTTCCAAAGTGGAAATATCTACATACCAACAAACCAATTTGGTCTGCAAGTAATCGTATTTGGCCCAAATAATGTGCCACCACCACCACCTGGATTTCCACAAGGCTATTGGAACCGAAACACACCTTCTCAACAATCGAATCCACTCAAACGTGGAAGTGAGTCTCAGGACCCTTATCCAGATCGAAAAAATATCAATCGATCAGGCTCACCAAAACGCAATCACCTCGGAGCCAATATGTATGCACCACGTGCCCAGCAATCGCAGCCAAGTACATCTATATTCGCCAACTTTAAGCCTGGTAATCCCAATCCTGGATCACAGCAAAGGCCTCCAATAAAACAGGAATCTAAATTTGGTGGCTTCAATCGCCTTACGGGTAGTGCTCACTGGGTTCACCACAATTTAATCAATCACAGCCCGAACTTCTATTGAAGCAGGAATCTATATTTGGTAGCCCTAGTCGCTCTATTACACAACAGCCAAATGCAACTCTACATAGCAATACTTCTACATTTTATAACTTCAAACCTGCTGTCTCTAGACAACCGCCAAGGTATTGCCTAAAGAGGAATCGATATTCGGTGGTTATGATCGTTTTGCGGGTAATGCTCACTTGGGTTCACTACAACCTCACCAATCACAACCAAGATTACCAATAAAACAGGAATCCAAGTTTGATGGCGCCAATGGCTGCATTGTACAGCAGCCAAATGTACTTCTGAACGCAGTAACTACTACATTGGTGATTTCAAACCTCGTCCTCCGCTAAATGCATTGACTCAACCTTTACAAGAAGATTCTGTGTTTGGTGGGTTTTCCAGAGCCACAAACAATGGGATATCTCAGACAGATTCACGGAGCGTAGTAAATCAGTTGTCAGACACTTATCGCCAACCACGTATGAGCCATTCTGGAGCACCACACCAGCCTGAACGAGCACTTGATAACATGATCAAAAACGAGGAGGAAGAAGAGCCTTCTCAACCTTCTACCTCAATCCCGAGGCCACCTAAGCCTGTCGTCATCGTTACCGGAAACCTTCTTGGTGATCCAAGTTCGCCAAAGGGTTTGAAAGATCGTGCTAAAACAGAAGCAATTTGCGAGAAAGCTGAGGGTCCCTTACCCCCAACCATTCAGCCGAAGATATTGCCTAATGGTAGAAAAGCTGGTGTTTTTATCGATCAAGAAAAGAAATTCCGGACCACTGGAGTGTATCAATACTTCGATCCGGGTTGCTTCAACTGTGGCAGTAGTGATCATGAGGGCTCGATGTGTAAGGAGGGCTGCTATCGATGTGGGAAGGACCATCAGCTTCCACAGTGTCCATACAACATGTGAGCTAGAGAAGCGTCAATTGGCCACCTGTATATCCGAGGGAAATATGGGTGGAAACTACTGTGTATTGCTTGCTTGTTAAATATACGGCCCTTGGGGTTTGTTTGATACATACCATTCTTGGATTGGATAAGTCATTTGATTAATATACAGCTCTTTGGGGGTTTGTTCGATACATACCATTCTTGGAATGGATAAATCATTTGATCGATATACAGCTCTTTGGGGGTTTGTTCGATACATACCATTCTTGGAATGGATAAATCATTTGATCGATATACAGCTTTTGGAGTTTGATATATATTACTCTTGGAGTGAATATTTCGTTTAACAAAAGCATACGTCGGTTGTAGAGGGAAATAGCATTGATGTAGGAAAAGAAGCTAATGATGATGTTCTGAGAAATTCAGAAAATCGAAACAACAAAATCAAGAAATTAAACATCATTACAACAAATTTTAAAACTTGGTCCCAGTGATTTATCATTGTAATGCTTTTTTGATGTACTGGTAGATCGCAAAGGTTGTTCCTAACACGCCATCGCTAGGTTTGGGCTAATTTTCCCCATTGACCACTGTGATGACTAAGCATCCCATTGAACAAGCTCTCCAGCTCTGGAAATTTTGGTCCCCCGCGTTTCTCAAAGATTCACAAGATTCAAAATGGGTTGGTTTTGGGGTGATTCAAATGATGGCGACAAGGATAAATCCCAAGATCCTTTAAAGAATCTCGATCCTAGTTTACGAGAGTTTCTTAAAAAAGAATCACCAGTCAAATACGATTCTACAAAATCTGCGGATACAACGGTTTCGTCGCAAACAAAAACGCCGGAGCTCACATCGACAAGTACGACTGAGGATCCTACAAAACCCAGTGTGCCTTCGCAGAGTTTATACCAAGACGGACGCTACGCACATTTATGGAAAACATACCAACCACAAGCAGAAGTTGAGCAAGCAGCTAAATCGGATGCCGAAAAGATTCAAGATGTTATCGACGGATATAAATATAGAAAGGCAGAGATTGGAAGGGCAGCTTTGGAGAATTGCGCTTTGGAACAATGGGATGTGAATGAGTGTTTTCGTTCAGGAGGATGGCAAGCTCGATTAACTATGTGCAGAGAGGAGAATAGGAAGCTTGAAAGATGTTATACTATGCAAGGTGTAAGTTTTTGAACGCTCCAAGAATGAGAAATTCGGATTCTAATTGGTATAGAAATTCTTGAAAGCTCTAGGCTACTTATCAACCTACGATCGTCCACCCGCTGTCGATGAACAGATCCAAATGCATGCCGATACATTATATCATCGAATGATTGACCAAGAGAAACAGATTGAAGAAGCAAAAGCAGAAGGAAGACCTGTGCCTATATTTCCTCCGCTCATATCAAAATCAAGACCTGGTCAATCGGATTCTGCGCAAGAAAATAATAAGCTCAAGGCATCTGATCTTTCGCCGAAGGTACAAGCTTCATTTAAGAAGCGCCTTGAAGGACTGAACGATGATGAGAGACTAGTCGAGGAACGAGCAATTCAGGCCGAAATCGAAGCTGGTGAACAAGTTGCAGGTCAGCTAGGAAAGATCTACGAGAAACAGGATGAAGAAAGAAGGCAAAGGAAAGAGCAGGGCAGGGAGACTATTAGCGATAAATTCTTCTCGATATTCCGTGGACGATGATGAGAGTCATGGTATTGCTGCTCAAGACCCGCATATGCCTTCCTCTCACCACCTTTACGCGCCAGGTGCTTGGCCTCAAAAATACGAGTATGATGGGGGAAGGCCATAGCAAGGCATCGCACCTTCGAGGTGCTCACCTCTCACCCAAAAGCACCCAGCTTCGTTATCTTGAGGACCTGCCCCCTTTTGGGGCTTCTCATTTTCGAATTCGCTAGTTGGCCAAGTATGTTTGATAGTGTAGATAGAAGAACCTGTGGCAATGTTTTTATACATCGGGAATTACGAAATCTCCACTTTATTGGTTTGTAAGTAACAGCTATTAATAGCTTGATTTGTATAGTATTTGGCATCAAATCGGACCTCTCAGGGGAATATGATGATGGCAATGCCCTTGCGAGTAAAGGATGGAATAGACATAGGAAAAATAACCTTTTGATATGACCTTGAATGGTTCGCGATAATCTGCATTTTCTTCGGCTCGGGATAAAATTCGCCATAAATCTGGCTATAAATTACCTAGGTATTAACCAGTTAATAATATCGAGCAATTGTCGTTAATCCTCGCCAAAGACTGAATCTTCGTGAAACCCCCTACCACTAGCCGACGGACAATGCTCTCCTAGATAAGACTATCCGAATTGGGAGTGCCCGCTTGTTTTAGCAGCCGGATCCGGTAAATCTTCAGACCACATGTCTGTCTTTGATGCTAAGTGTTCACTCGACGAGATTTCTAAGCTCTTCAGACACCCTTTCTGAAATCACGAAGTCTTGACGGGTGACATTGATCATACATTGAGTCGTCCAAGATTTTAGTTGTGGCTTTGTCCGATATCGCTACCATAAAGTTTTGTCTCGAACAAAACAAATCGATTTCTCTTTGAAATTTCTCATTTCTCCATACAATCTAAAATCTATGAATTCTATCTTCAATGGATATCCCCATCGCTGCCAATGTTCTCGGAACATTAGGCGCAATCTGTTGGTCCATCCAAGTACGTCCCTCCCCGCCTTTGAGGTACCCCCTCCTTGCCCCATCACTCCCTCTCTCTTCTCACCCCATCTTCTCCGCTGTAACTTCCCTCCATTCTCAAGCTAACACCCCCCCTTAGCTCATACCCCAGATAATCATAAATTATAAGCGACACCACACAATCGGGCTCCAACGCTCTATGATGCTACTGTGGGCTTGTGCTGGCGTACCTTTAGGGGCATTTAATATCGCATCTGGATTCAATGTTGCGCTGTTAGTGCAGCCGCAGATATTGACTGTTTTGAGTTTGGTTACTTGGGGACAGTGCTTGTATTATAGTGAAGTATGTTTCTTATCTTTTGAATAGGATGGAGGAATGGAGGGGAGGGGTTGTATATGAGGAATGCATGATGGATTGCTAATTTGAGATTTAGGGTTGGGGTTTGAAGAAATGTGTTTTGGTTACGGGAGGTCTTGGGATGGTGTTTGGAGGTATTGAAGTAGCATTTGTTGCGGGGTTGAAGGTATGCTAAATATCATGCATGGCTTAGTTGGTTGCAGTCATTAAAGATCACGATTAGGCCGGTCAACGTAGAGATCTCGAATGGCCCGTCATATTGATGGGTGTAATGTCAGCTGTTCTATTGTCTGCTGGGGTATTGAGACACTACTATGATATCTATGTTCATCGTACTGTCCGTGGTATCTCATTCATCTTTGTAGGTATTGATGCTGCTGGAGATGTATTTTCTCTAGTTTCTGTTTGTAAGTCTGATTCCTCTTAATGATCCGTCTTCAAATCAAACCTGATGTCTTAGTCTTTCAACCACATCTTGATATACTTGGGATAGTAATTTACGCCTCGGAGTTTATTCTTTGGTGTGGAGTATTTGCTTGTGGTGGATACTTCAACCTTCTACCTTGGATCAAAAGAAGGATTCAAAAGAGAAGCGAGAATGAAGGGGGAAATAGAAATGGAACTGAGAATGTGATAGCTGTTGAAGAGGGAATTTCACATGATATTGAGATGGAAAGAATGAATTCAGTTGGTTCAAGGACAGTTTTCAGAACTCCTGCGTCAATAAATAGTGTAGATAGAGTAGATCTGTAAAGAAATTATTGCTAGGTAGACAATCACATTGTTTTCGCGAGACAGGGCTCATTAAATCACTTCCCATCCTTCCTCGTTGCTTTCGCCGGCTGCATAAATAAGCTTCGTTTCTGACTTCAAACTCGGACATTCCAATATACCAATAGGTTTCACATTATAACTATCCGTCCACCAATCCCCACCAGCTAATTCAATTAGTACATGACCACAAGACAAAAGGGCAGATAGGATAACCTACTTCTCCAGATATCTGGGGAACAACCGTTCGTAAGTCCATCAGGCAAATGAACATGTCCAAAAGAATTGTACCTATTCCCAAAAGCTGTTATTGCAATCTTATGTTTTCCTGGCCCAAGGGATGTGATATCTAGTGTTCGAGGTTGAAAAGCTATACGCCCAAGCTTTTGTTTTGTGTCAGCTAAAGCCACAGCGAGTACTGGCGAAGAATATTCAGGTACTGAAAGATGAATAGTTGTGTCAGGGCTCGTTGGTGGTATTGATATATCGCAGATGTAGATTAAGTTCCCAGCATAGAATGGGAGACCTTGTTTTGTAATATCTCCCCAGGATACTGTTCTCGGTTCTCGAAGATAATATGAGTCTGTACCAAGAGAACTATTATGCTTGTTACCAACAAAAAAGTTGCCCAACAAATAAAGACGTTCGATATTTGTCAGAATTCCAAAAGGAAAAGAAAGCGTAAGAGTGTTCCTCCCAGGTCTGATTGCGTAGGCTGGTATCTCCAAAGTTCGGATGTCTTCATCAACCCACCAGCCATCAAATTTTTGGGAATCCAACTCGGTCCTGTTTATCTTTATTTTCATTCCTTCAATATTTTCCAGTGCAAGTTTTGTTGGCTTATTGTTATTTAATGCTGATATTATCAGAAAACGCATGGTTACATACGTCTTTGGAGCTCTTTCTGAAGCCGGCACCGACCAAGGTTGTCTAAACGCTGCTCCCTTGCGAGGTAATTTCAGTCGATCCCGAATGGCATTGTCAATTTTGAGAACTTCCGTACAATCCGACCAATGTTCATCAAAATCTAGTTTGTAGGATGCATAGTCAAGTATGAGGACATTTGGCTCGGAAAGTTCTACTTCTGCGAGAGTAACATCTCCTTCAAGTATAGGAATCTTCTCGAAAGTCTTAACCAATGGTAAGATTTCTGTGATAGATTGCCTTGTCCTTGATCTCAATCGCATGAGAAGACTTGCGCATCCTTCAAACTTATAGTGCAATTGTGTCCAGTCCTTTGAAAGTTGACTAGGCATTAAAGCCTCTTCTCCATTGAAAGTGTCCATTTCTGAAACATCCCATTGGCCTTTCAGCTCAATCTTCGTCATGGTTGGAGAATTGCGATCTGTATTACAGATGAAGATATATCTTTCAGCTCGATCTTCCCTCATCTGATACAACAAATGCTCAGTAGATGAGCCATTCTCATTTGTTACTCTAAGATCACGATAATCATTCAGTACACACAAAATATTCTGCTGGCTCCAGAATACGCCAATACTATGCTTGATGGTGGGCTTCTCTGACGGGACTGTGGCATCGATCAATCTAGAGAATCCAATTAGTACTTTTCAACCACAAAAAGCATGGGCCAAGAATCAATAGAGCCATTAATTATAAAGCAGTTATCACTTACTCGGGTGAACTACCAGCAATGATTACATGACCACCAGCTTTTGAGAATGCTTGTAAGACTTTAAGTGTTGATGATCTGATGGTGCGTAAATTTGGCACGATAATCGCTTCATATTCACAAAATCCTACTGTCAGCTTTTTGCCTTTCTGAGTTTTACTCACTTGAGTTGGCAATAAGCTCTCAGATATGAAATCAAAGTCAATTAAACCATGAAGTAACCAATTTGTGAGGTCGGAGAATGCACGATCACGAGATCCTGCCTCATCACCACTTTGATCAGGACCAAAGCATAGCCAATAGCTCTCAATCGGATGAATGACACCAACTCGAGTAACAGCTCTTCCTCGGGTCATTGCAACACCAACTCTTGCAAAATGATCTTCAACATAACCATACTCTTTGTACCAGGGGCTTTGATAATTTATCGACGCTGGATAGTCTCTTTTCCCTTCTCCAGCCATGCTTAACCAAGCAAGATGATGAACACGGAAAGTGATACCAAGAGCTGCTTGCCAATCACCACAACCTTTATGGCCCTCGAATGTGAAATACCAATGAGTAACACCATATATTTCACACATTGTTCCTCGACGACCCATTTGTCTAGAAACACTAGAAGCTTGTTTCGCTGTATTGTATTCGACACCATCAACAAGTAAGTCTATGCCCGGCATATCCATGTTTCGGTAACATCGCATAGCTTCACCAAGAGCTGTAGTTTGAGAATAAAGGGTTGGCTCTTCCATCATGTGTCCATCCAGGTACAAGTTGTTTTTCCGACACCAACCACTAATTTGATCAATAAAAGCAGAGACAAATCTTTCACAAACATGATCATGATATCGATACCTTGATAAACTTGGTTTGTCATTCGGAAGATTCCATATAACTTGTGGCAAGGATTCCACAATGTCAGCATGGTACTCTTTTTCGAAACTTTCCGGCAAATTGGTGGTCCACGGAAGAAATATATCTTCGCTGGCTCGGGGATGAGGAAGGCGTATTTTGGTAGCGAACTGGGGCTCATCGGTAAATATGCAGGGTATAGCAGTTCCAAATTTGTCGCCGCACTTCTTCTTGTAAGCTTCATGCGTCATCTCAATAAATCGAGCCATTGCATCTTCGCTAAGAGTATCGATATATGTTTGATCATTGAACCAAGATGAATTGGGATTCGTCTCAACATAGGCATACCACACGTTCTTCCCGTGCTCGTCCTTTTTCAAAGTGCGGCTTGATTTAAGTGTACCATTGTTATCCAACTCGATATCAAACCTTGCTATGAGGTGTCCATTCTCACTCCTACTAGCTCTGGCAGACGCGGGAGCACCTCTGTATATGAATTGAATCAGAACATGAGGGGAATTTGATTGGTTCATAACTTACCCGCCAAGAGGTACTGTTCCATAAGCATGAGGTGTGAAAAGAAGATGTTTCCCTTTATGCTCGGGATATTTCTCAATAACCTTTCCACCAGCAGCTCCAGAAGGCCATCTATCATCATCATATAAACAAGCCAACATATGTTTAGTATCGGCATAATCAACACAAGCACGTATCAAATCCATGAATTCTGTTCCCATATATTCTGTATCAAGACCGGTGCGAACATGCATATGAAATCCCCCCAGCCCCATCTCTGCGAAATAATCAATTTGACGGAGGAGTTGTCCCTTGTCGAGCTTTGTGTTCCATGCCCAGAAAGGACAACCTCGATACTCCGATGATGGATTCTTGAACAATTGAGAATCATAAGGTAAAGAACTCTTAGGATAACTCAAGGGATTGGGAGTTTTTGATGATACATCTTGATTCCTGGGTTGGCTTCTTCCTTGGAGAGCTTTGCTGATGAAGGAGGGAATTGGTATATAATCCATGATGGCACCATCCATTGAATTGCAAAATGGCAAGAACTTTGAAATATTATGAAAGGGAACCAACCTAGTAACACTGAAGTAAGCATTTCAATAGCAACCTTTACAACGAGTTTCACTACGCCACCTCGGCCACCTCAAAGGATAAGGTTGTATGAGCATCTGAATGATTGGTTGAAGGAGTCGTGTGCATAGTAATATATCGGATGATACTAATACATTGCTGGGGCAACCAAGCGCGATGGGGTGTGGGGTAAGCAGGCTATAGTGTGTATTTATAATATTACAACCTCAATCTATTGAAACATTAGACAGTCGCGTAACTGTGTGACAAACGCGACATCAATGACGAGAGAGAGATATCTTCCTCTCCCAATCAAGTAGAAATGGAGTCCAGTAAGTCGATGCTTGGCTTTTGGAGAAAATTGATGCTAATTGTTCAAAGCTAGAGAAGAGCGCATGCAACAACGGTTACGAGGAGGTGCCCAGTAAGTTCTAAGAATTAACCCCTCTTCGTTATGCGGAATTGACCATTGATTGTGTAGACGTCAAGTCAAAGATGTCGACTTCGGTTTTATGTTACCAGCTTTTGCTGCACCCCCGCCAGCAGCAGAACCATCTCCAGTTCCAACTCCAGCGCCAACAATTCCAAATTCACTTCCAGAAGCTCCAGCAAATCCAGAAACTCCTCAACCCGAATTACCTTCACAGCCCATAAGTCAAACACCTGCTACTGCGACCAGAAGTCGCGATAGATCCTCGAATATACTAGGCTTACAATCGAATAACGTTACAAGATCTAATACTGGGAATGACGCAAATACGTCCGCAAAGAGAAGGAAGTTGGAGACTGATGAGCCACCATCTTCTTCTACCAGGAGTATGCGGTCTTCTCGGAGCTCTGCTAGGAAAGATGTATATGATTTACCAGAAGATGAAGAGCTAGAACAACCTGTGACGGATCATTCAAATCTGTCAATATTAGAAGCGTCGAAGGAAAATGTTTCAGAATCAGGAATGGCAGGGACCGCCTTATCACCTACCCATCTACCTTCTGAGCCAATTGAGTCCATCGAAAGAGATCCTTCAAATGAAATTGGGTTGGAAGAGGTCGAGGAAGACTCGTTGGTGGGCGCAAACACGTCGTTAGAAGAAGAAGCCGCCCTCACTCTAGTGAAAGCAACAAAATCTCCCAGAAAGCTACCACGTCCATCACGGAACAAAAGAAAGAGAGACGAGCCATCTTCCGAACCTTTAGTTGTAGAAGAATCGGTTCTTGCTGCAGCTGACACACTGGATACCACTAACGACGATATTGAGGAAGTTCTACCTCAAAAATCGAGACGATCTCGTCGAAAGTCGGCTTTGCAGGAAGATGTAGGAGTCAACGAGGAAGAAATGATTGAAAACAATACCGAGCAAGCGGAAGCGATAGACGATTATGAAGCCGCAGTAACATTGAAGAAAAGTCGAGGACGGAGAATATCCAGAAATATTGTTGCTTCCGATGAATCTATTCCTGAAGATGCTGCACCTCCTAGATCTCCCATCGCAAAGAAAAAGCAAGGTAGGGTTCGACAAGTTACTAGTCCAGTACAGCAACGTCAACCAGCACCTCCGAAATCCAAACCTCAAAGGGCAGAGAAAAAGATCAAGAAACAGAAGGTTCGCGAAGGAAGCCCGATACCTGTTATTGTACATCGTTTAACAAAAGGTCCTGTGTATGATGATGACGATTCGGATGCTGAGATTCTGAATTCCGAAATACCATGTGCGACAAGAGCAGGTGTCAATGCGGTGGATGTTCTTGGTCAAATTTGCCAAGAGCTAGTTACTGCTGGCTTAGAAACTCTTGGGGATAATGCTGTTAAAACTCAGGACGCTGCTCAAAGACTTGAATATAAAACCAAAATGCGAGCTGTAGATAGTTTTGGTAAAGAATTGCGAGTCCGCCTTCTAGAACATGTAAGTACTCCACTACTAACAATTGCATTCTCCGCTAACGTCTTTTAAGACAATCAACCTCGACAATTCGTACTCTCTTGAGAAACGTCTGCGTGAAGGCCAGAGAAAGAAGCTCTCTTTGCGAGAGGAAATCCTTCGTGTAAGAGCAGAACGAGAGAAAGTCGCTCTACGCATGGATGGAATCCGAATTGCTCATGAGAAAAACTCTCATGATGCTCAGGTAATGCTCCCCCGTCTTGTTAAAATTGCCTTTCACTAACCTTACATCACAGCAACGAGAAGTTCTCAACACAACAGTTCATGATATCGAACTTGCAGTCGAGCGAGGGAAATCTTCCGATCACACGGATGACGGGAAAACAAATATAGAGCTCATGTTGAAACGCATCGCTTCTGAAGCAAGTAGTGCAAGCGATGATGGAGGCGTTCTCAAACAGATCAAGGCATTCAATGCATTTATGGAAAGGGCTGCATTGGCGTTGGAGGGAAAGAAGGCTGTTTGAATAATTTTGATACCCCCTGGAAATGAATTGTATATTTTGCTTCTTGCTTACCCACGAACTCTGAATTTCCTGTAGAGTAATATCCACAATACATGAAGTTGATATATGAATATCTGGTCTAGCATCATATACCACAGTTCGTGTGCATTTCTGTTCATGTTTATGTCGACGCTAAAGTCCATATATTTCCACATGTCGACTCGCTGGCGACGGGGACAAGCTATCTGCTCATGAAAATATGTATCCCTATCCCAATCCCATCCCGTTCCATCTCAGCTCACTGGATCAGCACCTACTCACCAACCTATCTTTTTCCGTTTCCTCACACTCCCTCCCACACTCCCTCCCGCCTATCTTACCCGTCCGTCACGTTGCTGGGTAGTCCAATATCTCATCGCAAGTTTCTTAGCATGAGCAAACTCATCCTTGAATACTTAGGTCAGCGAAGTTGAATGTCTATATGCATCCGCACCAATTTACTTGTCTTTTACCTCAAGAATCATTCGGGAAGGCAGGGTCAGAGATTTACAAAATGAATCACCTCAAATGATTAGCAAGACTATTTATTCATTTTAATGTTCATTGTTATTTCTATACTAACAATGCTAATTGTAATCCGTTTGTCCCGTTTTTAGCCCAAGTCCCTCATGATGTGGTATCGATACTGAATTTTCCTAAAATAACTCCTTCGAAAAACAAAAAATCTCAACACACCACTCCATTATCCTATCCCTTGAAAACTCCTGTCCAAAAATAACAAGTACAAGACAAAAAAGACGAGAAAAAGCTCTCATTCGGAGCCCAGTGGTGTTTCATGTTACTCCATTGAATATAAAACAAGCAAAAGAAGAGCAAAAATAAGAAAAACACCAAGTTCCATACCGAATACCGCTTGATACCTCCAACTCCATTATAAACATTATAATCCAACACTTTAATCCATCCTCGATTCTCATTCCGGATTAGAATGCATAAGAAACATCCTTCAGACGATATAAGAAATCACTGTGTGAAGAAATCTGATCGACAAGCAACTTCAAGGATTCCGCAAGTGATCTTCTCAATCTAAGATTTTTGCTCTTATCCAGGGTACGTAACTCGGCCGATTTAGATGCATGTTGAGCACTCAATTGCTCAATTTGTTTGCGTACATTTGCCATGATCTGCTCCAGCGCAAGTTGGGGCTCCATGGTCGGACGTATGGTCATATCAGCCTCATCGCAATCTTCTTCCTCCTCTTCCTCATCATGCTGGACCTTTTTCTCCTGCCCATCCAATGCCTCATTCGTCTTAGGTAATTGATTTGGTGATAGTTCAATGTTGTCATGTTCCTTGGATTGTGATGTCTCAGCATCTACTGGATGTTGTGGTGTCTCGGCTGATGCTGTATGTTGTAGAGTGTCGAATCGCTCGACAAGGTTCTTGTAACGAGCAAGAACCATATCCCGTTGCTTTGAAATGTTCTCAATATCGGCTTTGAGTTCCTCATTTGAGGAAGACATTTCGGCCAAGGTCTTTTCCATTGCCTTCTTCTCTGCCTGATGTGATCTCGCCACAGCCTCGACATTAGAAATGGACTTCATCATCTGCTCATTTTCTTGGCGCTGTGTGTGGGCATCACGCTCGAGTTCTCGGATGGTCTCGTTCATGTGATTGTTCTGTGTGCGAAGAGTAGTTGTAATTGCATCGTGTGCGCGTTTTTCGTCTTCAAGGTTGAATATGACTTCATCCTGTGCTCTTTTTTCGTTGCGAAGGGTAGATATGATGGCGTCTTGTGCCTTTTTTTCGTTGCGAAGAGTAGATATAATATTATCTTGCTCGCTCTTCTCATTCAGTTCTTTCTGAAGAGAAGACATAATTGAATCCCGCTCCCTTCTTTCCTTCTGGAGAGAGTTTATAACAAAATCCCGCTCCTTGCGTTCATTCAACAATATAGCCACTTGCTGCTGAAGTTCGTCAATGGAGCGATAGATGTCGACCTCCTCTTTTCCCATAGGATGGGCGGGTTGTTCAAGAATTTCAATTTTTCTAAGTAATGAAGTTGATGTGGTGTCTACCAGCTTGGTGATGTTGTGAACTTCGGGAATTGCGAATGAGTTATTAACAGTCGTGGACATTGTAAAGGTTGGGCTGGCAGCTTTAGCAAATCTGCCAGATTTGATGGATGCGTTTGCTGGATGGTCCTTGATAAGGGTTTCGAGCTCTGCAAGTACTTGTCTTTCATTGTAATCAGCTTGAGCAATCTTTTCATGCTGGGAGCTTGTTGAGATAAGTGTTCGTTGTTTAGGTAGAATGTTCTCCTTGTTATGGATTGGATGTGATAGATCCAAGGAAAATTCGTGGTCGTCAGGTGTATTCTTGACAACTCGTCTTGGTGTATTTGCAGGCTGGACATACTCAGGTGCTCTAGTGTTCATTTTGGAGTTGTTTTTCGAGACTGAATTTGATCGTTCAGACATTTTCGATTTCGGAATTCGGCAAGGTGTGTGGTCTTGGTCCAATTTGTCCAATCTTTGAAGTTTGGATGCCAATCTAGAACTGTTATTTGTTCCATTAATTTGTGAAGATCCTCCTGTGAAGTCTTCGAAAAAATTGTTGAAATCCACAATGTTGGCAGAAATATCGGGCTCTCTTCTAGGGCTCCATCGATTGTATTTTTTTGCGGTATCGCGAATATCAATATCCGGACGTTGTGTTTGTTTACGCTTCAGTCTTTCGATATCCAATTCAGTTGACATGAAGCATTGCTCTGCGGAATCGTCGGGATCAAAGTAATTGAGGGTGTTATGACTGTCGTCGCTGACTGTATGGTGTTGAGTATTTGTTGAATTCAAATTGAGATCACGAGAAGATGAGGAGGAGCTGATGGAGCGGTTGGATTGAAATCGACTCTTGGGTCGTTGCGGGAGATTTTGAGAACTGGAGATGGAGGATAAAGTATCCTCGTAGTTATTGCGAGCCATGTCGTAAATTAATTAATTGATTGTTGAGAAGGTACAATGTACAAATTTTACAGATTTTAATGTTTTGAATCAAAAGTAAACAATCAGAACGCGACAAAAGGTTGTAAGAGGGACCGGGCGGGAGACGAGTATTATAGAAATCCCTGTGCGCTACAGATTCTGACTATCGCCCACTAAATTATTTGCTCTAACCGAATTAGGAAACGATCATTTACTAAGCACATGACAACGAGCTATTCACATATCATTTACATCATCTACACCATAGCTCTTCTCAATGTCTGATTTGGAATTAGACAATGAAATAGTGCTTTGGAACTAGACGTCTATACGCATTCTATCCAATGAACAACAGATCGCATTCCAAACTTAGCAGTTGACATAGGGTATGTCTTTCTGATATCCGAATTAGCTTAGATTAGACAATCAAATAGTACTTTGAGGGTTGAACATCTGGACATTCTATCCGATGAAGTATATTTGTTTTGCCTCCACGGCATTGGCTCCCAGAGGGCCAGCGGAGCGTCATTCTCTGATAAGTGTAAAAAACTATCTCTACGGATAATGAACCCTGAGTTGGCATATATGTTTCTTTGGGATGCTCCAATTCAAACAAAGCAGGCAATGAAATAGTGATATATAACCAGATGTCTAAACTAGATGGCGTTTTCAATGGCTAACCCTCCACGCGTCAGAGATATATATCCATGCCTCATAGCCCCTCTTCAATATCCCGAGTCGGTTCAGGCGTTGAATGTTCATTATTTATAGTGAGTAACGTAAGATATCTAATACATCTTTCAATTGTATCAAGAATGGGATCTTATTACTCTCGCGTTTGATCGGTTTTCTATCAATTGTCCACCCAGAGCTCTCAAACATATGCTACAACTGTGCTATACTTTTCGCCTGGAGTGTGATTGATACTTCATCAATGAGTGATTAAGTATGACAGATATCAGAAGTTCTTTTGTTGGGAATAATTCTTGTATAGATAGTAATGAGTGGTGAAGTTTTGAAGAGCATCTAGTATTGAGTCTAGTAAATCCTTAGTAAATGATTAGGTTTTCGCAAGTACCCTAACAACGGCTAAGAACAAACCCCTTGAACGAATTGATCCCATGACACTCCTCATCAAATGGAGCGTTACCGTTAACTGAATAGATGCAGCTTAGGGAAGACCCGTTAAACCTTGTGGTGTTGTGCTATGTTTCACGGTTGATGGTCGAAAATAAAGGCGACAGGCATTTAGTTTGAAACAATTGCAAGACTTAGGAAGCACTTCGCACCCAAGCAGGAGGGCTTACTGTACTTCGCAATTGTTGCTATTGACCAGAAATAACATGCCCACTAGAGAGATCTTCAACGAAAGGATTTCACCAATCCATATACTACAAATCCTAAGCGCATTATAGATCAAATCTTTACAGTCTATGTCGAGTATAGAGAATCGTTAGCTAGAACTCTAGCTTCATGACGTCATCTACATGAACCACTCCCAGCCCACCCTATAATAGCTGCCACACCTATTCATTGTCAATTCACATGATCGAATATCTACATACCTATTCACATGTTAGTTTCTGACCGTTAAACGAAGGGGCTGGTAACAAATCGATACCAAAAACTCGCGTACAACGAACGATGGAAATTCCCATCTACATGAGCTCGCATTGTCACTTAATAAAAGGTTCTGTTCACTGGTAATCACTACAATAACTAGGCATAACTCTTCGACTCACAGTGACAGTGACTACCTATCAAATACGCACAGTCACCAGTACACTACAACTCCATCATGGACCTATAGGCAACATGCCAAAACTTCACCACAATTGATGCCGCGTTTTACAATTGAGACTCCCGTCTTATCTTTTGGATGAGAGGCTATGACAATGACAATTGGTTCGGATTTGGAAGAATAGGGAGCTCGAGGAAATATCAAATCACAAATCACATCAAATCAAATCAAATCAAAACCACCACTACCTACATAGTATTCCAAGAAATTCCAGACTTCTATCAAACAATCAATACTGATTCGTTGTTAAACTCCCCGAAAGAGGGCATACATGCACCACCTACATTCACACAAAGGTCACGTTCATCACCAGCCAAAATATAAGTTTCCTGACCGTAAGAAGCTTTGAATTCTAGTACCATAGTCATCTTTCTTCCCACGTTCAATTCCAGACCTATTCATTCCCGATCCTGAAAATAGTTTCAATCATCTTCGATCTGACATGTCGAGTATCCTGTAACCGAATCCTGCATCATATCATCCGGCTCAAGCCCCATAAGTCGCTTCACATCTATGTTTCCTTCATTCTCGCCTCCATTTCCCTGTAGTTGAATTCGCCATTCAAAGAAATTTATATTATACACTCATGAAATCCACCCCTTTATTAGCCCAAAGAACTCTTCTTGTTGGCAAATTCCCAAAGTCACAAAACCGAAACCTTCTTAATCCTTTGCTGCTGCCGGCAAGATAATTGCAGTGCCATGGTCAGACTCACAAGTAGTACTCAACCAACGCCCGAAACACCTTTGATTTGAACTCTGACGCTCTACATAAGCATGAAATGTGTAGAACAACCAGAATAACGTGTACCACGCCTATAACACTTTTGTACAACAAGAACATGATGTTCAAGCGAAAAACCATCCACCCAATTCCCACATCCCCGGAATGTAAATAGCCCGTTGTTTGAGCTGCGGGTTATTTAACCCTTGTAGGAGAAAGTCAAGTCGACTAAAATTGATAGGTTTCATTATCCAGCCATCGAAGCTAAAAAAGAAAGTTCATTAATTTCTTTCGTAAAATGATTCAGGGAAGATTAAAAAAGGAGAATAGACATACCCCGCTTCGATATAATCAAATCGTTGTTCCTCTGTGAGTGAGGCCGAAGCAGCAATAATGGGAACTCTCCTCCTAACATGATGTAATTCGAGATGTTCCCTCTCAAACTTGCGTATCATTCTCGTTGCCTTCGTACCATCAACAAGTGGCATCTACGAAATGTTAGCTGTCACATATTAACCTTCAATAGGATTAGAGGGATGACGTACTTGTAAGTCCATCAAGATGACGTCGACATTATTGTTTCCAGACGTGTAGTAATCGTAACATGATTGCCCCTCAGCTGTAACTTCAGGTTTATGTAAAAGTTTGCTGAGTCTTTTATGCAAAAGCTTTGAGTTGATAGGATTATCCTCTGCGATTAGAATAGAAAGCGACTTCTTTGTTGACACAAGATCGACCATAGTTAAGAAAGGTAGGCTTGATCTTCGGCGTGCGGATGGTGGCTCGACAAATTCTTCTTTCGAATGCATTGCGAGATCGAAAAATGATGTAGTAATAGATGAACCCTCTTCGATTGGTGTAGCTAGCGGAGTGCTTCCGAAAGTCGACATCGTATAACTAGAATTCATTTTTTCACTCTCATCGTAATTGCTTCCGGAATCGGAAAATGGACGAATCTGTCTAGCAGTACTGCTGGTTAGGATTTCTTGAGCACTTGAAGCAGCTGGAGCGTGTTCAAAAGGTAACTCAATACCGAATATAGTCCCTTTACCTACCTCACTATGTACTCGAATTTGACCATTGGAGTTACGAACATATCGCGCAACTACAGCAAGGCCGATACCAAGTGTCTCTCTCACATCACTTAGTGGTTGTACCGGCTTTTTAATTGTAGAGCAATCAGTCTCATCCAATATCTGTTCAAACTCCTGGAACAATTCATCAAGCTGTGACTCCGACATTCCGATTCCCACATCTTGAACGGTGAGAGAAATAACAGTGCTGGCTGGCCATATCTGTATGGGTTTGATGTCGATTTTAACACCGCCGACGACGGAGTTTTGGAATGCATTGCTTGTAATGTTAGATATAACCTGCCGCAACCGGACAGCATCACCCCTGACCATTTCCGGGATGCCTTGTTGAATAGTAACGGTTAAATCTAGATTCTTTCGGACAGCTTCTTTTTGGAAAGCTGACATGACTTCTGAAACTGTAGCTGAAAGATCGAAAACATCTTTCATGGAATTCACCGGGCCAAATTCAGCTTTGGTGAGCTTCAGGAGGTCGTCAATGACATAAACCAAGGATCTTGAAGCTCTGTGAGCTTTGTCCAACAACTCGCGGGTTGGACCTTCGATTTTGTCCTCAAGTGCCATTTCGAGATAGTTGACAACAGCATTCAGAGGAGTGCGAACTTCATGACTGGTGTTTTTCAATAGAAGGCGAGTCATTCGATTGAGTCCTGTTGATTCCTTCTGTCGCCAGATTTCGATGAACCTTCCATACAGAAGACTTAGCACAGACGCAGTCTCGAAATCATCAGCGTTCCATACTTTAGAAGTGCCTTTGATAGTCTGTGTCCAGCGACTAAAACTACTTCTTGGCTCTAGATACTGTCCTTTAGCAGGCTTGATCTTTTCATAAGGGTTACCAGCCCATCTGACTTCGCGAAGTTGACCTCTTCTAAAAAAAACCAAGAAATCATTCCCTCCGGTGCTAAGAGGTATGACTAGTATCCCAGCTACAGCGCTGATTCCTGGAGAATCTTTCAGTTTCGGCAAGTCTTTTGTAATATTGTGCGTGGAGTATATTTCAGTGAAGTGGCGAGACTGTAGGTATGCAAGAATTGTCAATGCCTCGCGATAGGGGCGAAGTTTTCCAATAGCTCGTGCTTCATCCTGAATATTTAAAAGACCAAAGTCGGCATCGAAAACTCGTAGTAAGTCGTCGGAAGATGCCGCAATAAAACCAGAAGGTGTCTTTCCTGGATTCTGACGTGGTGCTTTGCGAGCTTCAATACGTTGATGCATCAACAATCGCTCAATATTTGTTGAAGCACACTCTCCAATATTTCTGGCCACTATGTAAGGGATAGCACAGTCAGCTTTTCTTGTTCAAGACAAAGTAAAGTGGAAAATGATTCTTTTGAACACAACATGTATCTGATGCGTCTAGAGACAATAATCAATCTCGCTAATCAATCTCAGAGAGAATATGACAGCTCGGAGAATACTCACGTTCACGCATTGGTAAAGTTACGCGGGTGCCATGGCTGCCATACCCATGACATGCAATAAGTCCCCAGAGATCGCCATCAATTACAATGGAAACTGACATTGTCGAACGTACTCCCATATTCGAAAGATACTTCAAATGAAGTGGCGACATGGCGCGTAAATAAGCGTGCGTTAAATCGAGGGGCTTTTCAAAATCTGACTGATCACGACAGACCTATCGTATTGTCAGTAAGGCGAAGTTCAGCTTTGCTTCAGAACAATAAACACTTCAAACATTCTCTCACGACTTTCGAGCAGTGTATTGGCGCATTTATTAGCTGGGGTATTTGAGGAGCACGTGTCCAAACTGTTGAGACACATTGAACTTGATGTTCGAAACGAACTCAAATTTGTAACATGAAATTGTTCAGGCGGAGTTGATTGTTGTGGCTTCCGACGCATGGCAAGAAAAAGTAAAAAGTAAAACGGTTACATAGCCACCATCTACACAAAAACAACAACAAAGTAATTAAAAACTTGCTCACCAGTCGTGCGGTCTCTTCATCTCGGTCATGAAGCATTCGTATCCTGTTAATCTTATATAAATCCCGAGCTTGCTTAGGGATATCCGAAGCTATCAATTATAAGTTATCACTGATCCGTTTAAAAAGGGGGGATGAAAGGGAGAATTCATCCAAAAACGAACCTGGAAAATGCAGTCCTCTAAATATATCATCACTGGCTTTGGGATTGAGTAACTCAGCCTCCACACATCCATTTTTGGTGGAATCGAATCGATAAAACATGACTCGATGAAAGCCGGTCAAGTCAAATATGAGGCCCACCAAGACGTCTTGAAGCTTTTGAACCGAAGTACACGCAGCAAGTTGTTCTTGTGCTTGTGTCATAGCATTAAACACTTCCAGAGAACCGACAGCATGCCTGCCCTTTCGTTTTGCAATCTGCAAGACGCGAAGAGGTTGGCTTCCACTGGAGATACTTTTCAGTCGTTCTCCAAGTACTGTTTCATTGTCGATAGTTCGCGTCGGCAACTTGGGTAAATCGTTCGTGGTATTATGAGGTTCATCAGAAAAAAACATTTCGTCAGAAAATGGTTCAAATTCACAGATGATCAAATCATCTGTGCCTTTAGATATATGAATCGCACACCAAAGATTTACCAATCCTGTGTGTGCAACAACCGACATGGAGAAGACATCCAGCTTTGTGTCGGAGCATGGGTTTTTGGTGACAGCCCGAAGAGCATGATCAACTCGTGCGATAAAATCTTCGCGAACGTCAACGCCAAGAAGGTCAAGGAAAGAATTTAACGAGAAAAGCTGTTCTGGAGTATATTTCAAAATTTTGAACGCATTCTCGCTGGCAATCCGAACCATGAGGTCTCCCTGATCATTGTATCTCAGGGCTAGCAATGCACCATACTGTTGAATTGCTCCTGGAATATGTATAGGTTCATCTCCACACTTGAAAAATGTCCGCTCCTCAGTGCTCACAGGTTCGCCGGGGGCTATGCCTGGGGGACCCGATTTCGAAGGGATCAATTGTGAACGTTGCGATATCTTCCTATCTTCACTCTCGGCTGGGCCTTCACCACCGCCAATTTCTGTTGAGTAGTCATGTATTGAATCTTTAGGTAATCTGCGAATTTGGTCATCGGGAGGTATTGGTGGGTAAGGCGGCGGCAAGAAGTTCGTTTCGCTAGAGCCATCGGAATAGCTTTCATTATTCAAAATGTCATCTTTATCGTAAGGCTCTTGACCCGAATTGGGACCTCGACAGCTTGAATTTGATGAAGAAACACCGTCGGTATTCTGCGAGGCTAATTCTGTATCGAGGTCTCTTCCATTGACAAGATTTCGAATGGGAAATATCCGTTCGACTTGAAACTCTTCAACCGATGGGTAAACCACCGACTTGGAAGGTGTTGTATCTATGTTGGACATCATTCAGCATATTGTATCCTACCAAGCAGAATATTGAATATTGAAAGTGTCCATCTCTAAACGCTTGGTTGACGTGTAGAAAAGAAATTGTGATCAATATAGAACTGAGATCCATCGGTGCATGGGGGCTAATTTTATTTGGGCAAAGTCTTGGTCTAGCTTGAAGGCTAGAGAGACCGCTCGACGAGCGATCCCATGGTTAGTCGCGATGGTATGGAGATCGAAGTGAATCCCTATCGACACCAGCCACGGAGAATGCTCCGTAATGACAAGGATACCGAAAACTTTATGCGTGAAGTGCAAGGAGCTCTACTCGGTGTTGTTTTGAATGAATGCTGATCTCAATTTAGCTAGTGTATATTATATAAAAAACCATCAAAAGTTACTTATTTCAAAATTCTATATCAATTTAAATAGAAAGAATAAAGATATAAAACTTAGTACTTAATTAGATATTTAATTAAGTTTTATATATATATTTCAAAATAAAATAATTCTATTTCAATTTTGAATTATTTAAGAAATAAAAGTGTGTGAACAAGGGTATTCACTTCAAAGGAATGACTTCAATACAATGGCTACTGTATCAAAGGTATTAGGCGAATGCGAAAAAAACTAGCTCTTTCAGTAGTGCCTATATAAGGCCTACTATTTTCCCACTTAGCTAGCTCTTTAGATAGAATACAATTAGACATTTAGGACCTACGAATATGTGGGTGCTACGCCTTTCGTATCCTTCTCGAACCAACAAAAAGAATAAGTAGTATAGAAACAGAACTTACTGTGAGCGAAACTTAGTGCAGGTCACGTGACCTCTTTTTGTAGCTAGTATTTATAGGTCTTCTTTGTATAGTTTAGAAAAAGCAATCAGTTTCCCACTCACCTTCTTGTACGTTTCGTGAAGCGCTATGTAGAGCCTCCCTCTCCTCTCCTCCGTCAGAGGCACTACGTCTCAGTGACTTATCTGTAGTATTTACGAAGGACTACTCTATGACCCTACCACCTTCTACTCTTTTACATTACTAATTTCAGACTTTAATTTCTTAAAATTAAGGCTTAAATATTACTTTTCGAATCTGATTTTTTTTTTGATTATTATTTCTTTAATATAATATTTCAAGATCTGAAATCTTGATATATAATATATTAATAGATTTTAATTCTATCAAAAAAGAAATAAAAAAAGCTTATATTGATTCTTTTGATATTGAATTTTGAAAATGCTGAATAACCACGATTTGATAGAAAAATTCGTTTAAATTTGAGGTCGGCATTCATTCACCAGTGGGTGCACGAACTTACGGGATACTGAAGAGGGAAAGTATAATTTCACACCAAAAAGAGCGATTTTAATATTCAATTAAAATTAAAATTAATACTGAATTTGCTTGAAATCGAAATATATAGCTTTCAAGCATAAAAATTCTATACGAAATAAATTTTGAACTCAAAAAATCAAAATTGAAGTATTGATAATAGAATATATAATCCCCTATCAAAATTTTTTGCGAGAAAACGTATTATCAAACTTTTGAGCCCAAATCCGATTTTTTTTTTTGAAACAAACTTTAAATGAGTTATTCTTTAATACTTGAAAAACTATATATCTCAATTTCAAGAGAATTCAATTATATGTTGAATTTTAATTGAATTATTAAAATCACTCTTTTTGGTATGAAATTGTGCTTTCCTGTTATGTTGTCCCGTGAGTCCGTGCACCCACTGGTGATTCAAAACGACACCGAGTAGAATGTAGAGAAGCAAACAAATCTTTAAAAATGGGCTCGATGGGAGCAATTTGAAATTTTGTACAGTATATTTCAGTTAACGTGGTTTATCATCGAGTGGGCCATCATTTTTACATACAAAATTCGTCTGTGCGTAACCGTGCACTTTCTTTATTTATCGATAGAATTTTCTAAAAATTAAAACTATAAATTTTAATTATATAAATAATATGAAAATCTAATTATTTATTGAAAATTCAAATTATTATAATAGTTATTATAGAAATATTTCTTTTGTAACGAAAATCGTAACAAATTCCATTTTTTTTTCAAATATAAAAGAAATTTTTATATCAAAACTAGATTTATAAAGAGCTAAACTTTTATTATTATTTTATATTATTTTTTTTCTAAACAATAAGGATTGATTATTAAAATAACAATATTAAAAAAGCATTAATTTTGGTGTATTTTGAAGTGGCCCACTCGATGATAAACCACGTTACCCCTCCTCCAAATTCATCAAAGCATACCAAAGTATTCATGAAAGGTGGAAATTGACAAGGCTAAGATCGTGCGTGACAAAGACGAGAGTTCATTATCATCTTGAATTTTGATAATGGAAGATTTTGCCTCATTGTACCAACAACGAACCTACTCCATATCTTTTGACGAGAAACGTTATTGATCTTGACTTACTTCCACGGCGTATTGTGTAGCCAAAGAAGACGTCACTGTATACTTCCTACTCATCATTCATCACATAGGAGATAACCGCGCAGAGCAGGACATATGTGGCCCGTGCGAACGGAAAGCCGCGATGGGATTGTGCAATATCTGCCATTGGCATCGGTATCGGTTAATCCTTTCCTGACTCGCTGCGTAGAATTCCAAATCCTGCGTAGCTTTTGAGAAGACATTGAATCTAAAATCTTTATAATGCTGACATTAGCTGTCATAGAGACGTTACTATTCCCAAGTAATGGTTTCAAGTTTCACGATATCTATCAACCTCCAAGTTTTGGAGGATCATGAAAATCAAGCTAGACCTAAAGGTACAAATCTTCCCGTGCTCCGTGAATGGGGTAAATGCACTCTCCGAAGTCTATAAGAGTAAAGAGTTGTTACTTATTATTGTTATTACAGGGGCTTCTATCAAAAGTGGTACTTCGTACATATCAAAAAAGAAATCAAACTCAGCCCAGATTACCTGGATTTCTATAGATAGTCAGCTCAGAAAATTCACACTGTAGACGGTTATCAAACGGGTGAATAAGATGGTTAAAATACATTTCGATGAGGAAGTAGTGAGAAAGAGCTCTGAAGATCGTGCCATTTAGATCATGCTGCCTTCTGCGTAAACAACCTTGGAAACTCCAGAGTACCTCTACCCCATGCTGACCTTTCAAGATGATCCATGTATGACCGTGCACGATGTGACCCGATATTCAAGGCTAGGCTAGAAGCTATCAGACCTACATCGCATCGTAGAACAACACCTACGTACAGTAGCCAGGCTCCAGGTATGGCCCGTTAGACCAAATCCAGCTGTAACCTCACCGTTTCTGGCGGTTAGCTCTCGGTCGACCAATAAACAAAAATTATACATCTCCTATTTCCTATTTTCAAATGGAAATCTCAGCAGAAAACTTCCACATTCCAATTCTCTCGGGGTACGATCCACTTTCAACAATCCACTCAATCATGGTAGGCCAAATCCATACAGTGTGGAGGTTCCTTCGCTGAATCCTTTCGCGATAGGAAGGTCTGGGGAGCTGACTACCTACCTAGCATTATCACTCGGACCTCCATTTAAAGTTTATCCTTTTGAGATCTGGACCACTTCATCCTAGAAGACAAAAAGGAAGCAACAATATATATTCATCATAGCTGACGCCAGTAAGTGGCAGAAACCCTTGCTGCCTTTCAATCTTCATCATATTCATGTTTTCTTCTGAATTCTGATCATATTTGGACTCAGAGCTGAACATATGGGGTTGACCGAATGCTCGAATATTTGATGTAAGATCTTACGAATTCAACTTTCATCCGCATTGAAACAAAAAAATATCCTAAAAATTACATCAAGATTCTACAATCACTTATCATTCACGCTTCAGATCGATCGAAATTCCATTTACTATTTCCTCCAACGTCACTTCTTTAAGCGCACCCCAAAAAGAGGTATTGATAACCTAGAAATCTGTACAGTACCGTAGCGCAACATATCATTCGCTGGCTAAATGGCGTCGTATAAGCCACACCAAAAATTTATGTCAACACCTCCAGCTTCCGAGAACATTATTTCAAATTTCAACACAAATATGAATACTCCATTTTTAATTACAAAAAACTCGTGATTTTTTAGTGATTCACTATCAATTGCCGCGCCTCAACGGTCTGGAATGCAAAACATCAAAACTTAAATTGTGCGTGGAATGCGATTCCCGATTTGTGGGATCCAAGAATGCGGGGGATCGTGATATCAACATTGACCAACGATCTTAAAACTCATTGACCCTCGCCCCCCTTAAATTAGATAGCAGCTCGATAACAGACGATAAAGATTGCCACTTAAGATGCTACTCATCGCCCCAATATTACAAGTCATACTTTTCTTATCGATCGCATCCTCCTTCGCTGTCTTAAATCCAGCTGGAAGTATCGGGTCCAAAGCGACCGCCCAAGATGGAGCATGCATCAAGCAAGGCGGTAAAAGCTTCCTCTTATCTCGTTCTGTCGCTCCGTACTAAAGTGAAATAAGGTCTCTATGCCCAAGCACCCTGTTGTAAAGACTCGGGTTTAGAATGTCAACTAGACGGTCATGGCATCCATTTTTGCGAATACGAAAAAGATAATGCGACTCCGACTACAAGATCGACATTAGATACCTTCTATGAGATTCTTCTAGCATTTGGAGGAAGGGCTTCGACGGTTTTGAATAACTTCGCTCATCGGTCTAAACATCAAGAGTTTGGTGAAGATGTTGGGATGAAAATAGAAGTTTCTTTGAGACTACGTGGTGAAACTATTACTGCGAAGGAATCTTGTGGTAAAGCCGGCTGTAGTATTGACCCTTCCAGAATTCATACACTTCTTAAAAACTCACGACTGGGAAAATAGCATCATGCGATTTTCACAAAGGCGAACACTGTTGCCCCTCACTTGTTTGCTACATGTCCAGAAGTTCAAGCGTGAGTGAATGCCGTCCACCTTCCGATGTAAGGTCTGAAGATGAAGAAACTCTGGATGTATTGCGGAAACCATATCTGTCACTTGAACAAAACTTGAACTTGAATTTGGATTTGGATTTTGAAAGTCTTGAGCCAGAGGAAGAGAAGAAAGAAGAAGCAAAGAAGTGGGAATTTCTCGAAGTAATTAAAATGCCGCCTCGACTAGACGATATCACCGAATTACCCAAGTGTAAACCAATGAACAGTAAGTTCTTTCTTCTTGCCTTTCTTGAAAATTTGAGATTAAAGAGAAACTAGTGAAATGCAATCCCATAAGCGGCATCAGAGTTTGTTGTCCAGACTTAGACTGCATACAAGTAGGTCCCGCATATGAAGACTTCGAATGTAGGCAAGCTCTGGAAGATCGGGGCAAAGAGGGAGCTGCAACATCTCCATATAACGAGAAAATTGGCGGTAAATCACAGTGGTTTCTTGGTGGCTGAAAAGTCCGAAATCTAAAATGATTGGGAAGAAATCGAGGGGGAGAAACGAAGAAAGTGAGAAGTCTGACGATGATGAGCTTCTATCTTTCTAGTTTTTCAACGGGATGGTATAGGCGAATAGGTGTAAAAGGATATTCCAGGAAGGAATGCAGAGAATTCTGGTAGTCGGTATTAGCGAATCATGTGCCTTTTTGGATTGAAGGCGTAGCAAATTGGGATGTTGTTAGTTGGCTCCGGTCTTGAAAGAGAATTGGAGGTTCACATTCGATACTAAGGAGCTCCTAAATCGTACCTACAATAATGCAACAGTAAGAAACTCGTTTTTCGAGGCGTCTTTATGAATGGAATCTGTCTGGAACATCGAATTGAGTGATAAGTCACTATTGGATTGAAGCATCAACATTTTCTAGGCCACTGAAGTCAGTTCAACAACTTAACATTCACTTTGCTTTCACATTTTATTTTTCATCTTCAACAACAATAATAAGTTCTGAAGTATTCACTCGACTAGCACCAAACCCATAAAAAACTTTTCTCGTCCTCCAATATCACAATTTCTTCATCGTTTCTACAACCAATTCTGTTCGATCTATCCCCAGATCAAACCACCACATCAAATCTACCTCACAAGCCAATTCCCTAATTTCCACTTTAACGACAACAATGTCTTCACCAGAGAAGCCGCCGGCTGAGAAGACCACAACTCCTCCTCCAACAAACTCAAAGAAGCCGTTCTCTTCACCAAACGAAATGGTCACTTTTATCGTTGGCACAGGCGACAAACAAGAGACCTTTCAGATCCACAAACAAATCGCATGCGAACATTCGGAAGTCTGGAATCGTGCTTTCAATAGCGTATTTGTCGAGGGACAAACGCAAACTTATCGGATTGAAGACACTGGCCCTGAGGCGTTTCGATTATTGACGCAATGGGTTTACCGAGAGAAATTCGACCATATTCATTCGGGAGACTTGGATGTCAGCCACCGCGATCATTTGCATTCAAATGCCTAGTGTATGGAAGAAGATAGTATCCTGCTAAGTCTTTGGATTTTGGCCGAAAAGTTTCTAATTTATCGACTCCAAAATTATACTATGCAAATTCTTTGTAAAAAAGGGACCGCTTGTAGAATACACGTACTCTTCTATAGATATGTCTATGAGAACACAGTTGAGGGCAGCGCTCTGCGTCGCTTTCTGGTTGAGCAGAGTTGTTGGGCCACTCAACCATCTCACTATGGATTGATTGTTTACCCTATGGGGATGCTGAGGGATATTGTGACAGTCCTTAAGGCACAATTACCTGCCAATGTGAAGGCAAGGAAATTTTCTCAAATGACTGGGGACAACTATTTGGTTGAGGAGAATCCAACTACCGGTAAGCAATTCTCTCTGTAACATTTGATATCATAACTAATTGAACAATAGAATCCTGAATTTTATCTGAATCGGCAATTTTGCGAAGCATAGCTGCGAAGGGTGTCTCTGGTCGATTGACTAGACTCGGACGACGAACTTCCAGTATTGTGCTCCGTTAATAGCGCACACAGGTTACTTCAATGCGGGAGACTGTTGAAGGATATTTTCAGCTATGAGTTCGTTGTGTACACACGCTCATGCAGGCTGATATGGGATGCCATTGGAAGTGGGAGGAGAGATAATAGGTATTCTGTTCCTCGCTCATTGCGGCAACACACATGTCTGTTGGCCTAATAAAGTAAAGTCAAGCTAAGAATGTATTCTTCCGACAATTGTTTCTGCTTTTTTCGTGTGAACTTGACCTGTTTTACCAAGGAGTTTGATGCTTCGGTGAACTATACATGATGAAGACTATGATGATACTTCCTTTTTTTCAAGATTGCAAGCCTAACATTGTTTGCAAAGTCTTCGTGCTACATCAATTAAGCTTTTGTCATGACCAGAAGATCCACATCGAATATGATTACTTGAATCGAAAACTTCATCTTATGTGTTGGCTAAAACGTCAACAAGATAAGATGCACCTTCCTCATTTCTGACAAATTGGTGCTGATGCTCACCTCTGGAAATGCCAAAATTCACACACTTCAGCATCTTGACTTCTAAATGTGAACAATACCACACATCGGATTTTCGGAGCGATCTGAACATGCCCTTTGAGGTAGGAAGGACATGTTTGTCTTTCAGAACAGGAGAACACTATTTCACATGGTCAGAATGATGTATATACATTTTTCAAAGACTAGATAGCATGCGATTATTACACATTTATTTTGGTCGAGAAAATAAGAGGAGGGGATAAATTGGAACTTTAATCCTCTGTGAATTTTCCAGGTAATTACAATATAGATAACTTTACAAAACACCTCACCCATCACCAGGGATACAATGACTGCTCAGGCCTATCAAGTCCCCAATTCCCAATCAACATAGTTTTCAACACCCATTTTCACTCAAAAACAGATATCTGTGCAGGTGTTTTTCAACTTGAGTAATGGACCCCAGCTGGGATAAATAAACATCCATCCCAGGCCACATACTTCTTCCTCATCTTCTAGTCTACGTTTCTAATACTCTTGGAATCTATGCTCCGAACATTGAAACTCACTACATTCTTTCTATTTACTTAATCGTCATGCGAGAAAACAGTAGTATCTAGATATACATCGACCTCCCAGGGCGAAATAATGTTCTCTTTGTACGTAGATAAGTGGATAAGCATACCCAAATAACACAACATCACATCCACTCCCAAAACATTCCATCCCGAACTCAATCGTGTTGATCAAACACTTCATATCTCCAACTCACTAAGCTTCTCAACAAACAAAAATCATAAGTAAGTTCCGTTCGAGCTAAATTGAACCCCACTCTCCCCTCCCCCCTTTTATTTCTCCATTTTCTACTCTAGCCGAACGCAAATATTGCTCACCCATCTAGCTACTGTCAAGAAATAAAAATTGATATTGTCACTTCCATGATCAATGGATAAATTGAATGAATACCAGAACAGAAATAACTAAGATATATTCTGGCCTGTGCCTTATCAAATCCATCGAGGAGGTACTTAGCCCCATTTTTCTATATCATGGGGTATATTCCTGGGACTAAATAAAGTGCCAAATTGGTTGCTCTACGCCTGATCTCATATCTGTATCCATTTTCCCAAGGTAAATACAGAACCCCAAACACCGCGCTTAAGCAAAATAGCCTTCTCGTATCTTTCCTCCATTCGCCTTTCTCCGTCCCAAAATCCCAATCAAATACACATCTTAAAACATTAACCCCGCAGCCCCTACAGCCACAACTCCCATAAAAACACCCCATCTCAATTCTCCTTCTCTCCCCCTCCACCCCACCACACTACCTCCCGCAATACTACTTCCCGCACTCGTAACTCCACTCTCCACCGTATCACTCGCTTCCCCTTTAACCTGCTCTTTCACATTGTCTCTAAAAAACTCCTCTTTATCCCCCTTCCCCCCATTTACAACATTCCCCGCTGGCCAATACTCACACACTACATACCATCCCGGCGTATCGTTTTCTCCTGCACAATTGGTGCGCGCGCAACCGACAGATGTGGTGTTTGACCAGACTAATTGTGTAAAGTGACCTGTATCTTCGCTAAAACCTGGAGAGGAGTACGAATATTTGAGGCGTTCGAGACCCCAAGCGTCGACGGATGAGGTCGCGTTGGGATAGCCGGCCGCTAGATTTTCGCCTGTCGGTCCGCCCTGGTAATAGGTATTAGTTATTTGTTATTTTTGGGGGGCTTGAATTTATGAAGTGTCCAACTTGGGAAAGGGGGACGGGAGACAGAAAAGAAGGACTTGACGTACAGAATGTTTAAAGTCGCAACCTTTGGACCATTCCTTCGCTATTTTCGCACTGGTATCATTCCACTCCAAGTTACTAACATTTTGTTCTCCCCGATAGAAATTATGCGCCGCGATCATATCGGATTGGAATCGAGAATCAGAGGTGTATGATGTAGAAGTTGGTTGAGAGGCTGCCGATTCCGTGACTGTTGTAACAGTTGTGGTTTTTGCGGTCCCCAGAGGTATCAGGAAAAGCAGATTTATGGGTATGCGGATAAGCATTGTGAGATGTGGTTTTTTAATGGGCTTGTAGAAGTGATTCTATGTAAACAAGAGTGTCTTAAGAGAACTAACGTTACGGTGATAGCAAAAAGTACACCGTCGCAGCAGAAACACAGATATATATAGCAAATACCCTCGCGTCAGAAGTAAGAAAAGTCGTGAGATGAAAGTGAGATGAAAGTGAGATGAAGTCTGTGGTCATCGACATCATATAAATCTCACCCCAAGTCCTATAAGTCCTCGCATATATGCTCTTACTTTTGATTGGAACCCAACGTTCATCAGTCCTATAACTCCGAGCCTGGAAAGTGTAAACCAAGGACAAAAAAGTAGCAAATGACCAGCATTGCCTCACCGGCGTACAAAGAAAAGATCCGGAGAACCCTTGGTCATACATTCACCTTTCTACTTTGATTCCCGACTCCACTAACCTTGCAAGCAACCTCCACTCAAAAAGAAGCCCCCATCTCACATCGTTTCGTTATATTAATCATGTTGTGCTGGTGCCAAATGAATGGATGATTTGCATTCATTTACTTGTTTCTTGATTTCGTGTCTCGCGAAGCATGGTTGGTCGTGAAGAGGCATAATAATAAGAAAGATCCAGACCAAATGACTAAGCGAGAAAACGGGCGCTTGGGGGCTATGACGTAATACCGCTGTTCAATCAATTGCACGAAATCCGGGGAGAAGTCTTAATTCCTAAGGGTCCGCACTTTAAATTCTATTGAAGAATACCTAGTAGATAGTACAATTTGTTAATGCCCGGTTACTCCACGCCGCTTCCATTCTTTTTAGACTATTTCAGTTGAAAATCTTTTTAACATCTAAGGCAATTCATCCACATTTCCATTCAAACCATTGGTATCATTTGCCTCTGGAGTGAAGTCCTTAACATCCAATTTTTCAACAATTTTATTCCAGCCAAATGTATCCTTGAGCTTTCCTGCTTGAATTCCCTTAAGGGTGGTGAGAAGCTTCGCGCAGATAGCACCGGGTTCTTCGGAGGATGAAGGGATATATTCTGCAGTTTTGTTATCGGAGTAACGGGTTATGGAGCGAATTGGGACAAGAGCAGCGGCAGTCCCGGCGGCCATTACTTCGGTGAAAGTGGGGAGTTCTTCGTATTTGATCTAGAAAGATGAGGGTTAGAATAGGTTGAATGTGAGTTGGAGGTAACAAAATGGATGGGACATGGGAATTGCACAAAAAATAAAGGAGGGGAGGATTGACTAACCGAGCGAACTTCCGTCTTCCACCCAAGACTCTTTCCGATTTCCAAGATACTATCAGATGTTACACTAGCAATAACATTCTTACTATCCGGTACCACCAATGTAATGGAATCTCCCTCCTTCTTCGCGCCAATGAATCCACTTGTAGAAAATTCGTCGATTTCGCTGCGCGTTTGACTATCCAAATGCAATGTTATACCATATCCCTCGTTTCTGGCTTTATCACTCCATCTCAACACTGGCGCGTAGTTTCCTCCCACTTTTGCGCTTCCGGTTCCATGTGGTGCAGAACGATCGAATTCCTCGAGAATCAAGCACTTCACTGGGTGTACACCATGGTAAACGCCTACTGGGAGGACATAAACACAGAAAGTATATTCCTCTGGGGGACTCAATCCCAACTGAGCACTGGAACCAAAGATCAAAGGTCGGATGTACATGGCAGCGCCTGTTTCATGAGGTGGTACATATTCTGCATTCAAAGAGACAGCAGCATGTACACAGTCCATGAAGACATTCTCAGGAACAGGAGGAATGGAGATGAATTCTGCAGAGTGGGCTAGACGAGCGGCATTTTTGGTAGGACGGAAAATGGTAATGGAGGAGTCTCCGGGAGTGCGGAAAGCTTTCATGCCTTCGTATGCTTGTTGGCCATAATTGAGAGCGGGGGACATGCCATGAAGACGGAGGTAGGGATCGGTAATGAATTTTGGAGGGGTCCATTGGCCGGTTTTAACTGAGTAGTGAGATTCGATGTGGCCGTTGACTGAAGGAGGAATTAGCTTTCTGTGGACGAGACTTTTGACAGCAGTCAATTGAGTAATAATAGGAAGGCTAAGACAGAGAAATTGATATTACCTTCACGGAATTTGAAGCCAATATCACTCCAGTCGATTGTGCTAATAGGGGGAGGAGGGAAAGCCATATTGATTTGCAAAAAAAGATCTGATGAGAATTGCTTTGAAAGTCAAGATATCCAGAAATTTGGAAGTAGCACAGCAAGTATTTAAGATGGTGAAGGATTGAAGATTGATAATAATGAGTCTTTCAATGTTTCCACGGAAATGTAGTAAATACAACACAGTCAGCTAGCTCAAAAAATATTTCATGTTTCCGAGCTCGGAGAACGCGGGGCAGAAATGACGGAAGGGGAGGAATGATGCTCCGAGATGTACCTGAAGAAATGGGGGCGGAGAAAAGGAAATGTTACAGCTTTGTAGCCAATTAAGATACGATCTTGAATGAATATGAAACAATCAAATAGAACGAATGAGAGTCTTGGAATTAATTTATTCGAGGGACGGCGATTGCTAAAATAAGAATTTATCACGCTATGTACCTATGTACCTAAGTAGGTAGGTACTTGAGGATGAATTTGTCGAATGTTCGGAATCAGTAGTTTCTTTCTCACTCGTTTTCTCAAATTAACATTAACATTCATTACTTTGAATTGATGCTTCTTTTTTTCCTTTGTTGCTGACATCTCGAACAACGCTACGAAGTATCCATCGAAACATTCGGAGCCGAGTTCATTTCAAGAAGTTGGCCCTTATTCTGTACCGTTAGCCAACCATATCACAATCATCAATACAAATAATAATTCCTCTTCGGTCATAATACGGCATGGCTCGAAAGCCGCACTTTACTCTTGCGGGAATAGCTGTAGCAGCTTTTCTATGCATATTCTTTGTACTCACATTTCGCAATCAAAATCATGGAACGAGAGCTGTCGATTATGGCACAGAGAGCGATTATAACGCTGAATTCCCTCTGGATAAAACTCCAATTCTCGTCGATGACAATCTTCTTCATGGAGCAGCCACTGCCCCTAAGCTGGAAAATGCCACTTTAAAGTATGTCACCCATCTGCAAAATGCGGTTGGAATGATGTGATCTTTATACTTATTAACATTCTCACCCTCTAGAGCGGAACTCGGCCACGCAGCCTGGAAAGTTCTACACACGATGATGGCCAAATTCCCCGATAAACCTACAGAAGAAGATAGCTCGGCTTTAAAATCCTACATCCATTTATTTGCGCGCCTCTATCCATGTGGCGACTGTGCGCGACATTTCCAAGGGCTATTGAAGAAATATCCACCTCAAGTGGCAACGAGGAGTACGGCGGCGGCGTGGGCATGTCATGTTCATAACGAAGTCAACAAGCGTTTGAAGAAAGAGATATTCGATTGTAGTAAGATTGGAGACTTCTACGACTGTGGATGTGCCGAGGATGGTGAGCCGGGGAAAGCTGGCGAGGCAAAGACACAGGTTAAGAAGGGGGAGGGAGAGGGTTTCACGCCATTGGAATTGGATAAGGAAGGGTAAGTTTTCCTTGAGCTTAAACGTCTTCTTGAGGGGATGATGTGATGCTAATATAATGGGTGTAGTTTGACTCGGGGAGGTTAAAGCATTTGGAATTGAGTATTAGTTCAGGAAAGGAACTTCTCGTCTGGCACAAGCACGTTTATCTGATTCTAATTCTCAAGAACAAGAAAAAGCTTGCCTCAAGTCTCTCACAACTATGGGGATACAAGATCATGTATGATTAGGAATCGAGGTCAGGAACTTATCGAAAGAGGGCGTTGATTAGATTTTGGACTATTGGGGATATTGTTATCTGGATTGGAATAGGCAGGGGATGTTCAATATGTTACGCCCAGTATCCATTTGTATAAATTGTAAACAGCATTTATTAGCGTAATCATTTATTTCTTGAACTCGAAACTTTCACTGCTATGTATGTATATAAGAAGACTAGGTACACGCTACCTCCCAACTTTTACAAGGCCTAAGAAACCTCACCGGGAGCAACCCTAAGAAACGGGAATAACCGCCCAAGCTCAAATCACTATCACCACGTGATCTACCTCACCTTCGCGCTTGCTTGCCTTGCCTCGCGTCTAAGGTCTGCCTGTTCGAGAGCTTCAAATCGGTAGCTCATCTTCCACCCCGACGAACATAACGATTAACGATTCGCATTTGTTTTTTCTACATATTCCAAATTAAAGAAGACCAATATTAAAACTTTCAAGATGGAGTTTGGAAACACAGGAATGTTGAATGAAGGTATTTGGGTATCCAACTCAGCTACCAGTGGAATTATAGCTAACGAGAGCTTCTTGAAGATGGTATTCATGTGGATATGGATCGTTTGAAGAAGGGAGAAGTCAAGTAAGATCCCTAGGTAGCCTGGCCTTATATTTTGAGCTTTACTGATTGATATGATAGCTTAGGAACCTCCATGTAAGAAGCCTAGAGACCACGATAACAATAATGTTCGATTCGAGATCAGCGTTGACATTGATTTCAGTATGGCCATAAACTTTAAGGATGGTGTCATTTTGGGTCAGTTCCTTTAGCTCACAATCTGCGGGGTAGAAGAGTTACTGATGGATATATTGGACAGGTGCGGACAGTAGAACAACCACCGGCTCATATATCGCAAATCGAGTTACAGACAAGCTCACCCAAGTACATGATACAATTTGGTGTTGTCGATCAGGTTCTGCGGCTGATACTCAAGCTGTTGCGGATATTGTTCATTACCAGTTGGGAATGTATGGAGTTTTGAATGGCAAAACACCAACCACACAAACGGCCGCCGCTATGTTCCAGGAACTTTGCTACGATAACAAGGATCAATTGAGGTATGAATGTTGTTCAGCTCCGCGAGTTTCTTGTTCTAATTTGGATTTAGTGCTGGTTTGATTATTGCTGGTTGGGATGAGCGACATGGAGGTCAAGTCTACTCGATACCGTTAGGAGGATCGTTACACAAGCAATCTTATGCTATTGGAGGTTCCGGCTCAACATACATCTACGGATACTGTGATGCAAACTGGAAGGAAGGTATGGAAGAGGCTGATGCTGTTGACTTTGTTAAGGGCGCACTGCAGGAGGCTATCAAATGGGATGGGAGTTCCGGAGGTGTCATTAGAATGGTGGTTTTGACGGCTAAGGGAGCAAACAGGCATCTGTACTTGCCAGACACGAATTATACCGTCCGTCATCAATAGATGATGAATCAATGTACGAATGGAACCCGACCATAATACCATGGAGTTTACGCAATGGATTAATTTGCAAGGTTTCATGACGGTCAATCCAGGGAAATTTGCATTTTAATTGAAGCGGTGAGATTAAGAATAGGAAGATTCTCATGTGTGGCTTCCATTCCGAATTTTAATCGTATCACATTTCTAGTGGGAGTATGATTTGATACTCTTCCGTGTTACAACATGTGTGATTGTTATAGGCTACGGGGCAATTTTAAATGAAGAAGAAGCGATAGGATCATCTTTATGCTTCTAATGATATGAAATTAAGGGTATCTCGGAGTGTTGAGTTGTGGATGGATGTGCCTGTGGTTAGTTACTCTTGGTATGAATTTGAAGGGAATACCAGCGTTAATTAACTCCAACAACTCCTTTTAGATTTCAAGAGCGATACCGGTCTAGAATCGAATGCAGAGTAGGTATATATATAGGTACATATAGGTATATATCTACATAGGTACCTAAGTGCTCATTAGATAGGATTTATTGATTCGCTCTAGATGAATCGAATTTTGAAAGCGAAAAGGAGTTGGAAGATGCTAATACATAGACTACTATTGAAGGATGTATCCAGTTGAGGATGTCGGGATGAACTCTTCCTAGGGCCTGGGAGATATTGATTGAAGCTGTAAATTTATACGATATATGGAATTTAAATGGAATTTAATATGATTGATAGATCCATGGATTTACTACTAGGTAGGTATTGGTGTTTGATCGATTATGGAGATCTATTTAGTTCTATCTGCTTTTGTTTTTTCTTGTAGTGATTTATTACTTATTGTATTTGAGTTGTTGACTACTATCTACTAGGTATCTAGATAGATTATTGGAACTACATAGGCATCTACTACCTACTAGGTAAATAAACGGACTATGACTTTGATAATAATTATAGATGATCAATATAGATAGATACTAAATAGATACTCAAATGCTCGAGGTCATCATTAGTATGTACAATTTGGACTACAACTTGTACCCTCCTAGGTGATGGTATCATCTATTATCTACCTAGTATTCATCATTCATCATTCTTCCTTTTCTTCCCCTTCTTTTTCCTACATCCATCTCTCTATTTCCTATTCATCTCTTACTCAGGTAATTATCAGTCTAAATCTACTATATGATTCCATACTCTATCATATCGTATTCCTCTTCTCTCTTCTCTTTCCATCTCCTTCGATTGATCGGTCATTTTGATTAAATGATTTATTTATTACCTCAGGCAATACTCGTCCTCTACTTTGTACTTTGCCAATTCAGGGTTCTCATCGATCTCCAAGTATTCGTCATAGGTAACTTATTTTCCACGGATTCCCAGGTCCTTTTACTGCAGTCGGCCAGCGTTCGGCCAGTGGTAGTGAATCGATTGTACCACACCCAGCGCCCTCTCCACATCTTCTTTCAACCCGACAGCCCAGCCGCCCCAGTCAGTACATACCTAGTACATACCTTCATACCCAGTATCTACCCAGTCGAGCCAGTCAGTACTCTTCCATCAACCACCTTCTCCGTCCAAATCTCTTTTCCATAATTCACGTCCCTCAATCATAATTATAATAATAATAAAAATCCCCCCCATCAACTTATCAACTTATCAACTGATTTACTACCTATTCTCTCCCTCTCTTCCTCTCTCTCTCTCTCTCTACCTATCTACACTTGTTTGTCTCTTTACTCAACTTCTCTTAATACAACAATTAAAGTATCAACATTTTCGATTCTCGTGAGAGAAATTGTCCTCTTTTCTCCCATAATCGTTGAATTGTTTTGATCAGGAATGCTGCAGGTAAGTCTTTTTTTAATCTTCTTTATATCTGTACATCTGTGCCAATACGGTGCATGCCCATTCAAGTCATCAATCAGTGCCCAGTGTATGTGTGTGTCTGTTTGTTTTGTTATAGTGGAATCTCTCGTTACCCCCACGAAAGATTGATAAAATGGCCAGAAAATGGCGCGTCGTTTGTCAACCTTTGGGTTTGTGGTCGCAATCTCACAATTCATAAACAATCTTCGAGAAATGGAAGTTTGCATCAGGAGATAGTCGGCAGATGTTCCAAGAGTCAGGAAGGATTGTTTTGATGTTGGCTTGTTCATTTACCTTTTTATCCGGTACCTACTAGGTACTTAAAGACCGATCGATAGGCAGAGTACCTTCACGATAAGACTTTCTGAACCTTCTGGCCATCCTAGCCACCCTACATCAACAGCAAGGCCTCAGTTGGCACTCACTTCTTTGGAAAGAAGACATTCCTATCATTATTATATTCTCTCTTGTCTCTCCACATCGTTCCAGCCATCGCAGTTTTGGGACAGAATCAAAGAGCTAATCGCAACGACTGATCAGGTTTTCACGACCATCACATTCACTTGATATGGCTGCGGTGATTGATTTTGTGTCAGATTCATCACGCTTCCACCCCCATACAATGATACCCGCTGCAGGGCATCATGGTTCTTCAGAGGATTCACCATATCGACAACCTTCCCGGTCGAGAGTCGAGCCTCCACCAAGTCCGAACCCCCACCCCACATCAGTAGTTGATGGTACCCCTCCTCCAAGCGCAAATATGCAAGCCAAATATGGCGACTCTCATGATGTAGACCACCGCACAAGAGTTAAACCCGAGCCTCATACCAAGTCCGAACCTATTTCTCCTCCTTCGAGCTCCAGTCCAAACACGAATTCACATACACAACAACAATTTACAAGTCAACAAAATTTCCCTCCATCTGCAGCGCCTCATGCACGAGCCGAGCATTCGCATACCTTGAGCACCGATTCTCCTTTAAGGCCTCGAATGACATCTGGGACATCTGAGCGGACAGTACCAAGATCGGCAAAGTCTCTCGATGATGTACAGAATTATGGTGGTAACACGATCAAAGTTAGAGATTTGGCACATATTGAAAGTTTCGCCAGCCCAGAATTCCTCTCATCCAGAGGTCAAATTGGAGGTTCACGGACAGCAGATGAGCCTGGATTAAAATACGAGATCAGTGGTATGCCCATTACAGATATTATTGAAATGGTAGCCGGACTCTTGACCAAAATCACCACCACCAACGATCGTCAACATGAAACTTTACAAAGATCCATTCCATCTGCCGAAAATACAGCCAATCTTACTGGACTATCCTCGAGCGTACTCGCATTTCACGGAAAGAATGTGCCTAGCATTACCATTTTGAGTTATTTAACTAGAATACACAAATACTGCCCAACAACATACGAGGTGTTCTTGAGTTTGTTGGTCTACTTTGATAGAATGACGGAGAGAGTTAATGCGGAACCCATAAATGCCATGCGACAAGAAGCCATGGATCTGGATGGTTCTCGACCTTCGTCTACTTATTCTGCAGAGGGTTCTGATTTGGCGGATACCCCACCAGGAGCTAGAAGCGTTCCGGAGCTCAAATCCGAGTTTGAAAATGCTCAATACTCTCACTCACAAGATCCTGAACCTGGATTGGCTCAGTTCCCCCTGTCCCACTTCTTTGTAGTTGACAGTTTTAACATTCATCGTTTGGTTATTGCTGGTGTCACTTGTGCCAGCAAATTCTTCTCTGATGTTTTTTACACAAATTCGAGATACGCCAAGGTGAATTTTATCATGAAATACTACTTTCCTCATGCTAACGTCTGTCTAGGTTGGTGGATTGCCGTTGAATGAATTGAACCATTTGGAGCTTCAATTTTTATTATTAAACGACTTCCGATTATCTGTTCCCGTTGAAGTATTAGAGGCGTATGGCACAATGCTTGTGGATTTTTATGCTCGAGAGATCGTTGATCAAAAACGAGCAAGTGGGATGACAGATATGGCATATAAACAAGAAACAGCATCTTGAGATGTCAACGGTACTCATGTTTTCGAATGTAAGAAAACCACGAAATATTTCTTCTTCCTATGTCAATGATTGTCTGTGGGTACAACAGATGTTGGTTATGTTAAGACAAATGGATGATAACGGCGCTCAATAATGATGATGATCATGATCTTTCAGCGAGATAGACTTTCTTCCACTTTTGTATGCGAGGTCAACGGCTTCTCTCGTTTCTATACCTCGTATTTGAGATGGTTTTGGTTTTGGAGCAATCGATCATAAAAGATACCCTTCTTCTTTTACTCTCTCTTAATGTCACTTCGCAAAGACTATAAGATCTTAAGTTGGTTCTATCAAGTAGCAAATGCTTTCTTTTTTTTGATAGCCTGATTTTTTTGCTGGTGCAGTCAGTCACTGTCTAGGATTACATGGGATGACGTTAGATTTCACATGTTTCTTTCTTTCCCATTTAGGAGGACTTCATTATGGATGGAGAGACACAAAGATGTAGCAGATACATGGTTGAGTAGTATTATATCGATGCACTATTTTGAGAGATGGAGAAAGATGATGGAAAAACAGAGCTGATTTGGATTGATTTGGATTGGAGTTGATAACTATCAAGTGTAACTTTGGTTGCTTGAAGATAGGCGGATGGATCTCAAGATTTGATGGGATGGAACAGCAGAGCAGAACAGACAGAGCAGAGCAGAGCAGAAGCTATGATATGAGTTATGACGACTACACACGTTGGAGATGGGTGGGTGGATGGGGATATGAAATTGGGGGAACATGAAATTATAGATGGATGGATGAATGGATGGATGGCGTTGGGGGAGTAATTAGTTGGTTGGCGATTAGCGCTCATTTGTGTGTGTCTCTTTCTTATACGTTTTTATCAGGTAGCTTTTTCTTTTTTGGTTTTCTCTCTTCTTTCTTTTCTTCATCTTTCTTTAGGTTTGTAGGGTGAGGGGTATGTAGTTTGAAGAGTGAGGTGAGGTGAGGTGATGTGATGTGATGTGGTGTGGTGAGAATTGAATGGATTGATTCATTGATTAATTTGGATTGCATGGTAATGAATTGAATGTGAATGTGTTTGTGATTGTGTAGTGTATAGTGCGTAGTGTGTGTGCGTATGAATTGTGTATAAGAATGATATTTGATATTTGATATCAATATCGAATCAACATGTCTTGTTGAAAATGTATGATTGGATGCGTATGCGATGTTAGAAATTGATTATGTGGGTAGATTGGAGGAAATCTGAGGAGATTTTTGGGGGAGGAGGGTATGGGGAAGGAGGGTAAAGAAGAAGAGGGGAAGAGGAGAAGAGAGAAGTATAATAGTATATACATATACAGATACAGTAGTATACTTACGTACTTACTTACTATTTGTATTCATCTGTCTTTATCTGTCTTTATCTATATCTAGGTAGCTATGGGAAACGAATGAGGTGTTGATGAATAGAGGTGTTGATGATATATTATATTAGATGAATGAAGTAAATCAAATTGTTTTTTTGTTTTTTGTTTTTTGTATGAAGAGGGGAAGAAAGGAAGAAGGGAAGAGGGGAAGAGGGGAAGAGGGGAAGAGGGGAAGAGGGGAAGAGGGGAAGAGGGGAAGAAATCAAAGTATAGCAGAGTATAGTATGTATATAGTAGAGTATAGTATATAGAGTAAGAGGAGTAGAGAAAAGAAGAGAAATAATATATATATATCAATATCATCTATTTCTGATCTGATTATAACTCTTGTATGTAAATTCCCCGAGAATTTTATTGTGTATTGTTGGTTGGTTTTAGTTTTGGTTTTGATGTTGATGTTGCTATTGATATACTAGATAGATAATCTGGGATTTATTAGAATCTTATATCTTTCATTTTACATCTAATCAAACCCTCAAATTACACATCAGAAATCTTAAATCTTAAATCTCGATTTCAATTGCAAGTTCCAAGTTCCTAACTATCTCAAATCTCTAATTATTTCAAATACAAGTCCCTAACTATCTTAACAAACCAAACCAAACCAACTCCCCCTCCCCTCCCCTTCCTCCCCCCCACCTTCCCAAATAGAAATAAGAATAAACAAAGAATACCAAATAAAATCAATGATACGCAACCGAATCGGCGGATCGATAAATCCATAGCCGCGACGACTTTTGATCATGGTGAGGGAGATGATGTCGGCGTTGTGCCAGTCTGGTGAAGGTCCCCGGGGGGAGTTGGTTAGTTTGGTGGGTTTGGAGTGAGGAATTGGGGGAGGGGTAGGGAGAGAAGAATGTGAAAAAAAGGGGAGTGAATAGGGAGGTATACACAACAACAAAAAAAAACTCACAATCCCCCGTCAACCCATGCAAAAACTCTCCATGCGAAATAACCAAAATCTCCACATCCCTCCCCTCCCCCCTCTTCCTCTCCCTCTCCAACCCTTCCCTCCCAAGCTCCCACAACCTCTCCAAAACCCTCTGACTCCTCTCCCTCTGCTCCCTACTCTTCCTCCACCTCCCCCCCACAAACCCCCCATCCCTCTCTCCATTCCTCTCCCAGCCCTCCCCCACCCTCTCAAAATCCACCTTCACCTTCATCCCCATCCCCATCCCCACCCCCTCATGCCTCCTCCTTAGCTCCGCCACTGGCGTCCCCGTACAATTCGGCACGGACCCGTATTCGCGCAGCTCCGGATCGAGCATGATAGGGATCTTGGTGCGGGGGGAGAGGGATCGGAGTGCGGTTTGGAGTGTGCGTCGCAGAGGAGAGCAGAGAATGTGTTGGGGACGGAGGTGCGAAAATTGTCTGCGCAGGGTTACACATTGGGATTTGCCGTGGGGGGTCAGCGGGGGATCGGTGAGTTCTCCCGCGCCGCGCGTGCGTAGGTTGTTGTAGCCCTGAGGGGTGGGGGGTTAGGAGAGCATTGAAAGGAGAGGATTGAATGGAGAGGATTGAAAGGGGAGGATTGAAAGGAGAGGGCTGAAAGGGGGGAGGGGGATACATACTTCGGGCGTGACGAACAAAATGTACGATTATTCTTCCAGGACGGGGTTTGGGTTTGGATTTCGGTTTTGGTTTTGATTCTGGTTTTGATTTGGGTTTAGGAGGAGGAGGAGGAGGAGAAGCCACTTTCTTCGAAGCAGGTTTATGTTTCGATTTAACATTCTCCCGCTGAGGTGACGGAGAGGAGGAGATGATTTTCGCGACCAGAAACCCATGATTTGTTTACTGCAACTGCAACTTCTTGCTTTTGCTTTGCTTAGAAGCTCAGGAAGTGATGGATACAATCGAGACTCGAGAATCGAAGCGATGTATATCAGTCCCGAAACCCCGTATACCCGTGTATGGATTAGAGGAAAAGCAAGAAGCTAGAGCTAGAATCTTGAGCTTTAGTCTCTCGTCTCTCGTCTCTTTAAATCTATATATACAGCAAAAGAAGATATACCACTCGTGACAAGCAATCCCCGCAGGAGAAGGAGGAGGAGAACCCCATAAAGATGAAGTCATCCTGGAAGAAAAAGCCATGCTAACGAAAGGCGATACTACTAGGTACTCATTCGCGAGTGGTGGCTAGCTCGGTATTACACGGAGATAGATTTAGATTTCTGCCCAACGAGTTAGCCACTTATTTACTAAACTGGGGGGTTTACATATCATATAGGGTCATGTAGTAAATGTATTAGGTGATAAATCCTCAAGGGTTGAGATGCTCCGACTATCTCTTTCGCGATTACGCGTCCACGTGCATGGAAGAGTATTTATTTCTCTAGGAATTTAGGGAAGGAAGGATGAGGAGAGCGGGGGTGAAGTGGCCATGGAGGCGTGGGTATGGTGATGGATGGAATGGGTCTTGAGATCGGTCGGGGGTAAAAACTTGAAAAGGAAAGGAAAGGAAAATTCTTTTCAATGTGATCGATTCTTGATGTGAGCATTTTGGGTACATCGTGCTTCTCAGTAGGTGAGGTATATATATTCCAGATAATTGAATCAAGGGAAATTCAGATACTGTGATGAGAATCATCCCCTGAAGAGTGAGCCGCCTCTCCCATTTTCACACGATGATCAACCAGAAAGTTTCACCATTTTCACCAGGTATCAATCGCTAGGTCTTGAAAACGGCCATTCGACTCACTGTAGAGGCAATGATCGATAAAAGTATCAGCCAAATGCGGAGAACTTTCAAGCTATTCAGCTCTTTCTCCAGGGGATATACGAATCAACCATGAGTATGTGGATCCCTACCGCCGCCGCCATTATCATTTTAACCCCATGGAAATTCAGTTCCAGGATAAATGACTGCAATGATGGCAAATGAAGTTGTGAATGAATGGTGACTTGACAATTGGTCACCACAAAATTACCAAAGTGGGAGGAAAGTCAGGGGCACAGAGTACAAAGAGGCGTTACCCCGTCAATTACTGCACTGTGACTTTGTTCCATTTCTCAGATGTATTTTGGCGACTGTTATTTCTAGAAGATTATATGGAAAAGGAGCTCCTGGCTTTGAGTGAGATTGTGAGAACTATGCAACCAATAAGATAATATAGCAGAATTTGTTGCATGTCTTAAAATCAAGGAGAATTTTTCCACCACTGTCGACTAGAGACAAGACGCTAATTGAAAGTGTTAAAATGCCTTCCATACAACAACAATAGGATAACGTTGGAAAGGTTTTGTTGCCAATCTGAAAAATGGGAAAGTTTGCCTACCACTGTATACTGAGATAAATGGTAGGGAGGTATGGTAACTGTCAACTCTTCTCAATCACCCAGAACTTTCCAGCGTCAGACTGACTTGTCTGTAACGGATCACGTAACGCCATATAATGAAAGCAGTAGAATAGAATAGAAATGTACCACCTTTCCTCAATTGTGATTGTGAACAATATTGTAATCATGATGCCATGTCTAATTTGAAGCAGGTAACGCAGGCAACCTAGCTAAGTTATAGAATGGCACAATCCAAAGTATTCACCAAATTCAATAGTCAAAATCATTAACAAAACTCAGATCAGGGCGTAAATGCATCATTAGAGTATCATATGCTGTGATCAAGCTCAAAACCTTTTGAGCCATGTAAAATGTGAAGGCAGGTGTTGATACAGTGGGGTTCTCACACATACTTCTTCGACTATTCCTCCATCTTATCTCCTTCAGCCGCCGTCTCAGCCGGTTTCTCTTCTTCCTCATCATCGTCACCCTCCAAAGCCTTCTTCGCTAATTTTTCAGCTTCCTCAAGGATATCCTTGGGTACTTCCTCGTGTCTTCCCTTTGTTGGCCCATCAAGGTTGCTAATCCAAGTCATCTCAAGCTCAAATTCCTTATCCTTATTGTCATCATGCGCAACATAGATAATTCGTGCGGCCTCCTTAACACCATCTAATAAACTCAAATTGCCAGCTGCAAGATCCAACTTCTCCAATTCGGCCTTTGCGACTTGACGTCCTTTACCGGTGGCAGCTCCATAGTAACCCCAGTATAATCCACTTGGTTCAATCATGTAAAGACCTGGTCCTCCATATTTCTTGCCCTCAACCTTTCCTCCGGAACCAATGATTGGTCCACTTCCTACTTGTCCATCAACTGGTAATTCTTGTTCGGAATCATAACCTGCGACGATTGCAGTTATACCGAAGGGTCGTACGGATGAATAGAGAGTATATGCTTGAAGATATCCACCCATTCGACTAGCCAAATCTGCGGTTGTAATTGGAGTTTTGTAAACGTTACGCCAGCTTGCAGCTTCATCGCGGGCACGGGAAACGAAATGTCTACCATCTGGTACTAATCCTGAAGATACCTATAAAAGGATCATTAGCCATTTTATCACTTCAAAATGACCATCCAAGTATCAGGATTGTACATACAGCACCCATATGTCTATCGATTGTCGCAATACGTTTGTTGGCTCCAGCCTTTAGGAGCTTGCTGGTAATGACCTTCTCAACTGCAAGCACAACGCCATCTTTGCATTTGATTCCAACAGAAGTTCCGCCATTTTCAACTGCCTTTACTGCATATTCGACTTGAAAGTTCCGTCCATCAGGGGAAAAGACGGAATTCGAAAGATCATAACCTGTACCTATCGAAGTCTAATACAGGGCAGGAAGTTAGCTTAAGAAGCTCATTTATTTGATCCAAACCGCCAATTTGGATAAATTGAAGCTTACCATGATTTCAAGATTTTAATGGAAGATATTCGAAAGCTTTAAAGACAATAATTGGGATGAGGTGGTGTAATTTGAGGGAGATTTATTAATGAAGCTCTTTAGATTCTGTATATTTAGAGCTCCAGGCCACAACGAAACGCGTTTAGGTTGGAGGGCGGCTCTTAGCGTCATCTTTTGAAATTCAAGCCTTAATGATAAGGTGTCAATATATCTACCAGACGAGGCAGAAGAAGATTGGATATGGATATGAATCACATGACGATAAGAATGTCGATCGGAAGAATGATCGGATAAGGTCAACTGGTGGGCGATAAAGAAAGTTAAAAGAAGTCAAAGGGTCATGACCCCTGACAGAAAGTGATACTCAATAGGTGATACCGAGATACCCAATGACCATAATGACATGGGGGGCTTTGAGGGGGAGAGGGCGTCACTGAGAAGGAGAAGAGAAGGAGAAGAGAAGTCTCATACAGGCACATAGCAGGTCACTTGAATTTCATTCATTATCATTTTTGCCTTGAAGTTGCTATGCTTCCATTTTACGTCCACCATACTTATACCTGCGTGTGATGAAAGGAAAGTATAGAGAGTTCTCAAAGTTTATACGAATAAGATACGAGTAATATACGAAGTATATACGAATAATATACAAATACAACATTGGATTAGATCTGATGACGCTCCGCTGGGCCACTGCCGTGGGGGCTTTTTCGCTTCGCTCCAGTTCGTCTGCATACGGATGGATGTATCTTAATACCTGCCCAGTAGGTAGTCAGGTAGTCATCAGATCAGACAATTGAATGAATATGAATATTTCATTTCAGAAGATGTACATAGTAGATTGGAAAAACCTAGAGCGTAGCGAAGAAGCCTCCACGGCAGTGGCCCAGCGGAGCGTCTTTGATATTTCGTAGTAAGTACTTGGTAGGTTTATTACTCAAATCAAATAAAGGGAGACATGGGAGACATGAGAGACACAGGAGATACAGGAGATACTTTCCCTAGACAATCTTCCCCTCGATCAAATACCCAAGTGTACGAAGCAAGTACCCTTCATTACATTCCCAGTCTCTCTCTAATTTATTGGTACCTAATGATCTACAAACAACTGTTCATCTCTTTCTTTATGTGCACGCTTGCATTGTAAAGCATGGAGATCTGAAATGAAAGAACATCCTGATCCCAGTCGAGCCCGCAAATTGAACCCAGGTGATACTCGTGTCATGGAACAATTGGCAGATAAAGCAATGAACAGTGTGACGCTAGCAGCCCAATATGTTTCGAAAATAGAAAATTAACCACCTTAGACACTTTGAATGATACTTTTAATAGGATTTGATGGTTTTTATGGTTTTTTATGGTTGGAATATCATCTTTGATTGTCTTTTACCGTCTTTGATGATTTAACAAGAGGGGTGAACCATTCACATCTCTACCCAGCACGTGCTTATCTCTCTTTGATACGATACACTGATTGGTATTAGTACGGAGCACATTGATGAGGGGGAATATCAATCAATATCCATATCAATATCGATGGTAGATCTGTATCTATATAGGTAGCTATCTATCTCTCTTCCTTCAACTCCTTCCTTCCTTCCTTCCTTCAACTTTCTATAAACTCTCATAAACTCTCATATCCCTTTTCAATTTACAAAGCTTATATTGCCTTGCCATTAAATGTTTGGAAAAGAATCACAATCACACACGAGATTACAAGACACTTGAAACATTCAGATTCATCCCAACTTCGGTGGCTTATTGGGTACCGCTACTCTGCTGAACCATTCCAAATAAGCTCAATTATCAATCATTACCATTACCATTACCAAAAGGTCTCCCATCTTCCTTCCCTCCCCTACCCGCCATCACCGCCACCTCTTCTATTCCATCAATCAATCCATCTCAGGATTCCCTTCCCTTAATTTCTCTCAAGAGTCATTCTATTCTCCCCTTTACTTCAGTACATACATAGCATAGTCAATAATAACAAGCAAAATCATTTTGCACTTGTCCACAAAGTCTGCTGCTCCATTCTCTTGCATACATACCTGCATGTTCCTCTGACTTTTAGCCTTTACTCCAAATCAGATCAACATCCGATTCGAACATTCTGCGTTCTCAGAAACATCCTGCAACAGTTAAATTCATTTGCAAGATTGGTCGTGCAGATTGTCATCTCGTTTACAACATAAGGTATGCTATCCCTTTTTCTACCTGCTCTCCTCCAAATAACTCAACTAACGTATCTGCCACAGTATCGAATAACTACTTGCACACATATACGTCATGGCTACACAAGAAGAGCTCGCGATGCTTTTCGCTCGTAACCTTTCCCTCCACAACCCTCCTCCTCCTCCTGCCCCCGTAGAAGAGCCAAAGGAAGTTGAACCAACATACACATACTCTATTTCTCAACATTATACCCATTCCGCACATGTTGCTAAGCAAGCATTCAGACCTGCTTCCGAACCACCTCAAACAGATCAACTTACAGTAGATATTATACTTGCCAGACATGGTGTCGATTCTTCTTCTTTATATCCTACCCAAATCGAACTTTTCAAAACTGCAGATGCTACTCAGCAGATGCGCTTGATTGAGTTATGGAGAATCTGCCCACCATACAATGGAGGACATGCGTTGGCACAAGATCTGTGGACTGGTCCTTCTACTAGCCTGGAGCAGGAAGAGTCCATGGCCAAGTTGAGATATGAACGTCAAATGATGGAAGAAAGAATGTCTCGAACACAAGATTCAAGTATGGACGATGACACTATGAGTGATGGTAGTAGCCACGCTCCATTGACACCAATTCAAGGTGGGGATGCCCGTTGGAATCATGTTGAGCATGTTGAACCTTATATGGCATCTGGCTATGAAATTTTAGCTGCACGAGAATACGAACAATCGACTGGTCCTTCAAAGGATATCTACTCGCACTTTGGATCGGCAGTTGGTGGACCTCAATACAAACAGTCTACAGACCCAGTCTATAACAATGTCGAAGCCGTTCATGGATACCCAAATGTTGAAGCGATGGAGAACCAGTGAGTATTCCCTTCATCTCAAATTAATGTGTTGGCACCTTGATCTTTTCCCTCTCCCCTTTTTCTTTAACCCCACCTCAAACGATCCCCACTCCGAATACAACCCCACCTTTGAGTAGCTTTTCTGCACACGTGGGTTTTACTAACTCGATCATTGCAGGTATGGAGCATTTCAGAATTATCAGTTTGGTGGATACACAAATGGAGGCGAAGACGAGGAGATGTTGTAAATAAGAATACGTTTTACTCTAGGTAGCTATAGTTAGCATTTCTATAGAGATGAGCATATTAGGCATGGAATATGGGGAAAGTTATTATTGTTCGGCGAGACATCACATGGATTTTGTTTTTGTTTTTGGAGGAGTATCGGGAAGGTTATTAGGACATTCATGCATGGAGTATATCTGCATTTGCATTCTTCTACAAATTGTGTTTTTGAAGGCTAGTGGTTGGTCAAGGACGATGATATCTTTGTCTTTCATGTATTTCTTCTTCTCTTGATTTATTGTTCTCTTTGTGTGAGGTACGTACCTTCTGATCGACCCGCCCCTCCACCCTTTCCCCTCTCCTCTCCCCTACAACTCTCAGCATTCCATACCCTTTTACTCCAGTTTTATATGCCACTTTCAACTTTAAATCACACCAATATCAACGGCATTCGCTACTCAAGGTACGCATCAAGACCCATCTCTTCACCTTCCCCGCCCCACCCCCTTTTTGACTAAAATACCTCTTACTACTCACATGAAAGCTTCCCCCTCCTGGACTGGCAACTACACCATCAAACACATTGGATCTGGATCCGGACCTGGATTTTCGTTTGTTTTACTCATGCCCACATTCTTTTCCCGTGGTATAGGCATACATTGAACGTATATATGTAATGGAATACATAATTATTTTATAAATTTTGAGTTTTGGTGTGAGTGAGGGTGCTGTGGTGATTTCAATCGTATGAATACCTAGGTACTCTTTTCTGCTCTATTTGTCATCTTTCTCCTCCTTTCTCAAGTCTGAATATAATATACATTGATGTATATTCTTTATCTTCTCGCTGTATTTATTTACACCATTACTCTATTACGCAATATATCCCCTTCTTCTATTAACTCCCCCTCCTCTTTTATTTTGGATCTTTCAGTGTGTAGGTATAGCTCATCTCTTGCAATCTTCCCATCTCTCTTCTAGCCTTCTCTCTTCTTGCATCTTACATCTCATATCTTAACACTTACTCACTTATTTATTACTTACTTACTTCACTCACCTGCTCGCTATCCACTACACCCATCCACTCCAAAATCTACTTTATCAGCTCTCTTCACACATACCTACCAACTGATCTATCTAGGTAGGTGGGTAGGTAGGTAGGTGGGTACTTACACGTCCTAAACGAGGGAGCGGAAGATCCCTCCCCCTAGGATATTAGCATCAGAGGCTAAAGGTAAAAAAGATCATTTTGAATATGCGCTATTATATCATGTCAGTTCATATTATGTCATTTCATATCATATGACATATCTGCGGTGTATGTACGTATGTTTGTATATCTTAATTTCCAAGTACTTTCTCATAAGATGTATGTATGTATGTATGTTCTGTCTGTATGTATATGTATTTAATTCTATTCCCTCAATCCAATCCAAAAGGAAAGAAAAGAAATAAAAACTTTACAGAAAGAGAAAGAGAGAGAGAGAGAGAGAGAGAGAGAGAGAGAGAGAGAGAGAGAGAGAGAGGAGAGAGAGAGAGTAGAGAGAGAGAGAGAGAGAAAAGGAAAAATAAAAATAAAGAACGCCCTCGCTATGCCGCCAAATTAGAACCATTCATAAAATCATCTATATCATCGTCTCAGTGTATTGTTCCCGATAATTATCCCATTTCAATCATTTCTTCTCGTAAAGAAATGCAACCCATCAATAAAAACATTCTAAGACAATTGAGCTAGCTTTTGTAAAGCTGTCAATACACCTGTTGAACGTTAGCAATCGATCAATCATACAATTATGATGAGTAGAGACATACCAGTAACACCTTGGGTAAGTGTATACCCAGCTTCAGTATTTCTACTACCCAGACTAACAGTCGTAACATTATCAACCTTCTTAGCTCTACCCAAATCATTCGCCCATCTAAAGATAACTTCATCATCCCTACCATCACCTATCACTAGTAAGAAATCGACAGGAGAAGTATGTTCAGCGTTTGGTGACATGTCTTTTGCAAGACCTTCAAATATCTTCATGGCAGCTGTACCCTTTGACCAGTCAATTGGTTCTACTGCAACAGCTCCTATAATGGACGTTAGCAGGTTTTTCGTAAATTTAAAAAGCTAGGAATACGTACCTTCAAGAGGAAGAGCTCTAACTCTTTGCTCAACACATGCATCATTAATGTGGCTTGCACAATCACCTGCCTGTCGAGTTGCAGTTTCGAAGTCTTCAGCATTCTTGTAATGGAAGATCAAACTACAATGTCTCGTCTCAATCCAAGATCCTGGGGTTCGCTCGGTATAATAAGCCATGATACCTTCAACTGAATCTTTCCAGGCGCGCATTTTTTCGGGGTCGGCCATCTCGGTCCATTCCGAAGTTCCAAATTGTCTAAGGAAACATCCATTTTCAGCAATGAGACCAAGACGTGGAACCCGTTTGAATAAACGGTCAAGCTCCTCTGGTTGTCTGCTAGACATTACATAGACTGTATTTCTTTCGTCTTGTAAAATATCATTAAGAGTATCAATTGTGCGCTATGTACTGTTAGCATTAACCTGAGATCGAGTATTTTAAAATCACTTACTTGCGGGCTTGTTAAAATGATACTGCTCGGTGAGCCCCATGATGCCAAAGTTCCTTCATAATCAATAATGAATAGCCTACGCTCCGATTTCTGATACTTTTGGCCGAGTATATTGATCGAGAGACGAGGAACAGATGTGGTCTCCCTCTTATGCTGTTCATCATAGACCTTGTCGAGGCGATGAAGGAATTCATTAAACCAGTGTTCACCTGTGTGGTGCATGACAGCTGCATGAAGTTTTGTAAATCGTTCTTCTTTCTCTTCATCCTCCATTTCAAGAGCTTGTTTGATTGCATCGGCGCATTGGCGATAATCCCAAGGATTAACAGATAGTTCATTACCACCGAAGATAGAAGAACTACCAGTAAATTCACTCAGAATAAGGGATCCATGCTTGTTGTGGCCTTCAAACTTGCCATCTTGACAAAACAAATATTCATGACATGTTAAATTCATTCCTTCACGCTGACTTGCAATCATTAGGGCATCAGCGACTGTGAGTAAAGCTAGATATTGTGGATAGATGATGTCCTGCTTCAGGTAAACGACTGGTTGATAAGCGAGATTTGCCCATGAAGAGTTGATTCTAGTAACAATATCTGAAACAGTCGCATCGAGTTCGGCATTCTCTGTGGTAGAGGTTGCTACTTGGATAAGAACAACTTTGTCTCGCCATTCAGGGTATTTATTCAGGAATAGCTCATAAGCCTGGAGGAAAAGAGTTAGTAGTTGTTCAGGAAGGACTTCATTAGAAAATTGTATCAAGTATATTCAGAAGAATAAAAAGTAGACATAAAACTCACCAAAAGCTTAGGTCGTACACCTCGTACATGATCCAACTTATCTCGCGCAACAATAAGTTTCTTGCCACGGTATCTCTCTTGCATTGTGTTCAGCCAATGGGTAGCTTTAGGGTCCAGGCGGTTCATATCCAGAGCAACGGGATCAATTCCAATTGCGAGGTTAATGACATCGATGAATCGATCCTCGAGTTGAATACCATCATTTGTGGCTTCAACCATCAAGATACGACTGCAGGTTTGCAAGAAATGGCGTGCATACTCTTGAATCTGGAACCCAATAAGATTTGCTCCTAACATACCCTCAAGTAATTCCTTGCGAACTGCCAAGCATCGAAATACTTCTGAAGATGGAAATGCAACGTGAAGGAAGAACCCAATCTTAGCATCTGGAAGCTTTTTACGGATCATCGAAGGTACCAGTAGAAGATGGTAATCATGAATCCAGATAACATCGCCTCTCTTCCATGACTTGACGATCTTGTCTGCGAAGGCTTGATTTACTTTGACATAGTAAACCCAAGAATGATCCTCGTAAGCCTTGCTTTTGGGATTGTCGGGAATCTGGTAGTGAAAGACAGGCCACAAAATTTGCTTGCAATAGTGCGTGTAATGACCATCGAAATCGCTATCTTTGCAGAAAACTGTCAAAGAATCGTACTCTGTAGCCATACGATCCTCAATGTCCTGCTTTTGTTGACGTTCGAGAGCATCCGTTGGCATTCCAAGTGTACCGACCCAAATCTTATCCTCAAGGTTTCCGCTTCTGACTGCAGCTTGCACAGCATTTCTTAAACCCCCATTACCTTGCTCCGCTGGCTCAACTTCCCATTCGGCATTTGCGAAAACCCTATCATGACTGTCACTTCTTTTATATTGTGGTTGACGAACTCCAGCGCTTCCAAGAAGCTCTGCCTTCTCCTTCATTTTATTATGTTTAAGAATATCTGCGGGAGGAGGGGAACTGGCTCGGGAGCGTGGTTGGTTGAACATCTTTCCTGCACCCCATGCTGGTGAATGGGGATCGCTGGGCGCGATTATGGAATGTTGGTTCTCTTGTATGGGAAGGGAGGCTTTTAGGTTTAACGGGTCGGTTTGAGCGAAGAATTGTTCATGATCAACATCGTGTATTGGTGTTGCTGGGGGTGTAATATCTCTCTGGTGGCCAAAAAGACTCGGTTTGCCAGTGTCGATTCTGGTAGTAGTTCTTCTAGCAGCACCTGGACGCCCAGAGCGGGAAGCGTCTAGTTTGGAATCTGGGTGAAGCTTGGATCTGGTAGGAGGACGAGAATTATTGGAAGGAAGTTTGAAGTTAATTGTGTTTGGGAGAAAACTATATTAGAAATACTCATGTTAGTTTTTATCATTAAAAAAAAGCTTGGAGATGAAATCGCAACCAGACAAATGTCTCCAATCTTTGTGACTTTAAAGCCAGAAGCCTGCCAAGTTTAATAGCAAAACTTGCGGAGCTCTGAAAGCATATATTGTAGTACAAAATAGTGTTGGGTTTCAACTGTGATGGTCGAAAGAGACAATAGACATAGGCCTAGCACCGAAATGATCTTGGGAGGGAAACACGTACAGGGAGACCACAAAGACGGTCATGATGAAATTTCTGGCGAGATCCTCAAGAACGAAGAAGGAGAATGAAATTCAAAGTAATTTGTTTTGTAAACTGGTAATCGCGCAATCATGAGCTTCGTGAGGGTATGCTGGGTTGTGTTGTGTAGCTTGATAGCTTAACAAGATCTTTCTTTATTTGAGGAGAGCAAGGTCGAAGGAGGGGCAGTAAATAAATCGATAGATAGGTAGATAGATAGATGGTGGGGCAGATGTGTGAATTCGAATCAGTGAAGACAGGAATACCGGTAGATGTGTAAAGCAGAGCAAGAAGGAATGCAATAGATAGATATGAGTGTCGATGGAGAAAAAGAGGGATTGTGATTGTTTGAAGGGGCTGAGCTGTATTTGAAGTTTGGTCTGGTCCACGAGTAATAAGTAGGAAGTTAGTAAAATCTTTCTTGAGGCCAATACGTGGTAAAAGGCGTAAAGGATAGGAAAGTTCTAAGGGACACAAGGGTATTGCCGGACCAGTAAAAGAACAGAGGAAGCACGCATGCTTTGTTTAAACTTACAAGTTGGAAGTTTGAAGTTGGATTCAACTAGTCGAATGATTTATTTTGGGTTTGGGGGAAATGCGGGAGAGATGCAATGCTAGCAGGATGAGGTAAGGTGTGAAATGAAGTAGTAAGTATACTTCTTCGTGGTACCAGTCGATATGTGATAAAGAGAGAGAGAGAGAGAGTAGGAAAGTAGACGGGTAGATATATCTATCTCTCAGTCCTGGTGGTATTCATTCAATATGGCATGAAAAAAGATTTCCTCATGTCCCTCTTTTCTTTTTTAATATATCAAAAGCTAAAAAGTTCTTACATGGTACTTTCTAGAGAATTCCGTTTCTTCATAAAAACCATTATCTCATAGCCGGAGCATTTTATCCATTGAGTTTACGTCAGGCACGAGAAATCGAATATAACATGACAATCATGACAATCATGACATGGATTAGATACGCAAGTATGCAATGTGAATCCACATCCCGCCGCGATTGTTCTCTATCAAATGTTGAATATATACATCCTCTTTCAGGGGAACACGCTCACGGTCTGTCTGTTCATTGTTCAATACCGATTCCATTGAAGCGATACTTTGTACGATGTACGAATACCAAGGTATATTCCCTAGACACCGGTATACTTGAGCCATTTTTGGATAATTATAGCTCAGTCCGGACGATCTTCTTGGATATAAGGTTAGTCCCTTAGTATATACGTGGAAACATAGTTCCCCAACAGTCAAGACCCCTCACGACTAAGACGAACGCGCCATCTGGCTAGCTTTGGCATGAAGCGTGTAATGTGTATGTACGGCAAGGGACTAAACTCCCTCGCTACTCTGTGCCTCTCCCAAGTATACATCGAGAACTCTATTTCAACCAATCCAAACCACAGCTGTCTCGATCAAAAGAAAGCCTGTGATGGTGGTGGATGGCGGTGATGTGCTCAGGACCTCTGTAACTAACCATTCTTACCTACTCAACAATTCCTCTTAACCAACCACTGTTTCGGACTCGTATTGAATTGGTCTTCACAAACTCAAAGACATCTGTCAATACAAAGCTCCATGCGGAGGTGTGACTGACTAGCACTGGCACCAGGACTATCACACTTTTGTTGTATCTGTAGGCAGTTGGCTTTGTTTCGAGGTTGGCATTCTTAATAACTGCGACATAGAAGATGCAATTCTCAGATATCCAATGGTTTATTATTATTCTATTTATCCATGTATTTGTTTGTTTGTTTAGTTATTTATTGTTTACTATCTATTTATCATTTGTTAATTCCTTCACCCATTTCCTTCCTTGGCTTCAACATTCATGTTATATCTATTTCCAAGGCAGAGGAGCTCCACCTCCAAAAAGGAAACTTGGCGCTCTAGTCGAGACTTGAACGGGCTAGAACACATAGAATGTGTGTCAAAAAAACGATCTCATCAGCCACAGCTTGATCATTAAATCCCTGAAAAGTTAATTACTGGTGGGCTGTCTTTCGGTGCAGTAAGTATACTTCGCTCGCTCGCTCCGCTTTTTGGAAGAGGAGAGGACTACGGTTCAAAGTATAATACTACTCTTCTTCAGGTAAATACCAAAGACTAGGTAGAAAGTAGTAAGATATAAAATCGACGCCAGCTTTCACTCGACCACTCACCAATCTCCATACAAACGCGTGCGTCGTATGCTCCTCTTAATTCTTTTTAAACGCTCAACCATACACAAAACTTGGAATGGTTATTATAAACATGGCTCAATATGGAATAATCCCTTCAATATCAAACCGTCCATATCCTCTCTAGCAATAATCTGCCGCTACCTTCTCTGTAGATGCTCAACTTTTTGAACCGACTTTTCCCGACTACATTCGTTTCCTGGCTGGTGCGGTGAAAAACTCCGGTAGATGGCATGATCTACAACATCTACTACCTCGTTCGGCATATGGGGAAATTTTGATATCCAGATCAAAATAAGGTCATCTTCATCCATTAATGAGCGTTGGGCACAAAATCCTATCACATCTCAGAATTCGCACCGTACGAACCGGGCCGCTTGCAACCTCTTCTTGATAATTGTTATCATCGCCAATCATTCTCGTTACGAATTGATCCGTCTCCGAATCACGAACCACCATCTTCATCTTGATATGTTTCAGGGTTTGGAGCTTCTGTGGTTACACGATGAGTCAAGACCCAAACGAGGAGAACTTTCTCTAGATGGCTTCAAAAATACGAGGAACAATAATAGATTCCTTCTATGCAGTGATGCAAACGCAATATAACGCGATATATCATTTATTCTTATCAATCTATACCGGTATTTGTAGGCAATACCAGTTTTGCTGCCTAATAGCGAATACCTCAATACACATCAATTTCAGATTCTACGGAGACCAACCATACAGACACATGAAATGGAAACCATTCTCCCGGAAGTTTTCCAGGTTTTAATGTCGTATTTCTTACCCGTCGAGGCCTGCCGGTTACACAACTTGGCCAAGTCCGGACCACAGGATCTCGAAATGATTGGGATATTTTCTCTTCGGACATGTGGATGTGAGAGTAACCTTCCAACAATAGAACTCATCCTGAATCGTCAATTACAGCACTTATCGAATGGACATCATCGATGCTGAAAAAGAATTGTCTCGCAGTCCAGCCGGTTTCACTGGCTCCCACTAGGATGGCCCGATGAGACAAAAGAGGAAGGAAAATGGAGCTTGTGTTCTACATCTGAGAAGTCTCGTCGTACAACTCTATCTTCTTATTGTATTCGACAGCCTTATTTAGTGATGTAGGACGATGATTTGCGCATGTAGTGAAGAAGATGACCGTTATAGTGATGAGCTCATCAATCCTTATCTACCAATCTTCTGAGTCAAACCACCAGCGCCTTTCGCTGGTTGGTTCGCAAGAGTTCAACTTTGTCTGACTTCTTGGTGTTTAGAATGATGGTGACGGTACGATCACCATTTTTCGACTCACCACCATCGACTTGCTCATTTTGCCGACAACAGGCTGTATCGATACCTCGAGTTCTTCCGTTCTCAATAGACAACTATGGGATTAGTGTTCAGCTCAGTATTACACAGTCTGCCAACAGCCCATCATGTCTACGAAACTCAATCTCTCATCATTTTCATGCACACATTCCTACAGCAATTTTCCATCTCCGAACCAAGTTCTATCTAAATCCTTTCACAAATCTATACTCCGACAAACAGTAAGTGCACGGGTTTGTGGAACTCTTACTCTTCAAAGTGGGAAAAATCACAATTCATCCAAACATTGATTACTTGTGACAAAAACCTACAATCTAAATACTTGATTGAAAATGTGTCCTTGTACAATTTCTCAAAGCTTTTGAAGCAATCGCGCAAAATCTATCCCCAAATCCAAGTTTCTAGCGTCCCATGAATCTCCCTTCCTATTCCTCCTGGGTCTCCATACCTAGTTATCCACTCGCTTTATCATTATGAAAAGCGTGTCATATTCACTTCTCTCTTCTCCCTCACTCTCCATGACTATCACTCGTATGTTTTAGAGCCCGGCCCGTAATTCAAGAAGTGACTTACTCTCTCTCTATCCAGCACTCACAATCAGTCTTTTAATCACCATCATCAGCAGCAGCAGCAGCAATCTACAATAAAACATCCAACAAAAGCCCAAATCTCCTCATCTCAAGTAAACACACATACAAAATATTATCAACACCCTCTCGCATTTCGGAGTTGAAAATCGAAGAAAAGAAAAAAAGCCGGACGGTGTTACCATATTAGTACACCTATCTACCATTCCCATTCTCCATGCATACATATCCATCCCATCCCATCACAATCACAATCACACAATCATCCCATCCCATCCCTCTCTCCAGAATACCATATCCCAATAACTAGCTACCTAGCTAGATCTAAGTTCGCAATACATCAATCATTTCTATATTCTCATTCGTATACTATCTACATACCTAAGTATCTACACTACACTACACTACACTACACCATAACACCTCATCCCTCACCCCTCTCCTTGCGAGTGGGAATTCCTCCCTCCCTCCCTCCCTCCCTCTTTCCCTAGAAAAGACAAGACAAGACACCCACTTCCTCGTAATCATATCTTCTATTCTTCCCTTCCCTTCCCTTCCCTTCCCTTCCCTTCCCTTCCCAACTCAATACTCACATCCCCTTATTCTCACCCTACTATCCACATCCTCACCCTCCCTCGCCCTCCATACCGCTCTCCATCCATATCCACATCCACATCCACATCCTCTCCACAATCAAAAACACAGGAGATACCTAGTAGTATACCAGCATCCCGCCCAAGAATCCCCAAAATAGCTTCCAAAACACCATACGAATACCATCGTACCACAACTCGAACCAATATCTGAAGAGAGAAAAAGCATGGTTTGCAATTTGGGGCTGTATATTTATTCATCTCATAGCTAGATCTTATATATATACTGCTTGGTATCCGGAACCTGATTTAGATACCTAGTAGGTATAACATCTCTTCAAGATATTCTATTAATTATTCAAAACTGTCGATACTGATATTGCTGCAAAGAAAAACTACACCATTCATTCAACATTATGCAAAATTACCGCACCAAATTTCTGTCACTCTCAATCTTCTTCACGTCATTTGCGTCGCATTTCATTCAGATTATAGGACTCAAGACTCGAGACTCAAATGAAGTATCAAGTTTAATAAATCAGAATTTCTAAGGCATGCAGACTCAAACACTATATTTTCATTTTCTGTTCACATAAGTCAGTCAACATGGAAGCATAATCATCCCAGGAATGCAATATTCAAGTCCATTGAAACACAGCAAAGTATTTGATTCTGCGATTCCGCCATTTGATGATACAGCAAGGAAAGCAATTCTAAATGATGACTGTTTGAAAAGCTTTCGCCTAGAGTTTTTTCCCCATGAGTACACAATTAAATATACTCCACAGACATGCAAATTTTCTTCGCGTTTCAAGTATCAATCAGCCTCAATTGATATCTTACATCCTTAAAATCCATCTCATCAGTGTAAGATCATCCGTCTTTCTTGGAATGACAGCAGCAGTGGTGTTTTGTATCTGGTTGTGCTTCAAGCTCGGAAGGCTTTCGTTCTGGACCCGTGAACTCAACAGCTCTTCAACGAAATTTTGATGCAATCCAAAGCGACATCCAGATGCAAAATCTTGTTTGGCCTGGCGCATCTCATCAAAGCCTGCTCGGGAATCTGTGTTAGGAATCGACCAGATATACCAAGTTTTCCCTTTGCAGCCGACGAGTTCAACTGATTAATGATGTTGAGCAGCTTTCCTGTAGGAGTTTCATTCTGGAAGACGGAGTAGAGAGTAGCCTCCTGCCAGGATTGTATTAATTGTGTGTGATCTATGAGTGCAGACACATCGGCTATGATAATCTGTCTTCTCACAAGCTCTAACACACTTGCCTTTAAGATTTTGTATTGAGATTCCTTAGAAGGTGGTTGGAATGGAATCTGGATAGCACATCTATCGACGAATGCTTCATCGAGACAATCAATCATGTTTGAAGTCGACATGAAAACAACATTTGGACAAGCTCTGACCCTGTCAAAACCAGTGAGTAGAGCATTGGTAGCTCGTAGTGAATCCTGAGCTTCTCCATGCATAACACCCGAGTGTCTTGATACGGCAATAGATTCAACCTCGTCAATCAATACAATGATGATGCGGTTTGGATTGACTTGGCACATTATTTTGATCTTGGTAAGCAAATCATCGACTTGACTAGCGCTTTCACTATAGTACTTCGATAAAAGCGTCGCTGTCTTGACTTGGATGAGTTTCGTATGTGGAAATTGTTCGACCAACCGAATGGCTAATCGTTGTGCAATTGCTTGGCATAGTGTTGTCTTTCCTGTTCCTGGAGGACCTAGATTGAGTGGGGCACTACCTAGCCATCACTGCAGTAATAGCAATGATGGACATTGGTAACCCCATAAACATTAGACTTAATTCTGATTATTAGGATTAGGGAATTGCGTAGACGCACCATGAAAAAGAGCCATTGGACTCATTTTTTTCTTTGCAGGTACTGCGATTGCAGAAAGCAACACTGTTGGACAGCCAATTAGCTACCAAATAAACTCAACGCTACTGGAAAGCTGTTCGTACGCATATTCGATATCATCCAAGACAAATCTTCCTTATGATTTTGATCAAAGATGAGCCTGCGTGAAGCGTTAGTTTAAAAAGCATATGATGGAAATTATTTTGCAACTTACTCCTCCCAACATCCATCAAAATCATGATGAGGCATGTCAAAAACTTCAGCCGATGGTATCTCTGGATCCTCATCGTACTCAAAATCCGAATCAACGCCATCCTGGTCTTCAGATGAACGTGTCAATGGTGGCGGTGGCGGAGTACCATGCATCCTGTAGACACAGAAACGGCTTAATACATCTCGAAGTGTGAGGTGGGTAGGCTTTTCTTGATTTTCAACGGCGATGATTTCAACTGGGACTAAAGACTCTATATCTAGAGCTATACCTTTGACCCCCACTCAAGACTACGTTCTGTTGATTCTTGATAAGTATTGATTCCAGCAAGAAAGATAATTGATGCAAAGAGACCCACGTGCAAGAAGAGGCAATATGTCAACGTCAATGCTGCAAATAATGTCTTCAACCTCTGGCTTCTGAATAAACTCAGAAAGAACCTTGTGAGTCTAGTGTATAAAGTATCAGTCAGGTTCTTGGAAAGAAAGTTGGAATTGTCTCGTCTCCATACAGCTTTCAAATCATTGCTTCCCAAATCATCCTCAACGAATGATCGAAGTCTTGCCTCGAAGACAACGGTCGGCTTTGCAAGAATTGGCTGAGCCGGAACAATCTCCATAATGACCCTTCAATATTATTTTCAATTCTATTTTATATATGATGAATTGAACCGAGGGATGTGAGAAGAGTCGATGGCATGGAGACGTATAGAGTACAAGGAGAATAGTTGAAATGTGAGGAGATAGATCTGGATTTATCGAAGTTGTAGGCAGAAGGTGAAAGATGAAATGCACATGAAGAGAAAAGTACGCTAGGGAGAGTAGGATAGATGAGGGAAGGAACAAAAATGGAAGGAGCACTGGAGCAGTGGAAATTTTGACTTAGGTAAGCTTGAATGCTTGAATGCTCAAACTACTGCTACATAATAGGAGGTCTGGAGCCCTTATTAGGTATACTATTCAAGACTCAAAATTCGTGGTTATAATCCAATTTTGGAAATTTTTGACTCAAATATCGACCATGTATCTATCATGTGTACTAGGTAATAAATTCTGTGTGAACATCAAAAGATCCATACTCAACAATATCGCATAACTGTTCACTAGGTGCGAGTAGAACCTTCCGACTCTCACACAGAATTTGATCATTCAACCATTACGTGGTGGGTACGGTGAGATCATATCACCTCAATGCATGAAATTATCTCCAACACACGAATTGAATAACATCTTGCTCATGTCTGATATGAGCATAGCATAAGCCCCAATGCCTCTTGAAGCTTCGTTGAATCAAGCTCCAGTCTCATTGCCATAGCCGTCTGACATGGCAACTCAGATGTAAAATATGAGTATCTCAAGCGTCATTCGGTGCATAGTAGATGATAGAAAGAACAAATCGTAATCAATTCAAAATATCGGGGCTCTTTTAGATGATTATCATCTTCTATATGAGATATGTGAAGAAGAAACACGAGAAACAAAAAATACGAATATGAAGCTCCGCGATGCTACTGCCGTGGAGACTGTTTCGCTCCGCTCTAGAAGATCTTTCAAATCTCTCTAGGGAGATTTATCCACAGGAGTGAGAATGAATCCGTAGCAAATCTTGTTTGGCATGACCTCAATCAACAGAATGAGGAGGAAAGACGGGATCATTCTTGATACCGACAAATAGTAAGTTGATTGCAGTAAAGATGGCTTCGAAGTGATGTAGTGTCTTTCAAAGTGCCCAGGTGAACCTTGGAAGTTCCAAGTTTGATGGTGATGTGGCGGTGCTTCAACTTCACCCCCGGCAGTGGCTGAATGTACTAACGTTCCTGGCTAACCCGCTTACATAACGACTAAGCTTGTACTGGTAAATCGTCATAGCTTGGCAATCCATCACCGCCATAACAAAAGATGGATCTTGGCCTGGGTTCCTTCAGCTAAATTAATTGTTTACCTTGTTGGTAATGTTATTCTTTCAATAATTCCAAAAGTCTGCCAAAACTTATCATGGCTTCCACTATGGATGCCCTCAGAGACCCGGAAAAGGATTGCCCAACATACGACCCTACACATGTTGAAGGACAACAGACTGCGATATATGTTCAACTGGTCCTTTCACTAACTCTCGGTGTGTCTGCTTTCCTCGGATTCTGTGTAAGTAACGACAAGAGTACGCCTAATTGATAGAACTTTGCTGATGTTTATAGATTTTGCGACCAAAATGGAAGAGTTTATATGCTGCGCGCAAACGACATGTTGATGCTGCTGCAAATCTGCCAGAGCTTCCGGATACCTTTTTTGGTTGGATTCCTATTTTGTATAGAGTCACAGAAGAACAAGTACTTGCATCTGCTGGATTGGATGCATATGTTGTATGTCTTGAGGACCTACTTCACCTGGAGAATGAACAATGCTGACTTCAATTAGTTCCTATCATTTTCAAGATGTCAATGAAACTATTCGGGGTCATGTTTATCATGGCAGCTGCCATTCTTGCCCCAATAAATCAACACTACTATTACGTATTCGATCCATTTGGAAATACAACGAGTCCTCCCGATATTCCAGATTACTCAAAGTTGGAGGGTTGGCATGGTGGATGGGACGGGGCTTTGACTTTAGAAGTACCAAAAGACTCTGACGACAAATTACCTGATACCAACTATCTCTGGTCATACCTTGTCTTCACCTACGTTTTCACTGGACTCGCAATATTTTTCATGAATAGACAAACCCACCGCGTAATCAGGGTTCGCCAGGACTACCTGGGAAGCCAATCCACAATTACCGACCGAACAATCAAACTTTCTGGAATACCGGAGGATTTGAGGTCTGAAGGAAAGATCACAGAATTCTTAGAGAAACTTCAGATAGGGAAAGTGGAGAGTGTGACTTTATGTCGCAATTGGAAAAAACTTGATGATATGATGGACAAGAGAGTGCAAGTCGTAAGGAGGCTTGAAGAGGCATGGACTGTACACCTTGGTCAACAACAACGTCCGAGTGTAGGACCAATACGTACACAACACTCGGCACCTGAAGCGAATGCTGAGGATGGATCGCTAAGTCATGAGGGTGATAATCTGTTAGGAAGCGATCACATTACCTCGTACGATCAGCCAAGACCGACTACGCGAATCTGGTACGGCTTTCTTAATTTTCAAAGCAGGAAAGTAGATGCAATCGACCACTACGAAGAACAGCTGCGAAGGCTAGATGATATGATCAGTGATGCAAGAAAACAGGAGTACAGCCCTACAGCACTTGCATTTGTCACCATGGACTCCATTCCCGCTTGTCAAATGGCGGTGCAAGCTCTCCTGGACCCAACGCCAATGCAGCTGATGGCAAGGCCAGCTCCTGCACCATCAGATATCGTTTGGACAAATACTTATCTACCTAGATCAAACCGTATGATTCGTTCTTGGGCGATCACTATCTTCATTCTTATACTCACCATCTTTTGGCTTATTCCAGTGGCTGCCCTAGCTGGTCTTGTCAGTTTATGCTCGATTCGACAGGTTTGGCCGGGTCTTGCGGATGTTTTGGAAAGCCACGATATACTCAAGGCTTTGGTTCAGACTGGCTTACCTACACTTGTTGTCTCATTACTCAATTTGGCAATTCCATTCTTGTATGATTACCTTGCAAATAGGCAAGGATCAATCTCACAAGGCGAAGTGGAGCTCTCCGTCATATCCAAAAACTTCTACTTTACATTTTTCAATGTATTCCTCGTTTTCACGGTTTTTGGCGCGGCGAGTAAGTTCTGGCCAGTCTTACAGGAAACATTGAAGGACACAACGAAGATTGCATATACGCTAGCCCAGTCAATCTCTGATCTCTCCATGTTTTACACCAACTTCATTTTGCTACAAGCTCTTGGTCTTCTACCTTTTAGGCTGCTGGAATTCGGGAGTGTGTCTTTGTACCCTATCACACTTATGGGTGCCAAGACTCCTAGAGATTATGCTGAGCTGGTACAGCCACCTATTTTTAGTTACGGGTTTTATCTTCCTTCGGCACTTCTAATCTACATTCTATGCATGGTCTATAGTATACAGCCAGCAGGATATCTAGTTCTATTATTTGGAATGGCGTACTTTGCTCTCGGTTATTACACATACAAGTATCAGCTTTTATATGCCATGGACCATCCACAACATGCTACTGGAGGTGCTTGGCCTATGATAGTTTATCGTCTTCTTGTCGGCTTAGGCTTCTTCCAACTGACTATGGCGGGAGTGATTGCTTTGAGGAAAGCGTTCACTCCAGCCATACTTGTTGTTCCTCTCATACCATTTACCATCTGGTACAGCTACTACTTCCGTCGAACATTCCAGCCATTCATTAAGTTCATCGCTTTGAGAAGTATTAGAAGAGATAGCGATCCAGACATAAATATTGCTGGCGAAAATATTGGCATCGACAGACCTCCAGGACACATTCAGAGGAGAGGCAGCACAGTTGATGAAGCAAGGGAAAAAGGGATGAGATATATAAACCCAAGTCTCGTTGTACCGTATGTTATTTCCGAGCAAACTTACTGTTCCATACTGACCATACATAGATTAGAAAAGATCTGGATCAACAAGGACCCAGATAGCGAGCCGAATGGTAGCACTCCACAATTGAATCGTGAAGAATCTGCCGCAAGTTCGCTGAGTCTTGGCGATACCCACATTTGGAGAGAGGTTGGCGATGAAAATGTATGATATGATTGTAAATGAAGCGTGTATCTTATTGTTAGCATGAGACAGTGGTTAGTTAGTTATGGTCTTCAAGTTGATGGTATGAATGGCGTTTCTGGTCGTGTTATTCAGGGTTGGGTCGGGCCTTCCTTTCATGATTTGACATTGCTTTAATTATATATACCCAGTGTTCTTTCCTACAAAGTTAATTCTCATTGCAACAGGCTTGATCTCCTGGACATTCTATCTTTTCCTGATATTTTCAGCCATAAAATTCGTGAATTATCCTTAATGTTCAACATCGTCTTTTCAGAGAGATGACACCAAATTCTGCACCTAAAAATCAACCTTCTACTTTTCAACATTCATTGGTGAGGATCCTAAATAGCATAACATAAAGGCACCCTCCTAGTAATGCCAATTATCTCCTATCACTCAACTATTATTAATAACATAGCCGCCCAGCCGGGGGCTGTCGACACGACGTCTTCCCAGATTCTCTTATCAAGAGCGATCGCAGATCACACTTCAACGTCTTGTCCGCCAGTTGTTAGGAAAATATACTCTTCGATTGCTGTCACATCTCTTTACGAATCCCCGACAAGACATATCATGACCGTTGGAGACGCAGCCAGCACATTGAAAGATGTAGGATTGGATGGTGAGAGAATGGAGCAATGTAATGGTTCGTAGTACTGACTCGATTGTGACTGGTTGATATTAGAGGAGAATTAATGATCTAATATTAATATATATTCAGATTCTCCGAGCAAGCGGCGCTCATCGGCTTTAGGAGTGAATGATGCCTCCGTGTCCCGTGGCTTGTCAGATTTAGTAAGGCGACCTTTCCAAAGCAACGATGCCCGTATATCATCAATGCGTATGCTTTGGGACCTTCCGATGAGGGTCACAGAACTTGGACACTAACTCATATACCTGTAGATCACTTCAGTTAATGATACAGTTGTCGATCCTCAATTTCCGTACAACCCGTGGGAGCTTTCACAACTCGATGCTGTCCCACAAAACCAGGAGAAACGTGATAAAGGAAAAGGAGTTGAACGTGGAAGAACATTAGAACGAGGCCCAAGATACTGCAATCCTCTTGAAAAGGCTGAATCTCGACTTGGAAGAAACAAAACAACCATCGAGGTGGATGGCCGGCCCATACGTAGGCGCGATCGAAGTCATACTCTTCATGATAACCCCGATGATCCTGCTGCAATATTAGATGACCAGGTATTAGAGCCATTAAGAGGGATATCTCAGCAGGATAGCTTTTCGGAGGTACTTAGCGGACATGCGTCTCCAAGCAGTTTGAATGGCTCCCTTGAGGCGAAAGAATTAAAGAGTCGACTTCGATCTAGGACTTCTGGAGGAAGTTCTATAAGCTCCACTATATCTCCAATCGAACCACTCACACGGACAGTTACAAAAGTTTACAGCGAATCCTCTCCTGTTTCTCCTGAACTAACTTTACTAGTTGAATCATATTCTAATCGTCTACCTAGTATTGTTCGATTAGAAGAATCTGCTCGTCAATCAACATCATTCACGTTCTCGAAATTACCAACAGAAATCATTCAACAAGTATACAATTACCTCACACCGGCTGATTTCAATTCAGCCAGACATACATGCCGAGCATGGCTTCTTACTAGTATGGATCGCTCCCTTCTTGAAAACATGATCCGGCGTGGAGGTTGGGTGACTAGTTGTCAGCAGGAAATCTCCGATAGAAAAAGCTCGACTTTTCGACGTAGCTCCGAATACGAATGGTTCATGAGCAAAAGAATCTCAAGGGAATGTGCTCTTGGTCCAGATTGGACGGGATCTGGAGTACCGGTAAGCCCGGATCACTTTCCACTAGAATCAAAGGATTCACCTTTTTTGCAAGCTTCGACTGTGGATTTCACAGAAGTCGCGGTCCAATACAAGGAAACGACTCCTGCTGGAACCATTTTCACGGTGAGTAGTTGTGGGAAGTTTGTGATGGCTGCGAATGGGTGTCTAGTCTATATATACGAACTAAACAAAAGCCACCGCGATGTGGATAATTGGTATGAAGTTCAAGCTGGTTCTTTGCATCCAGTCACTAGTATCATATGTCCACACAGAGTATTAGCATGCAGTATGGATACTTCTTCACATAGATATGCAATTGCTGTTTTGCTTGATGGGCGCATGGGTCTTGTATGTGATATTTCTCTCAGCAATATTGCTCCCCCTGTTTCTTCGAATCCCAAGACTTCGGATCTTTCCTCGCCTCATTCAAGTCGGTCAGATCTTTCACTCTCTCCAGCAAATGATTTTCACCATGGTGTCTCATTTCTCGATCGCGTTAGCTTGGATAGTTCGGCTCCTGTACAAAGGGCTGGAAGATCTACAACCGCTTTTGTTTTCCCCGGAATTGCTACAACCCGTAGTGATGTTACTTCTCCAGGGATTGCACAACGATCAGAATACCACGAAGCGCTTCGGTCTGCTAGTGCCGTGAAAGACTCATATCCTCGAGAAGGAAATAGCCCCCACTCTGTTGGAGCAGGAAGTCGATTGCGAAGCAAGCTACCAGCTCGTAGAGTCTCAAACGCGGATGCGAGAGAAATGCCAGTCGAAACTGGCCCACGTTCAATATATCGAAATCTTTGTTCTGAGGACGATCCTCCACGCTCTGTGGCAATTTGTCCTCAACGAAGATGTGTGGCTTTTGGGTGCTCGGCTGGTATTGAATTGCACTGGGTTGACGCTTTGACTGGACAGGATCTAAATAGATGGTTTCCACTTACTGCTCCAAGTGATTTCTTGTTCTTTTTGCCTCCACGCAAAAGTATAGACTCGGCGAAGAAGCTGAGGCTTATTAGTAGTAAGTTATTATCACCTTGTAGACCCCGAAGGAGACAGCGACTCAACTTAAGCATAAACACTGGACATAAATTTTCACTTGAATAGCCAAATTCGCGCAAGACACACTAATTTTTTATAGGTGCGGCTAGACCCAGTGAATGTACAGCTGTACACGAAAGATCATATGGAAGAAGACCACGAGGTGCTTCATTTTGGCAAAGAATTGGATGGAGCGGAAGCCACGGGGACAATAGTGAGGAAATAGAACATACTCAGCAGGTACTAACACCAGTGGGAAGATTCCGTAGTGATTCTGGTCGAAGGGTTGATTATTCAGATCACTATCGCGCTATACCGTTAAGTGATGGATATCATATTTTGTTTACAGATCCAAGTACAGGAGCACTTTGTTTAGGCAGCGATGCCCCCGTTGGAGGACCTACCAAATTACTTCGAAAAGTTTGGTTTCAGGGACCAGAAGGCAGAGGTAGTCCAACGGTTTATGCTGGAGGCTCTGATCTGAGCTGGGGAGTAAGAGTCGTGGCAGCGTTTGGAAGTTGGGCAGAACAGAGCATCTGGATGTTTTCCGTTCCCGGAGATGTTTTTCAGAGTTCTCAGAATGTCTTGGAGAGCTCTGTAACCCATAAACGAAACACTCCTAAAAATTCTAAAAATATGCAATGGCTGGACTGGTGGCCTGATGAGGGACTTCAAGAATGGCTCAATCTTATTCAGCATCCAGTGCCTGGTATTTTTGCGGGAAATATGTGGCCAGTTAGGATAAAAGGTCAGAGAATTGGTACATGCTCTGGAATAGTCGATCTTGCGATTGATTCAACCAATGGTATCACAGTTTGGGCTTTTAGTACTGATGGAATTGCCAAAGTCTGGCGTTTGGACGATGGAAAGCATAGAGACTTCACAAAGTTAAGTGTGTCTAGAGATGGTACCATTCGCGAAAATGTCCCGGACGATTATGCCAACGGTGAAATGAACAGCGATTTTCTCTCATCAAAAATCCTTCAACATCGCTCACCGCTCGAACAACAATCTTTCGATGGAGCAATGTCGCCAGATTTAGATGGTAAAATATCTCCCGATATATCAACAATCATCACAGCACGAAGAGGCTCGGGCTGGAGTTATCAAAGTGTCAATTATGATGAAGATGGTGATGTGGTCATGGAAGATGTTTATGGTCCGGGTGTCGACATGCCGGCAGCTTGGTCGAAGCCAGAGAGAGAATATGATGAGGATGAACCGTTACAAAATCAACAGTACCAATATTTACAATCGCGCTGGCCGAGATCGTCGATAGGGTATAGACGGTGGTTGGAGAGGGCTGTGGCGAGTGGGGATTTAGCGAGAGTGGTGGAGGCGAGGGGTGTATCGAGGATTGAAATTGAAATTCGTTGAGGGAGCTTGGGTATTGATTGATGTAGAATGATTGAAGGCAACGCATCACACCTATAGAAGAATAGATAGGGTTTATTCGTATACTTGGAGTTCTTGAGAGAGTGGTAGCCAATGTCGATTATTGGAATTTAAAATTGAGTAGGTGCAAAATTGTACTTGATGTGGATTGGCGAGACACACTCCAAATCATTTCCTATTCACTTCCGTAAAAGATCACCTAGAATAATCAAATTATTGAATAATGTGCAGGTTCTTTTGATCGAATTTGAAGTTGGTATTGTGAAGTTGGTATTGTGAAGTTGGTATTGTGAAGTTGGTATTGTGAAGTTGGTATTGTGAAGTTGGTATTGTGAAGTTGGTATTGTGAAGTTGGTATGTGAAGCGGGTGGGCAGAGTGTGAGTACGTAATCGCTTGTGAGATCTGCCGTGACAAAACATTGAATTTCGTTGAAATTACCTCCCTGAGCTGAGAATTCAGGCATTCGGGTCAAGACATCAATGATACTTGGATTATGTTGAATAGACTCCTATCCGCCTATGCGATTTCAGGGTATCAATACTATGTATCCACAGACTGGATATAATCTCTCGATATTCGCTAGCAGTCAATTCGATATATGGAATGAATTCAGTATCTCAAGCTTTTCAGGAGTTATAATTGCTACATATTGTTGAAGTACAATCCAGATCATTCAAAACTCGATGCAGGGTTTTATTGACACGATTGCTATCTCGCGAGGAAGGGAAGATTTGGCTAAAGAATTTATCAGGGGGAAATAAGTACAAGTATCAAGAGATAAACACTCTTACCCACGAACAAAATACAAGAGGGTTTTCGGAGCCAAGTATTTCTATGAGGCTACAAACCCAAAGCTTTAGAGCGATAGAAGATGATTGAAATTACGGCAAGTACCTATCCAAAGAGGAGATACGATACTTCACCCATGTCAATTTTTTACTGAGCTGAATCGAAACTCGGAATTTAATTTGTGCTCGGTGCTCAGCGCTAGCTATTCTATTCAGCTGGCATCTTCGGCATCTTCAGGGCTTCGAGCGGATGATGCGAAAACGATACTGTGGAAGTCCTTGCTGGCTCTTTTGATTCCTGGGCTGCTCTCGTAGATGGAGATATTGAGAGAAAGAGAGGCATAGTGGCCAGTTTGAATTAACCGGAAGCAGTCTTTATCGGACTGGATCTATGAGATACCTAATAGACGACCTGATGTAATGCAGATATGTGATAGAAGGAACTTTGAGTCAATACCGACACACTGACATGCTTCTAGAACTCCCGAGATGAAATTTCGCGAGTACGTGTATCTTCGACAAGGCTTCTTTTGCTGAGCAATATGATAATCAATCACAAATTCGCAAATGGGGTTGGAAGTCATATAAAGATGTGGGGATCCTGCAGAGAGCGCCGTTCACATGCCGTCGAAGATTCTCAGAAGGGCTCGGCGCCCGCTTTCAAGTGCGCAAACTAACCTGAGTGATGTCGCTTTTCTGTTAGGCGATTGATATCGACCAATTATAACAATCATTGGCTTGAAGCTGAAGACCCTAGTGAACAAAAAACGAGGGTTACTGTTTTGCAGCGATTGCTAATAGAAGCCAAATTTCTTCAATTAGTCAACCGAGCCGAGCTACAGCATTTAATATATTAAGACACTCTGATCATGTGGTAAGCAGGTTTAAATTTCACTAGTTTGATGCAGCAAAATGCAACGTTGTCGCGTATTCTGACAAGATCGTAGAAACTACAGGTGCAGATTCTATCGCTAAGGTAACAAGCATCGTAACTTTGGAGTGTCAGATTGAAGCCACAGAATCCCAAAATGATATACAAAATTATAAATGTCGATCTTTAAGGTTAGCAGATGAAGGTCGGCACGTGAGAAATGCAAATCCTAGCGATGAATCTCACTAGAGCATGTATATAAATCTAAGAACGAACCTCTATTGAAACCATAGTATTGCAAAATTGACACCAAATACATTCGATTTTTAAACACGCAAAAGGAATCAAACCATGGCAATTGATATGAAACTTGACACGAACCCAAATACTATGCCTTCCCTGCCAGATTATGTCCCCCCAACCAAAGGACCTCTTTCACTATTACCAGTTACTTGGGTGCCATACGCTCAGCTTATGCGAATAGAGAAGCCGGCAGGTTACTTTGCATTCTAATTCCCTCACATTGCTGGCTTACTCTTTGCACAATCTCATTCTGCCAATTTATCTTTTCCACGCCCCAGCTTCGAGCAGCGCCTTGTTCCACATTTGTACATTTTAAGCGGATGTATATTTCTGCGTGGAGCTGCATGTACGTGGAACGATTTTCTAGACGCCCCCTATGATCGACAAGTTGCACGATGCAGACTGCGACCCATTGCACGGAATGCTGTCAGTGGACCTGCAGCTCTGGGTTTCATGGCCATTCAAGCAGTACTAGGAGTGTTGACGACCCTTGCGCCACTGCCTCACTCGGCTCGCGTACCAGCTGCCTTACTTTCTGCTACGCAGATAGTGTATCCTCTATGTAAGCGATTCACCGATTATCCACAGTTGTGGCTTGGTGTCTCATTTGCTTTCGGAGTTGGCGTAGGTGCCGGAGCAGGTGGTATCGACTTTGTGGAGATGTGTGGAAGATTAGACGCACTAGAAAGTAGTGAGACACGCATACTTTGCATTCTTGCTTGCCTGTACTTCTTTGTCGTACTTAACACGTTGATTTATGATACCATATATGGGCAACAAGACCTAAAAGACGACTTGAAAGCAGGAGTCAAAAGTTTAGCAGTGGCATGGAGAGACAACACCAAAAGGAACTGCGCGGTTTTGGCGGTAATTGAGATTGCTTTACTCTTAGCTACTAGCATCCTTGGCAGGTTGACTATGGGCTTCGGTATATTGGCGATTGGTGGCACGACATTGGTGCTCATCATGATGTTGTACTCGGTCAAGCTCGAAGATCCCGAAAGTTGCATGTCGTGTTTCAAGTGGCTCATCTGGGGAACTGGTGCCACTTTATCTCTGGGCTTGTTATCTTCCTGAGAAGAAGCACTGGGATACAATAAGAATGTAGATTCCGACCTGCTTTTTTATTGAAATGAGATGGTTATGTTTGCAAGATATTCGAATGCTGGCAGCGCTGGCCTTTATCTTTACAGGTGGTCTATGGACGTTATCAGAGCGATATTGGGTGAGAACAGCGACTGGAACGTCCAGATGTTGCCTTTTTGAGTCACTATCAATCGTGGTCATTAATCTCCCTTGAACTCAGGAGATGTAACAATCCCTGTGAAGAGACGCCAACAAACAGTGGCCGTGCAAAAGAGACATTTAAAGAAGAAAAATATCTGAAGTAAAGCGAGATCTCACAAAGAATATCCAGTCATACAAATCATGAAAATTGAATACTCATATCCTTTCTGCGGATTGTTTTTGAAAATACAGTGCAAAACCATACCACCAGAGAAACATAAGAATTCAAAAAGAATGTCCAGGGTGAAACGAATCCCCGCAACCACGGAATAGAGATCGCGACGTCAGAGAGCCCAGTCTTGCTTGCTTGCACAAGAAAGTCAATCTAGGAACGTTTGTAATGTACTAGCAGATTGAAGCTGCAAAGTACATCAATTGTCATGTTTGTACGTTCCAATCATTGCCCCAAAGGCGGGGGAAAGAAGAAGAAGAATACGTGAAAGAAATTCACGGTGCGCACTAGTCGCGACAATGTGTGTAATGCTAGCCTCGTCGTGCAGAGAGAAGTATGTGATATGGGTGTATACCAGTGACTAATTATGAGATGAAATCTTTGACTTACTGATGAGAGTGCAATTGATCTGTATGCTTCAAGTGCTTTTTAGTAATCTCCGCATTGTGCGAGACCTTGGGACCTTCATGTAACTGGCTGAACATTCATTGCAGCAGGCTGAAATGAGATCGCTAAAGAGGCTGATTGAAGAAAATATAGCAAGATTTGACAGTAATAGAGAAACGTGCATTTACTAGCCACCGAAATTTTGTCGTGATTTGAATTCTCGAGTCTACAAAACACCTACCAATATCAAGATTTCGCTAGTCTCGCTGCCTTGAACCTACTAACTTTCTTTGGACCACCCTCTTCTTCCGTAAATGGTACAATCTCACCTTCTTCCTCCGGACCAAAGCCACCTTGTTTACCAATTATCTTGTTTCTCATTCGATGATATTCAGTTGCAACTTCTTGGTGTAATAGTTGCGGATCAAATTCATCTGGTGGGGCTGCGTTGGTGTCATGTGGTACATCTCTTTCGATAACGTTGGGTGCGAGTGTACGGTTTGCGGGACCTGTAGGAACTTCTCGGGGCTTTTCGATGGCTGGTGCAAATTGAATTGGTTGAGAGAAGGGCTTAGGGGTAGCTGGAGTGGCAGGGAATAATTTGATATGGGAAGGATTTGTGGTGACCGAAGTGGTAGGCAAAATGCCATTAGTGCTATTGCTTAACGGAGTTCGAGATGTCTTGAAGCGAGAAGCCTTCTTTTGAACAGGTGGAGCAAAAGAAGATGGCCCTGGAGCTTTTCTCTCAATGATGTCTCCCACGGGGGCAGTTTTCATCTCGGCCTTTGAGGAGGAGGTGACTGGTTTATCAGGGGCTGGTGAAACATCTAGTTCCTCTGCAAATCTGACGCTTTTCTTTGAAGAGTCATCGGAATTGCCTGCATTAGAATCCTTCAATTTTCCCTTGCTGGGGGTCGTGAGGATTCCCTTGCCAGAATCCTTGGTATCCTCGCCACTAATAGATATCCGTCCAATTCCTTCTTGGACCATGCCATAATCATCCGAACTCTTTCCAACATTCTCCATCATCCTAACACCAAGCTTTTCTTCAAGTTCAATCATATGTTGACGGAGTTCATCATCCATAACTTGACGTGTTGATTTCCCAAATCGATCCTCATCATCGCTATCAGAATCATCTGCATAGTCTTCAGATTCCCAATCACTCCCATCTTCTAGATTTATTTCCGCCACTACAGATCCAACTTCTGACATTCCATATTGTAACATATCTCGTCGTAAAGCAGCATCCTCCGGAGATTCGTCGGTAGGTATGACGGCAGGCTCAAATGAAAGCTTTTCCGATTCTCTTGCAGATTGCATAATCTCTTCAAGGCGCTTTGCGGCTGGAGAGATCGTTGAATTTGATTCCGCAGACTCTGTTTTTGAATCGTCTGCAAACTTCACACTCTTCGGTCCAGGCTTTGAAGATGTAGTAGGTGGATTGGATTCCTTAACGCTCTTCGTTTCGGTCGCCCGGGGGGTAGTGTCGACTTGTACTGAAGCTTTGCTGGCTGGTCCATCATCTACCACCTCTTCCACGACGCCCGATTCATCCTTGGATACCGGCTCTATTATTCCAGCTTTGTGTAGTACCTCTAATAATTGTGGCTTTACATTTCCTGGTGTTGATAGTCTTGAAGAAATGACATTTCCTTCATCATCCAACTCTTCGATGATTTCTGTTACAGGAAGTCCTTCCTCATTTCTTACGTCCGGAGTACTGATGATAGTTGCCTTCGCCAATTTCTCCTCTGCGGTCTCGATTTGCTTCTCGATTGTTTTGATATTTTGCTGAACATAATCTAATCGTCGATCTAACAGATTCACAACTTGTTCAGCGCTTCTTTGGGTACTGGTACCAAGTATATCTTCGATTTCTTTTCCTTTGACCAGATCGGCTTCGTAGTTTCGTGCGATAGAGATGAGTTCCTCACGATTTGGGGTAGGATCTGCTGAAAGAATTTCCTCTTTCAAGCCATCATATTCAGCATCCCACGTCTGCCAGTGCTGTAGCGATTTTCTAAGTTTTGCGATATTATCCTCAAGTTGTAGGCGATACTTCTCCAAGTCGAGAAAGCTATCTTTTGTTGCTTGCGCCATGTTTGGGTGAATTCTTTGGAGGAGTCAGTCGCTCGAATTACATGTGTAGGTAGGCAGAAGACGAGGCTACGGAGGGCTTTGAAAAGGCACTCGTGCTTTTTGTCGCTTGTTACCAGCTTCAATTTTTTTCTCTTTAAAAGCGGCTCGGCAGCGGCACACGCTAACGTTTTTCTACTAAGGTTTGATTGGTCAGAACAGTTTAAGTCAACCACAATATCCTTCAGGCGTGATCTTCATGTAGGTAGGTATGTAGGACTACCTACAAAAGATGAAATTATGAATAGGTATAAGCCTGCAAGTGTTGGAATCATATTGGAGATTGAATCAATGTATTTTGATTATTTGAGACCAAGTTTCAATTTCACTAGCAGTCCCTAATGGCAAACCGTGGAAGCTTTGAAATAGAAAATTTCCTTTACTCATCACCCGCTCTCTCACCCATCTTCCACTCGTCACCCTTTCATCACAATGCTTGAAGCCGAAAATCCCAAGCATGAAAGTCCTGCCGTGTTGCTAAAGTGCGAGGTTCTTGCGAGTGCAGGCGGTTTGAGACGATGGCATGAAAATAGTCGTCGGTATGATTGTTTGTGTGGTGGTTGGTGAAAATCATTCTTAGCATATTTTTACTAGAGAGGACCATATTTTGAAGGCGAGAAAAGAAGGCTTGGAAGATAGTTCGACAAGTGGATCAGTATCTTTTTGGGGACCATAACTCTGTAAAAATTTACAGGCAAGTCTTCAAGTGACACAACAGACGGCGCAACAGGGGTTGACTTTCTGCAGCTTGCTCTTGATCAAAACCCTCATCTCAACGAAGGTGTTCCATATATTTGATTCAAACTCTTTCTTGGAAGGAATAAGAAAGAAAAAGATCTTGCGACTTCAAGTCAATATGTCTCAACATGTCTCAACTCAGAAATAAGACAGTGGGTTTCTATGGACGTTGAAGTCAAATGATGCATGCCTCCTTCAATTTTCGATTCCGATCGTGGCTACTCAGATCAGCGAGTTACTGCCCTCCATATGGTCTGTGGCAGTGGTTTTGAGAACATTGCAAAAGTCTTAATTGAGCATGGAGTAAGTCTTGAATTAGAGGTCGAGGCAGGAGACACTAACAACTTCAGAGTTGGATTTGATGAGAAAAAGACGACATTCGCACCTCGGTCGAAAAATCAATTACAGATTGCAGCGTATACAGGAAAGGAAGCATTGGTATGCTGGAGCTAACCCAGCCATTTAAATTGTTATGGTACGGCTCTGTGTAGTGCATCGAAGTGTGACAGATTCGAAGTAGTCGAGAAACTCCTTAATTCTGGAGCAGAAATCTTCAAAAACAATGAAAAATGGTATGCTTTAGCAGTGGCATGTCAATATTATCGTCATAGAATCGCCGAACTATTACTGGATCGACTTCTAGAGAATATTGAAAATCCTACCGGTATTGATGCAATATCGACAGCAGGCTTAAGCGAAGACAGTGATATGATTCAGCTGCTTCTGGCTCGTGGGGCGTCTACATCTCCATCTCATACCATCATAGCAATCCCTGTAGAGCATCCGAAAGAGCAAATTGGCGGGACACTGCCAAAACGAACTTTGCAATATCTTTTCAAATCTTGATCGAAGGGCCTTAAAAACATGTTTCAATGATTCATTACAGATCAAACAACGAAATGGTAGGTTCCGATACTGATCAGTCGGAGATTGAATATGTTACAGATTTTGGCAATTGGGAATCGTCCCGTCAGTCCACGCACCCCTTTATATAAGAAGAGAAAATGTAACTCAGAGTGCCTAGTAGTCCGAGCAGGTAGAGCTGATATGGAAAATTGCGATTGAATGCTAAGATAAAAATGATTGTAGTAAGGATCCTTAATGATATGACAGTCGATGTCTAGGCGAGGCTGATTTTTAGTATGGTTAGTCTCTTCCGAATGGTGGTGTGAAAATTACATTTTGTCTTCCTCGATATCGAAAACTGACGAAGTATGCTACGATTCCATGATCAAAGTAGCTTCAAGGTTAGAACGCAGCTTTAACCGATATAAAATGAGACCCCCGCTTGACTACCTACCTAGGTAGAAAGGTTTCGAACGATTTCGTTTAACAATGGTAACCAACTAATCGGATAAAATCCGAAGTCTTGTCAAATTCATGGTATTCTCAACATGAGAATATGCATTTTTATTCATAACTCCATCGCGGCCAAGACTATGATAACGCTACTCACACAACGAATGCTTTTTTAAAACTAAATACCTCACAAACCACAAATCTAAAAACCCTTCGTCCCCCCTCCCCTACTTCCCCATATCTCATTCCAACTCAAAACTCAACAAACTACCGCCACGATATGCCCACATATGCTTAACGGATTTCCTTCCCACAAATAGCACCCCAACCGTTCTTCTCGATGTTGTCACGTGTGGTGATGCATCCCTGTAGCCACGCAAAATCCATGCATTAGCCTTCTCTTCACCGCCAGAATTCAGGAGGTTGGGATGGCACTGATCCTAGAGGAGTTCGCATTTGCTCCACCTGTCAGCTGTGAGAAGATGCTTCTGCAAACCGTGCAAGCTTACTTTTCTTTTTCCAGACGAAAAGACAGAGTCAAGAACCACCTTTTCTTCCTCCACTTCTTTTTTTGTCTTGCATTTTTTGCAGAAATTGGTGGTTCGTTCATAACTCCACTCCTCCACAAGTTTCTTTCTTCTTATCGATTATTATCGATTGAATTGATTGCGGGAAAATTTAAGAACGGGACGTTATTTGGACATAGCTGCGGGCGAACAAGAATTGAAGCTCTGAACCCCTCATAACCTAGTGATACGAGACGAGTATCGGTTACCTTGCTTATCCGTAGGGTTTGAGGTTACATTATTCACTTACTATAATTTCACTCTCAATTGCTTCTGATTCCTTTTCGCAACTCTCAATTATATCAACAATTCTTCAATTCCTCTTCTTCTCTTCGCGTCAAAGTAACAACTCCAAAATCCCGCAAAAATGGGTTGGTTTGATGGCGCCTCTGAATCAGGTCGCTCCCACTCTTCAAAACGTCACTCCTCACATTCGCATTCCAGCAAAAAACGCCCTTCCTCCTCCCATTCTACCCATCAAAACAATTCCTCTGGAATTCTTGGAAGCGTTCTAGGAGGCACATCTCCCAAATCCCCCAAATCTCCTAAATCTCCCAAATCAAGCCATAGCCATCGAGAGCGTTCCAGAAGTCGTACGCGAGGCACCGACAGCATTTTTGGCAGCGGAGATGCGAAACATAATTCTAGTCGGAGTAGTTTCTTTGGTATGTATTTTTATTTATTTCTACAGTTCTATCATTGTTTTCGTAATTCAATCTATCCAATATCCATATTCTCGTCGCGCATTCGAATAATAATTTAATAAATTCCTCCTTCTAGGCATCTCGCGCTCCACATCCCATTACAAGCGTTCTCCTCGTCCCAACTATTTAAAACGCATTTATGCCAAATTGCGCGAACTCCTGCGCGATCTCATCTATTACATGAAGCGCCACCCGCTAAAAGTATTCATGCTCGTGATCATGCCTCTCATAACAGGTGGAGCGCTAGCCGGACTATTGAAGAAATTTGGGGTTAGGCTACCTGGAGGACTAGACAAGTTAATTGGCGGTGGAAAGGGAAGAGGAAGTGGGGGAAGCGGATTCTTCGGAGGAAATGGAGGTAATGGAACTTACGAGTATGAGAGGAGTAGCGTGAAGAGCACTGGAGGCGCAATGGGGAAGTTGGGCACCCTGGCGAGTGGCATGGAAGGAGTAGGAGGAGCGATGAAGTTGGCGAAATTGTTCATCTGATGTGGAGTCTGGAATGATTGCAAATTGGATGAGAGATGAGTTGACATGATGTGATGAGGATATTTTGATCGGGCTGGATATGGCGTTGGATATTTGGGTCGACTCTTTTCCTTTTGATTTTTTCTCTTCTCGCTTTCTTTCTTTTCCAAAAGCCTGCATTTTTTTACGGATATAGATACCACGATTAGAGTGATAGTGTATGACTGGTCTTGAATACAAAAGATTTGGAATATAGATGGAATTTCATGATGTGATTAGATGAGGGGAATCAATAAGTGAGTTCGGCTACATAGTAGGATTAACTCTATTTGTCTCCATAGACTCAAGCCAAATGCTTTTGGTGAGCTTAATGAGTTCTACAAGCGATGCCCGGTATCAAGCTTCCATTGCCTATTAATTGAAGGCGAGCACGAATACATGCATCTTCAAAGATTACTCCCGACGATCTATTTGTTTTATCTGTCTAACTTCTTCTCCGTTAGTAATGCAGCCCCTTCACACATCACCTGATTTACCTCACGGATACAGAAATTTAGCTCCTTACGCTGCTGTATTGGAAATCTGCATACATCATTTGACCTATCCACGCTACCCGACCATCGTATAAATCTCCTATTCGCTTGCTGTATTTTATCAACTGTACCCAATACCCTCAATAACCTAACCCTGTAGTCCTCTAACGCCAGCTCCATTATCAATAAGTTTAACGCAAAAGATAATTCTTCAAATTCGTATCAAATCGTAATTTATGAACCCACAGCATGACTGAAAACCTTTGCGGCGAGCTGACTTAATAATCTTGCTTTATCACCTTGAGGAAGTTCCTATGCAGCACACATATTAGCAGTTTCCTTTCATCCTCTCCCAAGTTCAACACTCAACCTCAACTTACCTGGAAAACAGAATAAACGCTTTTCCCCCTAGCGTCTCTCACAGCACCCAACCTATTTCCTGCCACAGCTCCAGCCAACATTCCCGGGAAATTCGCAACAATAAATCCCATAGCTCCTCCACTCAATCCACCCACCATACTCCAGAACTTCCCGGTAGGTGAATTATTATTCTCTGCCATTCCCTCTTCTCTCAACATCTCCTCAAATACATCTCCAAATTGTGCGTCTTGAAACTTCTCTTCCTCCTCTGGATTCTTCGCCTTTGACGAGAAGCCAAAACTAGACCATGGGAATCCACCGGGTCCAGCAGATGGATCGGGAATTTCTTCATCGTCATCCATAGATGTAGAGGCTGTGGAGGCCCCAGAGCCAAATCCATGATATGTACGGGCAGCGTCGTAATCGCGACGACGAGTGGGTTCAGAAAGGGTATAGTATGCGTCGTTGATTTGTTGAAATTTACGGGTTCTTTCCGCACGTTCGGGGGAGTCAGAGGCGACCCGATCGGGGTGGGTTTTTAAAGCTGCTCTGTCGAGTGACGAAGGTTAGTTGGTGTTCAGGAAAGAGGGGTAGAGAAGAAGTTCATACTTTTTGTAGGCATTGCGGATCTGTTGCTGGGTTGCAGTGGATGGTACGCCAAGAACGGCATCTAGCAAATGAAAACTATTAGCATGTTGACTATCTCGGTGGGCGAGTGGAATAATCTAAAGGTTGGAGGACTCACAATAATCTGAAGGTAATGTCATTCTTCCAGGTTCGAAAATGCTAATAGGATGTGGTACTTGAGAATATTCTAGGATTTCGTGTAGTATTAGAGTTTTCAATAAGAGATGATAATATGTAGAAAAGAGTTCTAGTTATGCAGATTCGACCGCAAATATGAATATGAGAGGTGGAAAGGACACCTCGAGATTCAAGAAATGATAAGTGATACCTGGATTCACTTGACTGCCCAGGTGGCTTCTGCGTCATAGGTGTGGCGTAAGGAAATGTGGCTGACACGTGAAAATCTTGGCATTGATACTCGCGTGCATGCAACCAAATTTTGAGCGAGAGCAATTGATTATTTATGTAGAACAACTGGAACATCAAGCACGACATTTTCTTCTATGAAATGAGACAATATACTTCCAGTGTGCTCCAAGTAATATGCACACATTTGACTTCTTATCTCAGCTGCAAAACGAAGCGGCTTTGATTAATCTTTCCAATTTTTTACTATCATATATAAACTTCATTTTCTCCAGGGAGTAGGTAGGGATTTTTTGTATGGATTATATAAGCATGAATGAAGTCGTTCATACAAAATCGTCATGTAGATGTTGTTGTTTCAAAGCAAGAGCAAGTCCAAAACCTCAAACTACTCATCGCGTCCTCTTAGGTAAACTTTTAATCTGCCGCGTAAGGCTATCCATTGATAACGCCATCTTTTCAGCGAGAGCGGGCCGAGAGAAAACCCTTTGAATACCCCACTTCGCATACTTTTCATCCTCAATTTACTTTCTACTGTATCGCACATACATTGTAGTCCAACTCTCCAACTGTCATTGGTTCTGTCGATCCTCTGTCCTGTGTTCGCCAGATTTTACAGCTTCTCAAAATGTCCCCCGGTTGTAAAATCCACCTCCTTGACGGAGGTCTTGGCACTACCCTCGGTGATTCCCACCAAGTACAATTCACAGAAAAAGAACCTCTCTGGTCTTCTCAGCTACTCATTCCAACTCATCCCCATGGACCCAAAACACTCCTCGCTACTCAAAAGTCCTTTGTGGATGCTGGTGCTGATATTTTGTTAACTGCAACTTATCAAACGAGTTATGAGGGATTCGGAGGATCAGGATATGCTGTTCATTCACACTCATCTTCTAACTCGGGAAAAGAAGATGGGGACAAGGAGGAGGTAAATAGCATCATGAGAAGCGCGGTAGATATCGCTTCCGATGCATTTTCCACCCAAAAAGATTCAAATGGCAAAATTGCACTAAGCCTTGGAGCATACGGTGCAATCATGACTCCGGGACAAGAATATACGGGAAAATATGATGATGACCATAAATCAAGCGAGCAATTGAGCTCATGGCACCATGAGAGAATTTCGGTTTTCTCGAGAGATCCAAAATGCTGGGATAGAGTTGACTATGTGGCATTTGAAACAATCCCATTATTGGAGGAAATTGAGGGTGTTAGAAAATCCATGGGAGAGGTTGAAAACTCGAACAGTGGAACAGCTGGAAGCAAGCCATGTTGGATCACGTGTGTATTTCCTGGCGAAGGAAATTGCTTACCCGGTGGAAGCTCTGTACAACAAATTGTACAAGCAATGTTGGGCAACAAAGACGGTTCTCCAGTACCATTTGGAATCGGTCTGAATTGTACCAAAGTCGGAAAAGTTGAATCTCTGATACTGGAATTTGAGCAAGAAGTCAAGGCTTTAATCGAGAAAGGGGATATCAGTGAATGGCCATCTTTGGTAGTATATCCCGATGGAACGATTAAGGGAGAAGTCTACAATACCTCTACCAAAGTATGGGAAATTAGAGAGCCACCCGGAAAAGAAGATTTGCAGTGGGATGAGGCGGTTCTTGAGATTGTCAGGAGGGCAAGAGATAGGGGGTTGTGGAAGGACATTATTGTGGGAGGTTGTTGCAAAACTACGCCTAGGGAGATCGGGAAACTAAGGGAGAGGATCGATCGACTTGATAAGGAATAATCGAATAAATGCAATGAGAACAAATTACTCAATTTTCGAGACAGCCGAGAATGTTTTGAAGATGAGCCTGAATCTAGCTGTTTCGGAATCGAACATGAATCTGGATCTCGTCAAAGCTTTTACGTTTGTTTTCATGTTTCTTGAAATGATAAAACACGCCCCTTTTCGGCAATCTTCTGAGCCAATCAAAGTCCTTTTCGTCAAGTTCTATCGTCATCCAGAACGCAATGTCAGCACCAAAACCTAGCTATTAGAAGTTTTCCTTTCGCTTAAAGGTTTAGTACGTTTTCTTTTTCTGGTTTCCATCAAGAGAAACCATTATTTTTGTTTGACCTTATTTCTCCTTGGCGCTTTCTGATCTACTTTTCATCACTCTCATCACTACGTTCCCTCAAAATCGCGAGTTCCTCAATTTCAATCTCTAATTTATGTTTCCCGAGAACACGGCCACTAGACGCGACGCTGCACCAGTGAATTCATCCAGAGCTGGGAGGGTTCCGATATTTCTAGTTCCAACTCAATCTTTCAATTCTATGGAAATTAAAACAGTCGAGAGCAAATAATGTACAGTATTAGATATTGTTACAGTCAAGGTCGAGTCCCGCTTAAGGTGCAGCAAGTTGCAACTTGTGTCTCCCCGTAATTCTTTCATATAGCTCATTTCTTCTTACCGACTTGTGCAGAAGGATTTAAAAAGATATTTGCGATCTTGCTGTGGATTGTAAAACTGGTGATACAGCAGAAAAGGGTTGCAGCTGGCGGGCCTAATCAATGATTTATTTATTTCTACGCCCGCTATCCAAGAATTGACATTGCTCACTAAAGCACTCCTCATTCCGGTATTTTTTCACATCTTTGGAGATCATTGTAAAATTCGACGATAGTCAGCCGAGGCAGTTTCCTATTCAATTCCTAAACTCAAACTCTAGACAGTACAGTAATCGATTCTAGATAACTTCCAGACACCTGGCATTTTGAATGGAAGCACCAATTTCCCTAGAGTATTATTTTTGATATACACTTCTAAGCACGAGGTATTTTGAATTTGCAAGATTCGATTTGCTTCAGTGAGCACTCAATTATGACACATCGAATAATGAAAATATAAGGTCGTTTAGAGCTTTGCTATATTAGTCTGCTTTTCCGTAACAATTATTAAGCTTATACACTGATAGCAGGCGCTCTGACAAATGCTTTTCCTCCCATCGTTTGTGGCTTTAACTCCCCGTTCATGATCTGTCTAATCCTCCACTCACCCCACTCTCGTACAGATCTCGACTGATCGACCTCTTCGTTCGCTAAGGCTGGAATGCCACTGCCCTTGAACCTTTTCATACTCTCATCATTCTCGCACCGGACCAAATATGCTAAGCTTCTTCTAACATGCGTTCCCTGCTCACCGGGAGGTGTTATAACTCTATGCAAGGCACTACATAAGACACCGCCAGTACGTTCGACCAAAGTGTCTCCCAAGTTGATCACTGCACAGCCTGGCTGTGGTTTTATGTATAACCAATTCTCATTCTTGTTTTCGACGCCTGCAGGGAGGATTTGAAGGCCGCCAACAACATTGAACAGCATGGTTATCAAGCCGACGTCGGTATGACTCGCGAACGCAACACGGTGGTCAACAACGGGTTGGGGGCGTGTAAATACCATGCGAAGGGATGTATCTGAGCGCTTATCAATGGGGCAAGTAGAAGCTAGGGTTCCAGACGGAAGTCCAAGGTGATTGTCGAGATGAGAAAAAACAGCGCAGATTCCAGAGTGTGCACGGCGGAAAAAGGACTGAACCGAACGTTTGTTCTCAACAAATGGATAAGGATCGGGTTTTGGGTTTGGCTCAAGACCAAGTGCGTCGTCCTGGTTGACGTTGTAAACTTCAATGGCATCGAACTTGCCATCGCCAGTCTTCAGAGTTCCAACTGGTTTGTAGCTAACTAAGATGTCAGTTGATGTTTTTCCTGGAGAGATTAAAATAAGCTATGCTTGTGGACTTACCCTCTGAGGTCCCGAGGGGGGTCGCTAACGTATTTCATAAGCTCATTCTGCTCAAGATCAAAAGTAGCATTGCTAATCTTGAACATGGATTCGGCATCTTTCAGAAGTGCCTCTCCTTCCTCAGAGCCACGCAGGTTAAGCAAGAAAACACCATGCTCTCTACAAGAATCGAAGAGCTTTTCCGATTCGGAAGAGGAATTGCTCTGCAGGGCTTTGTATGAGATTATAGGGATTTCAGCTGTTGGAACATCGTTGGGGAAGGGAGGGGACTGCGCAAATATCTCTTCGGTAGGCATGGTGGCAGGAAAAAGAAGCAAAGTAAAGCGTTCAGGATAATACTAGTGAATTGGACTGGGTTACTAAACGGTTGGGCTTTTTATATTCTTACAAGTATTGCGATTGACTTTTCAACACCTCGATTGCAGCCCTAAATATCACCTTGGAAGCTAACGCCAACCTGTTGTCAATCTTGATCATCCTACTGGTTGTTGCTACTCCTTCTTCCGGCAATGCTCTTACCAAAAACCTCACCGATATCAACGGTACCAACGGCGCTAAAGTTTAAACGGTTTATCGGGAATATAATTGCATTAGCTAGATGAGGGTGGCATCGTTCCAGCAAATCGACTAATAAACTTCATCTAAATTTCAACGTCTGAAGAAACGCAATTCGGGTTGATTGGTTTATATGCGGGGCTCAGCGGAGAAAAATGCGTTCCAACCTGTCGGAATACTGACGTGTAAAATGGTTACATCGATCATATTCCATCCCGCTCTCATGCATACTACGTACGTGGCATATCCATTCATAGAGTGGGGTGAGAACACCAGATATTTTAGTATTCCTTCTTCATGTAAAGAAGGTTAATAGAATAAATTTGTTCTTCTACCCCTGCATATTTTCTATGTACATACACGTTGGTATATCCATCTAACACAAGTAGTTGCTTGGAAAACGTGGAGTAAACTGCATGTCTTAGTGAAATATGTGGGCATGTGATATTTTTTCACAGTGTTGATTGATTGTATCAAGGAATTGAGTTTATTAAAACATTGGCATGCGTCATTGAATACCGCTCCATTTTACGGGATCAGATCTCCTTTTAGAGGCGGCTGCATATCCGTATATGTAAGATGGAGGTGTTTGATCTGAGAAAATGAAATCTTATCCTAAAGTCCAGGTGATCACAATCATTGAATTATGATTATAGGCTGAATGAAAGTAGTAGAATTTTCTAAAGCAAATTTAAGTATCATACAACACAAAGCTCGGCATATGATTTCCTTAGCTTGTTATGAACATCAAGGTAGTGGGAGATGCGTTCGCTTGTTTATCGGCCTCTTCCCTCCCCCCCTTCTGTCTGTGCGCGTGGAAATTTTCAATTAAAGCTTAGTCACTTTAATCTTGATAGAGATATACTTTCTTAGTTCTTATCCTTGAAAGCTGTTTAGCCCTCATATACATAACATCAATAGTATAATAATCTAATCGAGTAGAACTTGTAAATTACTAGATACAAAAATGGAGAAAAATCGAAGAAGTATCTCCTGAGAAATTATATTAGTTGAGCCGGCGCACAAGAATACAACAGGGCTCAGGGATAGTCATGAGCTCGAGACTAGAAGTAACTCTCTTATGTTTGATATTTATTTGTATGAGATATGCTATGTTTGAGAGAATTAAAGAAATCAGTATTTCATCTACGAAAGCTTGTAAGCTTTTGTATCTTACTTTTCAATCAAATTTAGATAGAACTCTGTATTATATACTATCTATTCGAGCATTAATCAAAAGATTAAAGCTTAGAATAAAGTAAGTAGTCTTTCAATTATAGTATTTAGATCTCTGTATAATACCTACTTAAAGAGCACCGCTGATATCGCCTAAATCTATGGATGTAACTGCTAAGATGCTTAATTAGACAGGTTACAATATCAGTTTTCGATCATCAATGTTTGTTTATATAAGTTTAAAAGTTTCCGATTCTTCTCCTGGTTTTCAAATCTGAATACAAATCTACCCGTGGGAGAATATCCAAACTTCTATATCACTAGTTAATTGCATCTTATATTTGATTCCTCTGTATAAGTATAGCTGAACTACTGCTAATCGACACGAGTCGCGGAACCGATGACCTAGTAGATTACTGGATCTCACTAGTCTTGTATTTGTTGTTTGTTGTACTAAAGGACTCACGTTCGATTGTTTGTTAAGGCTGGAAAGTGCTATCCTGATCGATTTTGTCTGGGAAACATGATATCTAGAGGTGCGGTAATCATTATGGATGATTCAAAGTTAGTAGCTCTTGTACGTGTATGAACTGATAAATTATTTCTCAACTTTCAAAATTTGTAACAAGTTCATTCTGTAATTACTTAATATTGGAATTCATTGTTTGATTGTTCAGTTTGTATTGAATCATTGAGATAATTCTTAAGATTTTCGAATCCAGATTTCAATAAACATTGTTAAGTCTATTTTTGCATGGTCCTCACTAACGGGGTTCTCGACCGATCTCGTATTGATAAAACTTATCGCCGAAGAAGTTGTGAGCAGAGATGTCGAGTACTTCTCAGATCCAACAAAATGAAGCCTTGATATCCTCAATATAACGTATTTTCCAAGTATGAGTCGTTGCCTACACTCTCTTAACCAAATTTGGTATCGGCTTTCTTATTACACAAATAAGAATGACCAAACTTTGAACTTGTTCGAACTTGATCCTAATTGCGATTATGCCTTTCATGGCTGCGGTCACTGTTGCCGACACAGTAGTGAAACTCATCCGTTACATGTTCCTTAAGAAGTTGACTTCGCAGATAAGAGGCTATTGAATCGTATAGTCTGGCTTTTAGTGCTAATACCTTTGTTCAATCTGGCTTCAATATCGTCTTTTTTTTGCTCAACTATCTTGCTCATCGTGAATCTTTAGGAGATATATATTAGTACTAGACGGGAAGCTCTGGCGTTTGGTCCCCTAAATGTGTGTGTCACTGTGTCTAATAGCAATAATGTTTATGGATTTGTTAAATATTTACACATCATTTCTTACTCCCTCTAAAGATTTTACTTATCAGTAACTTCACATACCTTTTAGCTGCTAATATAACCCATCGCCCACTTTGAACGTTAGAGAACAAGAAGCGGGAAACAGATGAACAATCCTGAAACCGATTTGTCTTGGATTACTAGAGTTCTCATGCCGTTCCAGATAATGAATCCATTGTTCTCATTATGAACACTTGGAAATGCATCTGAAAAACTCCTTTTCGTGGTTTGCGTTATACTGTATAATGCAGACACTGCTTTATTCTTGTGTGAAAGATGAGGCAAGTTTAATAATCACTGTTGCTAGACATTGAAAACTACACGAGTTCACTTCTAGTGGCCCATAGATCTAACCAATAGCCAGAATACTGATGATAGTGGTGATGAAAACTCGACAGCACTTCACAAACCAAGTTGAACGTGGTGTTTCCTATATTTGCTATAGTGTTACGATCTTGTTAACCTTTTATGGCACTCGCTTCGAGACAATATGTGCTCCGGGTTGGGCAAAATTGACCGAACTAAAAATAGAATGTATCTGTTTGATTCTCTGTAGGTTGCATCTATTTTCGCTCGTGGATGGGGCAACACAATCTATTACAGTTGCTTAACCTGACGGGGTTGAGACAATATCTTGTAACTCATTTCGCATCCGAGATCTGGAAGCTGAAAAGAGAGTTTTGTAAGTTTTTCTGCGCCATAAACGCCCCTCTCTACTCTGAGCGTTGGCGGTTGACCAGCTTGATTCACTGTCACCACTATTATTTTCATCGCCCACCAGTAAGATAGGGGTGAGCCTAGACCAAGGCTATTACTTCATGCATTCATTGCTTTTGATATTTATGCCGATTGGTACAAATAGTGAGGTGAAGGTAGTTTGGAAACTCGTTGCCCTTTTTCACATAATAAGGCAGGCTAATCAAAGAAGTGTCTGCATATCTGACACTTTTCCATAGCAAGCCTTCTAGTTTACTTTTCTTCGCCTTTTTCTTGTGGTCACTTTGTAGAATATCTGCTGTTCCCTTATGGCTGCTCTCATCCTACATTGAATTTTATTCAAACTACGACATTCAAATTGATAAATATGTATCTATCTTTGGTCCACATGTGGTACAAGTCTTGGTGACTGAAGTAGTATGACAAGTATTGAACATACGCCCCACTGTGGTGAAGCGTATTGCATTTTATATTACGCATTCTAATATGCGATATCGAAAAACATGTCATGAAAATCATTGTTATTATCATATGATATTATACACTACCAAAAGATGTGGAAATACCGGGATTCAATAGATTCAAGTAAACCCCAATGAAGATAGCTTCAATATCGCTTATTGAGGAAGGGAAAATTGTATCGAATATCCTTATGTGCTCGAAGAATGCAGCTGCGACACCTGGGAATTCATGAGATTCTAGTACGTTAGTATGTTATTAGTTTTATACCGTATAACTTGTACACATTGCAGTGGATAACGAAATAATACACCAACACTAATCTAGCATAGAAGTCTTCAACATCAGCCACCATAGCACAGCTTGAAGCTTGAAGCCAGTGATTTCAGAGGACAAGCAACACGCGGCACAACTGTACAATCACAGCTGCGGTCAAGTTGACCCAGAGCTTCGGTCCCGAAGTCGTCAATACTATAACTATGTAGTACTACTTCACTGCCAAGAAGTAGAATAGCCACCAATAGTTCACATCCAGTGACATCGTCGTCTATATAAGGCCTATCTCGATCCACCATGCAATGTGGACTAATTGGAGTCTACACACTCTAAATCCAATTCTTCGCTAGGTAATTACGTAACCCTGCACGGTAGTTACTAGCACGCCACATTTACTTCGTAATAATAGGGATATTTCACCCCAGCCCTATACCGGGGTAATATGCGTTTTTAAGCTTGTGCAGTGACATCCTCTTGACGGAGCTTACGAAGCTAGGAAGAGAGGTGTAGTCGAATGTAGCTAAGGAAGGAACTGCTTGACTTTTTGTTTCGTTTCGTTTTGACAAGACGATCACCTATTTTTGTTTCTATGCCTTGAGCTAATCTTACTGGTCGACCTATACGTCTACACATGACGCGGCGACGGTATCTTCCTGGTCATCTTCATCTCGAGATCATGATGATGAACGGCCCCGTTCAATACCTCAATTAAGCTTGTAATAACGTATATATAATGGTTTGCAAGTACCGATGTGATTTACTCTCGGCACTTGCTTCAAATTCGTTGTTCTAACCTGTTCTAATTTTTCTTCTAATTCACTTTTATTCCTACTGTTCAATACTTTGATTCGATACATCAATATGCGCCAATCTTCGCGCACAGCTATCGCAGCTCTTGCGGTGACAGTGAATGCTGCATCGCTTTCCGATGTATGCACTGTATCCAATGTTCAGGCCGCCATACCTGCAAATGGAACCTTGCTAGGTATCGATTCGATTCCTTCAGCCGTGACAGCGGACGCTGTTTACAATGCATCTGCTGGTATGGGTAGCACTACCACCTACACCTACTGCAATGTTACAGTCACCTACACCCACACTGGAAAGGGCGATAAGGTGGTCATAAAGTATGCTTTCCCAAGTCCTTCCGATTTTGAAAATCGCTTCTATGTCGCTGGTGGAGGTGGTTATTCTCTTTCTAGTGATGCAACTGGAGGGCTTGCATATGGTGCCGTTGGTGGTGCCAGTGATGCAGGATACGATGCCTTCGACTACAGTTATGATGAGGTAGTCCTATATGGCAACGGATCCATTAATTGGGATGCGACGTACATGTTTGGGTACCAGGCATTAGGTGAGATGACTCAGGTTGGAAAGACGCTTGATTGATTGATTGATTTCATTTACGTCCACCTTCAGTCTAAGACTATATAGGACGGCTAGGCCTCTAGAGGCTCTAGCGGATAACTTTTTATTCTACAAAAATGGATATATATGATTTAGGGAAGTGAAAACAAATGCTAGGGAACAGTGCCCGCTCATTATACGCATTGCATATAATAAGAAAATTGTGAAAATCAAGAAATTGTAAGGAGATCAAAGCCCTCTCTTATTTCCCTAATTACTTCTTCTTCATTCTCTTCTTCTCTCTCCTCTTCTACTACTATTTTTTCCTCTATCTCGTCTTATATGAGAGCCCTGGCCAGGTACCATGCTCTTGTGGCGATTTTGGTGATATTGATGAATTTAATAGCTAATTCAATATCTACTTTTGTATAAAGTAGGAACTGTATAGTGATCTTAGATAGTGATATATTCTTGAATATTTCTTTTCTCTCTGCTTTATATATAGGACAACTAATAAGGAGGTGTTGTGGAGCCTCAATATTACCACATATACATTTGTTATCAGAGAGTTTGAATCGATATAAATAAGATTTGATATATCCATAACCTAATTTGAGTTGAAAATATGCGCTAGCAGTGTTTCGCTTGGTTTCGCTTGGTAGCTTGATTTTCGATCCTATCTTCCATGGAAATAGCTTTGAATAGGTCAAAGGGGATTGATTTGATCTGAGTTTGTATTGATTGAAAATAGAAAGCCATTGATCTGAATCGTACTCTTTGATCATCATACCTAGAAGTCCAAAACTTGTTTCGTTTGAGATAGAACGTATTGTGGTTACTTCCTTTGCTAGTTTATCTGCTAGCTCATTTCCTTCTACTAAAGTATATCCTGAAACCCAATTTAGAGATACTTCAGCTCCTTTTGCTTTGATGATTTCCGCTGCTTTGATTGCTCGAATCTGATAGACCTGTCCAGAGTGGTCTGATGGTGTTTTTAAGCGATATAGATCAGCTTGATTATCCGAATATATCTTGAATTTGTTGTTAATACAGGCAATTGTGCTAGTATATTTAATAGCTCTAGTAACCCCATAAAGCTCTCTATTATACACTAGTTGATTACTACCAATATTCAATTGTTGTTGATATGAAATTTGATTATTTGATTGTATTGCGATTATACCTACACCTATACCTATTCCTTTTTCAGTAGAAGAGGTATCAGTATAAATGTAGGTAGTATTCTTATCTTTGTGATTGAAAACAATATTGTGAAGAATAGCAGTATCTTCTTTTGATAAATTGCTAATATTAACTCTGAAGGGAATTTCCTTTTTCCATGAAGGGAAGTTGAAGTGAATAATCTTTTCAAGTGAAATAGGATTGAGATCCTGATTTATTGATCCTCTAATTCTATCAATTTGGATTGATTTATATCGTTTTCTTTGAGAAGTAAGGATTACTTCCAAATCGGTTTGATATTGAGCTGATATTTCTTTTTCGATATTGATTGGATGGTTTGGCAAGAGTTTAGCTAGACGAAACGCGTATTGCCTAACATTTGAATCTAATCGAATTTTTGGGGACTTTAGGCCTGCTTCTACTTCCATTGAAAGGATTGGGGCTGTTTTGAAGACTCCTAATATCTTTCGGAAAGCTAGGTTTTGAAGCGATTGCATTATATTCTTGAAATGAGTTTGACCTTTCCACCAAATCACTGATCCGTAATCAGCTATACTAGTTACACATGCTATATATAATTGTCTAAGGGCTTTAGAATTAAGGCCCTTTTCGGTATTAGCTAATCGAGCCATTCGATGGAAGGCACCTTTCGCTTGTGTGATTCGAATATTAACATGTTGATCGAATTTGAGGTTCGGGTCGAATCATATTCCCAGCCATCTAATAAGAGATTGGGGTACAATTATTTCCGAATTAGGTAGTGTGATTGGATATTTTTTCGTCAATTTGGATAATGAAAAGTGTATTAGCTCTGTTTTTGCCAAATCGAATTGGATTACATTTCTAGAACTGAGTTTATAGATTTGTTTTGTAATTCTCTCTAGGGTTTTGATATTCTTTTTCCATATAGATAAATGTATGATTAAAGCAATATCATCTATATAGAAAAGAAACTTAATCGAATTGGGTAAAAAGAGCTCCCTGATATATATAAGGAAGAGAATTGGAGAAATCGGACTGCCTTGTGATATTCCGGTTGAAATTGGCTTAAAAGATTCGATTTGATTATTAAAAGATAGTTTCAATTATCTTTATTGAAGAAATGAGACTATTCAGACTATCAGATTTATAGGTAGTTTTAGCTTCTTACAAATATCTAATAGTCAATTTCTTGAAATGTAATCGAATACTCCCTTTATATCTATAAATAATATTGAGGTCTTTTTACTGACTTACTTGTTTCTTTCAATTTCTATAATCAATAAAAGTACAGCATCGATTACTGATTTCTTTTAGCATCCTCCCATTTAACTCTTGTAAAAGAGATAGGTTGTTTCCACTAAATATCCTAATCGTTGAGCTAGAATCCTTTCGCTTATTTTATTCAGACAATTTAAAAGTACAATTACTCTATATACTTTTGGAAGGGAATAATCTGGTTTAAAAGCTTTCTTCAGAATAACTCCTGTAACTTGTTTCCAACATTTCGAATGATATCCTAGATTAATAAATTTACTAAAAAAAGTAAAAAAGGTATATAGGATTACTTTATAAGCCTTTATAATAATCTCTTAAATGATTCCATCTAGGCCAAGGGTTTTTCCTTGGATTTTGACTGAACAGGCATTGCTTAATTCGATTTGAATAAGATTAGGCCATTCCCATTTCTTGGATTGTTTATACCCTTCCCATTGTGGTTTTGGGGTAATAAAAGGGGGTAGGAACAGAGTTGATCTGAAAGCAGAGCATTTTCCTTCGAAAGAGCTTTCTATTGCAATATCCAGTATCCTTTGATCTTGAAAGTCTTTAGTATAGGCCATTGCTTTGAAAATTGTCTTTGTATCCTCCTTTTCTAGAAACTTATTCCAATGATCCTTCTTTGCTGTTTTAATAGCTTGAAAATACTTGTTTCTAGCGATTCGATATCCTTCCTTAGAGCTATGATTTTCCAGATCTGATTCAATTCTTTGCTTTACTTTTCTTAGCTCTTTTCGGAGATCTTTCAATTCAGGTGTTCATTATGATTTGGCCCTTTTGATTGAAACAATTTTAGGTATACATCTTTCTATTGCTTTTTGAATGATTCTAGTAAGTTCGCTTGCTGTTTGATCTAGAGTTAGATAGTGATTGTCTTTGTCTTTCAAAAGGTTTAAGGAATCCTCTTTAATTGAAATGATTAATTCTAAATTAAACAGAATAAAGGAATATAAGGATTCCGATTTGAGTATTGATTCGAACTTTTCCCAATTCGCTAGCTTAGTATTGTATTTAGCTATCGATCCAGTATTAGAAGTACTTAGATCTTCTTTTCCTTTTAATTCGAATAGTATTCCTGCATGATCAGATCCTGTATCTGAAAGCGTTTGCCAATTGTGAATTTGAGGAGAGATTCCCTCTGATGCTAGTGTTAGATCAAGAACACTTGGATTAAGGAGATTAGTTCGATAAAAAGTGCTGATTCCAGGCTCGTTTAAAAGAATGAGATTCTGATCTTCAAACCATTCAGCTAATTGATCAGCGTTTCCGTTTTTCTTCGAAAAAGGATCCCACCATAGGTGATAAGCATTGAAGTTGCCTAAAAGGATGGTTTCTTGTGTAATAGATATATTATACAAGCATCTTTCGATTGTGAAACCTTTCTCTTTAGCTTGATCAGCTTCGTTGTATATATTGATGATTTGAAAGGTTTTGTTTCCATTTTGACAATTGAAAATCTGTATATCAGAATCTATTAGAGAATCGGAAGCTAGATTGATTATAGCTTGAAGAGTTTTTGATGTGTATAGTAGTGTATGTAGCCGGTAATTAGAATTGAGTCTTGGTAATGTTTGTGTGAAATTGGAGTATATAATAGATCTTGAATTTGAGTAATCGATTCCGTTTTTAATAATCCAAGGTTCTTGAATCATAATAAGGTCGATGTTAAGTTCTATTGCAAGCTGTAAAACATTCTCTGTAGCTTGTGAACTCCGATTGAGATTTATTTGAAGGATTCGAATATTAGTGTAACTCATTAATAAGTAGTATTCGATTTTTATTGAATAGCCTGATAGGTTTCGCATATTTTCAAATTTGCTACATGATTCCCTTAGCAATTCAAGCATTTTACTTTTAAGTATTGATAGAACTTTTCTTTGATATTATATACTATATACAAGTGTACTGATGTAATATGCTTGCCTCCACATAATCCACAAAAAGGGTTCCTTTTACAATGGGCATCCTGATGTCCAAATCCTTGACATTTCTGATATTGTGTAGTTGGTTTTGATTTGTAGAATTGTTCTACTCTTATACTATTTCCAGCAATATATAATCGCTTTCGAATAGCTAATTCTGCTTCTGATTTTATAGCAAAAGCAATAACGATAGCACCCTCTCGTTGATGAGCTCTTCTGGAGACGGGTGTAAGCCAAAAGGGGGTTCCTATAGGCTTGAAGTCTGGATTGAAGGTTTTGATTTCGTTGAGTATAAGATCTATTCCTTTTGTATCTGAGAATTCTTTAATTGGGATTTTGTGAATAATGACTTTGTGCCATTCTTGATCCTTTTGGATTCTTTCGAATTTGATAATATTACTCCAAATCGCTTTCTTCTCCAATAAGAATTGTGATGTAAAGGGATCATTTGTTGTGATAATGATATTATTATTGAAGGATATAGTTGCTGCTGCAATAACTGGCCCTTTGATTCCAATCTTTTGAAAGGCTTCATTTATTTTGTTTCGGATAATTAGGGGGGAAAAGGAGGTAGGGTTTGGAAAATCTGGCTTGATTAAGATAATTCGTTTTTGGATGAGGTTAGATTTCTTTTCTACATTAGTAGATGTAATGTTTTTCCCTTTGGGGACTAAATTCCATTCTCCTTTTTTTGAAATATCAGCGTATGTTGGTTTCAATATAATGGTAATAGCAGTAGTAAGCAAAAGAGATTTAGCTAATGCTTTCGCTTGTGATTCGATTTTGCGTGTAGCGGTTTCCAAATGAGTGATTTGAGAGGTGATGATATTCGAAGCTGTAGTAAGCTTCCCCTTTTCAGTATATTCTCTAAAGATCTCTAGAAGATCTAAGAGCTTGGATTGTTCTTCGCGTGATTGGGAGAGAGAGGAAGCTAGCACTATAAGGTCTCTAGCTTTCAAAATAGCTTCCTTGGGTGTATTTGGGTTGTTTTGGATTCTAGGTTGTTTGTTCTGATTGCTAAGGGGTATTGTAGGGCCCCGTTTCTTATTCTGATTGAATATATAGGTAGTATTGGTTGTATCTTGAGTAATAAAGGGGTCACTAAGTAGATTGAATTCTTCAAATCTTCTTCCAGTACTGGCTGGCTGGTTGATTGATAGAATAGGGCTAGAGATTTCGAATTGAGGGTTTTCAGAAGGCGAGGAAGGGCTTGAAGGTATTGGGGTACCTAGGATAATAGTAGGATAAGTGATTGGTATAATGGAGGCTTCAGAAGGAGCCTCTATCATAGCCGTATCTCTAAGTGTTGATGGATTGTTAAGAGAGCTCATATTGAGGATCTTATTCTTATTCTGATAATTCGGAGTAAGAAAATTTTACGCGAATTTTCGTGTATGTTTCGTATTCGGAGCGCCGACAACAATAACACAACAACTACTGATCAGAATCACTGGGGAACAATTGCAATCAATTTGGTTTAATAACTATGATCTAAATCGATCGCGAACGGATCGTATTTCGAAGAAAAAGTTTCCTTCGAAATTTGTTGTGTATATGGAAAGACGCTTACGAAGGGCTTCTACGGCTTGTCTGATGACACAAAGGTCTACACCTACTATGAAGGATGCTCTGATGGAGGAAGAGAGGGTATGAGCCAAGTTCAACGCTGGGGTGAGGAATACGATGGAGTTATCGCGGGTGCTCCAGCTTTCCGTTTCGCGCAGCAACAAGTTCATCACGTGTTTTCATCCGCAGTTGAACACACATTGGATCACTACCCACCACCTTGCGAAATGGATAAAATTGTAAATGCTACCATCGCTGCTTGCGATCCTCTCAATGGACGAACAGACGGTGTGGTTTCTCGCACAGATCTTTGCAAGCTTAACTTCAACCTCAGTTCAATTATCGGCGAATCATACTACTGCGCAGCAACTACCTCCTCTTCTCTCGGGTTCGGATTTAGTAAGCGTGCACAAGGTAGCACAGCCAGCACTACACCTGCCCAGAATGGAACAGTGACTGCTGAGGGTGTCGCTGTCGCTCAAGCCATCTATGACGGTCTCCACAATTCCGAAAATGAGCGTGCATACCTCTCCTGGCAGATCGCTTCGAATCTTGGAGATGCCGCTACTACGTACAACAACGATACTGGATCCTGGGAACTTAGCATTCCATCTACTGGAGGAGCGTATGTCACTAAGTACGTTCAATTGCTCGATCTCGACAATCTTTCCGACCTTGATAATATTACTTACGATACCCTTGTTGAGTGGATGAACATTGGTATGGTGAGATATATGGATAGCTTGCAAACTACCCTTCCTGATTTAACTACTTTCCAATCTTCTGGGGGTAAGTTGCTTCACTACCACAGTGAATCTGATCCAAGTATTCCATCCGCCTCATCTGTACACTACTGGCAATCTGTTCGTTCCGCCATGTACAGCAATGCTACTGCTGAAGAGAGTCTAGAGGCACTCCAGGACTGGTATCAATTCTACCTTGTTCCTGGTGCAGCCCATTGCGGAACCAACTCTCTTCAGCCTGGGCCATATCCCGAGGACAATATGGAAACTATGATCGATTGGGTTGAGAATGGAGTCAAGCCAATTGCTCTCAATGCAACTGTATCTTCGGGTACATATGCAGGCGAGACACAAATGCTTTGTCAGTGGCCAACTCGTCCTCTCTGGCAGAGCAACAGCACTACTTTCGATTGCGTCAATGATGAGGCTTCTATTGAGAGCTGGACTTACAATTTTGATGCATTTAAGATTCCTGTATACTAGGGGTGCTTGGATTAGCCACTGATGTATTTTTTGAAGGTATGAAGACTTCGGATTAGAAGGAACCGGGGAGTGTAGACAGAAATGGCACTTAAGATTTGTTGATTGTATTTTGGATAATTTTTTTCAATATTTGGTTCTGACGCTGTGTATACTACATAGTAGTATCTTAATATTACTTTTGATAAATAAATAAATTTGTTACTTTCTCATCTCGCTGTAGGTTCATGAGAGCATATATTTATGAGCTTGAAACAATCTTCTTGATATTACTATGCAGCTTGAGGGCAACCTCTAACGATGTAAAAGTTAGGGGGGTGAAGACAGCTCTTGTTCTATTAACTATATCGTGGCGCTTTTTCAACTCAAATCTACTTTACATTTCGAAGCTTTTTGGAAACTTTTTGGAAACTTTTTGGAAACTTTTTGGAAGAAAGGTAAACATGTAGTTTCAATACATTCTAGATATGAATTGACAGGTTAACAAGATATAGAGGAGCAATTGTACAAATATACAATATTGCGATGTAAGTGAGTAAAGAAAAAACGTGTTAATTGGCACTAATTTACTACCATTAGACAGGATATATTAATCCATCTCGATGAACAAAACCAACAAAGATTTCCTCTCGGCTCGACTTGCATTATCAAAGCAAATGCAACCCCGAAAAGTTCATCTCAACAGCTCTGCAAGATGCGGTATGCTCTGATCAGTCATGAATGGCACGAGAGATGCATGGGTGCCACGTGTTTCCCATATGTCTTACATGCATCACCGTCCAACTGTGGATCAAGATAAAACCTCCGAGAGGTCGAGTTTGGAAAATCCCGGAACGGTGCATATTAGTGCTGACGCTATATGCATGTATCATCCACGTCGAAGCTGGTCTGAGGAAATCTGAGAGGATGATTAGGAGAGAAATTTGAGATGCGTTTGGCTATAAGTATCAGGATGCATTGGCGCGCGTTGGGTTTGAATTCCTTACTTTAGATGCTTCTTTTCGTATTTTGAGCAACTGGGATTTTGACGAATGCTATTTGAACGTTTGAGGAAGATTCTCTGGATGCTTTTGATTTCAAAACTGTACAATTTGATCGTTAATACATTTTATATCATAAGAATCTTCAAGAACTCGTTGCCTCAACGGTCTACATCTGGTTATTATAATCACCATGCATTTATCACACACTAAACAAGAAGACACTGTCCTCCCAAACCTCCATCCAAAGTCAAAACGATCCATCAAGACATTCCTCTCACCATATCATCCTCGCCAGCTCTCGAAACTCCTCACGCTCACTCCCCTCCGCTCATCTCCGACCAAACCCCCTGTCAAACCTCTCCCAGAATTCCACTTCTTCTCCCAACTCCCCTCCGAAATCCGCGTCATGATATGGGCGATCTATTTCACCTTTCCACGCATCCACATCACCGCTCTCGGCTCCCAACCCACAGCTTCAGATCCCTGGCCTCTAACACTATCCCGCTCACCCCATTTACATCCCTCGCTCCTCATATCCCACGAATCCCGCTCTATGTACCAACAAACCTGCTGGCTAGAAACTCTCCAACGAATGCATATTCATCCCCAACCCCCGGTTCGACACCCAACCTCCGCATCTTTCAGCTCGACATCTTTTCTCGCCTCTCCCGGAAGCGATTTGGTAAATTGGGATACCGATATTTTCTGGTTTAGAGGGATTTCAACGGTGAAGAAACTATCAATCGGTTATCCTGAGAGCCATTTGCAGAGATACGAGGATGTGCGGAAGGTGGCGCTGGATTATGCAGTTTTGGATTATGAGGAGGACAGTTATTATTGGAGGAAGCGATTTAAGGTTGGTTGGTATGGATTAGTTTGCGTGTTGTATTTGTTTGAGTTTTTGGAAGAGGTTTATTTTGTGCTTGATGTGGAGGGTGGTGAGGGAGTGGGGAAAGGAGATACGGAGGTATCGTTTGAGATGGTTGATGCGGAAGAGAGAGTGAGGAGAAGGTTGGAGGATGTGAAGAGGGAAGTAGATAGGGATGATGGATTGAGATTTCCTCAATTGGATGATAGAGGAATGTATCCAGGTTTGGAGCGTCTATTTTCTCGTCGGGAAAGGGGTTATGGGTGGCAGATTCCAAAAATACGATTCGTATATGCTAGGAATATTGGGTGATGAATGAGCATATAATATACACTATTCCCAGTGTTACTACAAGAGCGTCCTTCGAGATTCCATATATTGAGAAGGGTCCATTATATTAATGGTACCATTGGATACCCAGAGTGCACTATTCTGGAGCCTCGTATCAAGTGTATATCTCGTGATGATTAGATGAAAACACTCCAGATTTATTTCCGAGTCAAGGAGAAATTATAAATTCGTGCATAATGCGATAGACATCTGGCCCTCATAGTGTAAAATCTCCAGTAATCGGACAGCACTTGACACTTAATCCTTATTAGATATCCGCATCCAAGATGACAATCTGCGAAGTAGAATAACCTTCAAGTCATCTCGGAACTAGAACAACAGTATTTAACCCAAGCGCCCATTATTCTCAAACCCTTCCACACAACCACCCAATTTCCATACTCCCCAGTGTAAAGCTCCCAACTCATAGCATTCTCAAAAAAGCAATCTACCTCATCACAAAACTATTCCATCCCAAAGATGCAGTTTTCCAACCTCATCTTCGTATGCATATTCATTCATTCTTCGAAAATAATGCCCATATCCGCCCTCCAATTTTCCAAAAGAAAAAGTCTCAAAAAGAGTTTGTTAAACCAAATGTACCTCCTAAAAACCTCTTCAAACATCCAAAACAAATCATCTCCACTCCATTCTTCTCCAAAGATTCTCTCTCCGGATCTCAATTCCGTCGCATCGCTTACACGGCACCGTCAAATGATGAAATCATCGGAAGAAGGATGGCTGTATATACGTTGAAATGTAGTGTGCAGATTTCTTCGTTAGGCACGAGATATACGAAGTTGGGATGCTTTGTGTTAGTGGGAGTTTGGATGGGGATCCCGACATACAGATAGCAGAGATGCATGAGTTAGTTGGGAGTTGAGTTGGGATCCGAGATGTGAAGAAGAAGAAGAAGGAGAGGAATTCAATGAGTCGCATAACTTTGTAATATCATCATGAATTTCAAAGTCTGCATCAAAATCAAAAACTCAACAACTAAGCAATTATCAAAAGTCTTCGGGACAACAATGATCTTTCCAGCCTTTGAATGATACTAGCAAGAAATGCAAATCTATTTTCGTCATCATCATAAATAAATACATACATAATAAAAATCTATTTTCCCCCTCTTCCACGATCTAAAGCCACTCACGCATCATAACGGCCATTACCCCTCACCACATAAATTTGTCCGACAAGCACCGCACATCCTACCGCCATCGAAATAGCGATTATCGGTAAATTAACTCTTGCAAAATCTAGCCTTCTAACATGAATATGTTTCCTTGCCAGAATATCCCTCCACAACAAGCCAGCCAGCGATGCGCTAAACGCCGTACTAAATGCACCATAGTTTACACCAACAGCCATCGAATATACTGTTCCCCAGAAAGTGCGGTCGCTGATAGGAAGACCATTGTCACGATGGATCTCTTGCCATGCTTGGATTATGCGACAGAGAAGGATTGTAGTGCCGATGTTTGTACCTGCGAACTATAGTAAAGGGGTCAGATTGGTTTTGAGAGGGCCCAGGCATTGATGAGGAGATACTCACGTTAGAGAGAATACAGGAGAGAAATCCCATACCGCCAATAGCCCCAATCGTACCGGTCTTATCGACCCAGTGATCCCAGCCGTAAGCGAATACTGGAACCCATCCTTTGGTCACTAATGCTTGTACGAGAACGAACATTGAAAAGGCAAATGGAACAAGGGCGAAGGGAAGATGAGCTACTACTGCTGTGACAGTTGGAAATGTTTCTTGGCACCATAGATATCCCTCGCCGAAGAGCGAAACTAATGTTGAACGTCCACGCTGCTTTTGAAATTCGACCTTGCGGGAAGCTTTCTCGGATATTGCTCGGTCATTCGACTCCGATCCATGACTTATCCGTGGACCTAATACTCCTGGTGGGGAAGAAGGAGATTCCGCGAGCTTTGATTCCTTCTTCTCATCTAGTGTGCTCATTGCACTGGTCGAAGAGCGACTGTTTTGCAGATTGTCTTCTGTTGGAACAAGGGTTGAGATGGATGAGTCCAAGGGATCACTCGGTTTTGGGGTTTGCTCATTGAAACTTTCCGATACCAAAAGCGTGGGAGTTTGGCTATTCCTTGGGCCATTTTCGCCTTCTAATAGCTTCATCTCGAACTCTTCGGGAGATTTTGTTAGCCCTAAAGAAGCTCCATTCGGAGTTTGAATATCTCGCTTCTCTTGTTCCAAAATGACTTGACTCGCTTCTTGCTCTTCTCTGATCGCTCGCTCAGCTCGGGCAAGTTCGACCTCGTGTCGTCCATTGCGAGCGATCTCGCGTGTTTCATGTCGGTTAATCCACCCTAATGAAATCTCCCAAACAAACATCACAAAGGCCGCTGGCAAAGTTACCCAGAACACTGGATACTCGCCTTTGCTCTGACTAATAGCATTGAGAACCAGAACCATGATAAGTGTTATAGCCATGAGAATAGCTCCAAATGCTGCGCCTTTTTTATCGACAAAAGGATTCATAATTTCCTCAAGAGAAAGTTGTTTATCTTCTGAGGGTTCATTTTCCTGTTCCTCACCGGAACTTCCTTTAGCATTAGGAATATTCGGATTTACAGGCTTCTTGGCCTTGGCTTCCTCGGAGAGCTCGTGCATTTTGATCGAAAGTGGAATCAAAGCCTCATCAGCAAAGACGATATATAGTAAGAAGGGGAATAAAACGATCGCTGTTGCGACTACTGGAACAATCATGTTCGCTGTGTAATTGATAAATTTGATACCGAATGCGCCAGCTAGAACAAGATTGGTTGGGTTAGAAGAGACAAGAATAGCCGAGGCG